ATGGCATCGTGGAATGCTCTCATCGCACTATTGGCAATTCACTCGTCAAAGCATGCAACGGCGACATCACCAAATGGCCCACCCTCACACATCACGTCTTCTGGGCGGATCGTATTACCACTTGCAAGTCTACAGGATTCTCCCCCTACTACCTAGCACATGGTGTAGAACCCCTTCTTCCCTTCGACTTCATTCACGCCACGTTCATGCTCCCTGATATCACCACCCTCCTTTCAACCCACGACTTAATCGCTGCCTGCGCTCGCCAACTCGCTAGTCATGATGAGGATCTCGTCATCGCTCACACTCGCCTCATGAAAAGCCGTCTTGCTTCCATCTACAACTTCAAAAGACGCTTTGCACATACCATCCACAACTATAATTTCGCTCCTGGGTCACTCATCCTCGTCCTCAACAAAAGGATTGAATCCGTGTCAAACACGAAGTGCAAACCTCACTACTTCGGCCCCATGATTGTCAGTTCACGTGCGGCAGGAGGATCTTATCGTCTCACGGAGCTTGATGGCAGTGTCTCCAAGCTCAAATTCACCACATTCCGTCTCATCCCATACCACCCTTGTTCTCGATCCTCAATAGAAGTTACTCAGTACATCAATCCTCAAGCACTCTCAGACCTCAAAATGGAACAATTATAGATGCACCATTTATTTTTTTCTCTCACTTCTAATCTACGATTCTGCATTTCATCCTACAGTATATATTTTTTAGTTTAATTTGTTTATAGATCGACCACAGAACGGTCGATATTTCAAAGTGGGGAGGAGGTGTAAGGACTATATGTCCTTTATGCGCTGAACCGACTTTAAAGCGAGACGCTCGAACTTACCATACATTCAGTGCAGCCATGTGACTCACTGATGCAAAGAGCTCAATTCTTTGCATCCGAGTTACGTGGTTACATTCCTTCTTACTCTATTCCATCATTCTACCATATGCTCGCATTCCACCATATGCTCGCATTCCACCATCTCCTTGTCTCGCTGACTTATTTTCAGTTCCACATGCTACCTACTCAAATCTTGGTTTAATTGTTCGGTTCCCAAACACTTATATACTGCGCCTGTGCACTTGTACTATAGCAGAATCTCAGACACTGATTCCCCACTCCAAGCTTGGTCAAAAACTATCACAGAAAGTCCTCATCTTATATGTTTTCTCTACTTGTCTTGTTCGCCGTTGCGCTCATCACTTATCAACTTTGTCTCATTACATTTCCCCTTCGAACTCACGACTAGCCTTACACAATATTGACAAGCCTCGGCTGACATCAATGCATCGCCTTGTCATACTTGGTGGTTGCGCTCATATGGTTTCACTTTCATGTTTCCACTGTGGAAAACAAATCTACATTTAGAAATTGTCTAATTGCAATGCATCCTTCTGCTACAAAGGCTGACATTCCCTCAACACATGATATTACAACTTACATTCACAACCGCTTCCTTGAATTCTTCTCTCAGATCAAGTCTGAGATCCAGGTTAGTCATTTTTATCATTGTGTTGTGCCTATCTACTACTAACTAGTACACTGTTCATCTTATAGTCTTCAAACAGTGGTTGCGTCTCAACAACAACAGACCTCTGGTCTGTTGACCAGACAAAAGCCGCCTTTTTTGGTCTTATAGCACACTGGATACATGTTCATGATGTGACAGGTAGATGGACTCTCCAGGCACAGGTGGTTGCATTCAAAGGCATCTCTGGTACTCATAGTGGGGACAACTTGGCCACTACTTTGTTAGTCTGTGTGGACGTGCTGGGATTCTGTCTAGTCAATCATCAAAGGTATGCAAACCATCCTAGTACCAACTTTGTGCATTTCTCAACCGCTCTGTAGCTGTTCTGTGTTACTGCAGACAATACCTCGAATAATGACACAGCATGTGCTAAAATCGAGAGTGTTCTCCATTGCTGGCATATATACTCATTCAACACAGATCAACACCATCTTCCATGTCTTGCTCACATCATCAACCTCAGTGTTGTTGCTATCATGTCTGTAATCATGTGGATTGCCAATGTCAAGATCACCACAGCTATCTAGGAATTTGACCCAGACAATCCTGACAATTGTGTCCTTGGTACAGTGATCACCTGGTCCTTTGTACATACAATCAGGAAATTAAAAATACTGACTCAAGGATTGAACTACAATAAATTCTGTCTGATACATTCTAGAGTAGATGATCTCACCATTGTTACACTGAATTTTTATTGGCTCTTGTCAAGTGGCTGGTGAGCATTGATCTGTACAACTGGGGGTGTACTGTACGCAAATTCCTGCTTCGTTTGGACAGAACATTATTACTATATATGGCATATATGTCACACTATGTCACATTTATCATGCCACCTTATGCTGTGACAAATTTCAAAGAAAAACATACTACAGCTTGCACTATCCACAATGAATGGACATAGACATGTTCATTGGGGTCACAGTCACATTTATTTTGTGGCAGGATAAGTATTAGAGAAAATTTTGTGCTGCTATACCTATTTTGAGGTGAAATGATTTCATATGCACAATTTTGGACAATTTTCACTGCTTCATATATTTTCTACTAGTTGAAAATTTGAGTGCATTTTATGGAGGGATATCAGCTGAATATGATGGTGTCAAATTTTGTATGAATTGATGCAAATTTGAGTGAGGAATGACCACTGTACAAAGGAGTGGTGGTGTACAAAGGTGTCATGAATCCCCAATACAAATCATTTTTTATTTCTTGGTTTTCCACCAGTTACTTCTAATTCCCAAACTGGTCACATGACTTCTCCTGTCACAGTTTCACCTCTTCACATATCACCTGTTGTTTCTCTGATTGGCTCCCCTACTCCACGGGCTAGAACAATCTCACTTCTGAAAGAAGAACCAGTCAGATCTTGGGTTTCTATTTAGTCACTGTCTGACTCATTTGCTTATATATCATGAGGTCATGCTGCATCATCCGCAGTCATTGTATGACTCTTTTCTCATTGGCTAATTTGTTTCATACTCAGATATCTCCTATTCAATGTTATGTATATAAGTAGGTTAGTTAGCGTAAGTACTCCTTAGACTTAACCTCTTTGTTTCTACACTTGTAGTAGACTTAGACATTCACGCTCAATCCTATCTTTGTTCTTCATCATCAACTTTGACCGAGTCCTAGTGGTTGTGTGTTAGCCTTTGCCATTTGGTGAATGCTGGTCATAACAAAAGGACCATGTGATCACTGTAACTCATTAGATGTTGTTGCTGCAGTGTGCACTATTGCTATTAAGGTTCATTTCCTTTGGTACCCATCATCATCCTGTCTAACATACTACTATATAGATTTAATGTTCTGGGCAGCATATCAAGTATTTTGAGACCCTTCAAATGAACTGCAGCATCAAAAAAGCTCTAAAGATCCCATTGCACAGTAACATCAGGTGGGGGACTGTGGATGGCATGCTTGGGCATGCATATGCACTACGACAGGTACATGTCATATACCGGATCCGAGCACCTCCAATACCACCTGTGAACATCCCCACCCCTGGTCTGACCCCCTGTTTCCCCATCCGCTCCATTCCTCCTTCCCTGACAATGCACAAAGTGCATCACAGCAGGATTAGCCCTGCTACCTCCGCCCGACCCCATTCCACTTTTCCGACACTACCCCTATGTCCTCCAACCCCATACCCCTTCCATCCAACCCTATCTGGGGTTCCGCTCCTCCACCCTATCGGTCCACCCGATCCTACTCCTACTCCCTCCGCTTTTCCGACCTGCTCGGATCCTTCAGTTCTGCTCGTATTGCCCTGCCTGACTATCAGTCCACCTGACCGCCTCACCAGTCCACTCCTAGACTAGGAACCACTCAACTGGTCCTATCCCCGTTTAGTAACATAGTTCCACTTTTCGGATTACCAGTAATTCCTATACCCTAGCGATTATTGATCTGTCACATACATACTGTTCCCCGAGTCTTATTCTCATATGTCTCAGTCATCCTATTGTAATCCTGTACACTTAGCACATAGCCTTCTGCTATGCTATGCTCATCACTTAGAGTATATAAGCATATGTACATTTGTCTGTAGATACTCAGTCTGAATATTACCTTTTCTAAGCCCTGCTCTTCTGTTCTTTGACTTGGGCCTGATCCTAGTCAACTCCTGTTAAAAGCCGGCCTAGGGGATTGACTCCCTAGGTTGGCCATCCTCTGATCCTCCACTCCTCCGTTCCCCCATTCCCCCGTTCCCCCACTCCCCTGTTCTCCATCCCTCTGCTTCTCCAACTTCCCATGCGTTGGAACTAGACCCCCGCACTCTCACATCCGTCCCCTCCATTCTGCTCTGCTTTGGACGAAGTCCAAAGCAGTTCCTTCTGCTCCACTTCTACTGTTGGTTCCAACCGTAGTAGTCTCCCACTTCCCTCCTGTTGGGCAGAACAACCCCCACCCAACTTTCCTGCACTCACCTAGTAGTCTGTCGGCCCTCCTTCAGAGGACCTCCACTCTGATGTCCTGTCGGAGCTCATAGAACTCGAGTCGGACTACAATACAAAATTAGGGACACATACTTGGGTAAGGGGCGCAGCATACGAGCTGAAGCCAAGCCCCTCAGACTCCGCTTTACCCCTGAGCACAGTCTTAACAGTACACCCATGCTACTATTTGCTTCTGACACTTACTGACTCGCGTGCAATTATATGTACAGGCTATCAACACTGCAGATGAGTTATTTGGACCAATCACAACCATTCAGCACAATGGGAGACTTGTCAAGAACATTCCATGGACCACATTTACCTTTAGGAATGCAGATTGGGAGTTGGTGAATGATACATGTGAAATCATTGCCATAAGTACATGTTGTCTTAATATCACATAGTATGCTGATCATTTTCATAGGACACTGACAATATTCCACAATATTTCTCATCTGAAACACAACCCACACTATGGCACACTATTCCTGCTATTAAGGAGCTACAGACTGCATGAGAGATGAAGCTCGAATTACCAAAGTATGAGATGTACAATGATGCTATCCAGGCCGGTCTCAACAAGCTCAGCAAGTACTACAAGAAGTTTGACGACAAGCCTGTGTATGTTCTTGCACTTGGTAAGTACTATCATATGATCTACTATACACTGAATACATGTGCTGATGCTATCTAGTTCTCCACCCATATTACAAACTCACATACATCAAGATGCAATGGGGTGGGCCTGAAGAGCAAGTGAAGGAGTGTGCTGCAGGAAATTTGAATGCTATTGATTGGTATGATGAGTGTTACAGTAACATGAGTGTTACGTGTCATTTCATTCTTCGGACTCGTCTAGACCTGGACCATGGTTACGATTCTATTCTTGTCTCTTTCTTTTTGATCCCATTGTTCTGAAACATGAGAAGCTCTCACTTCTACCCCTAAATCACAGAAGCCACGGCTTCTTCCGAACCCTATGCCCTACCCACTGTATCGGTTCCCTCATTGATGGGGATTCCCCATGTTTTCCCTTACCGTTCAACCGGTACTACTTACCCTTTTTCATATGTGACTCATACATACCCTTGACCCTTACCGCTACCCCGGTAATACCTCCACTTACCCTGTACCCTTACCATTCCACCGGTATCTCACTTTACATATATATATTGCCCCTCTTGTAGATAGATTCTCTAACTTGAATCTACTTGGTTCTCATCTGATACTTGTTGTTGGGTCTGAACTTTTCTTGTCTAAGAGAACTCCCTCTGTACATAGAACCATCTTTTCTTGAGACAATACTCTTGAGTTGAACTCCATCTCTTGGATTGTATCCTTGAGAAACTCCAATCAACTCTACACAAGTAAGGGTCTCAACCCTTACTCAGACTTAGTGCAGGCAAGCCCCTTGCTGGGTCAGCGCCGAAAGGCCACACTTCAAACACCCCTTGCGGGTTTAGCGCCACCAGATCTCATCTGAGAGGTTTCACATAACAATGAGGCACTAAAAATCATTGAGAAAACCATGGAAGAATACTCCAAGAAACCCACACCATCAACATTGGAACCTTCTGCTTCCACCAGCACTACTGGGACCTCTCATAACACACATATCATTGAATCAGAGTATGATCATCATCATTGTGTTCTTGTCAAGAATACCAGTCATGAATACAATGCAGGCTGGTGGGCTGAGCTTTGCCATTACATCAGCAACATGCCAGATGATGTCTCCAAAAACATGGACATCATTGAGTGATGATCTGTAAGTACTAGTTATGATCCAGCATGTGTCGTAGTCCTAACATAATATTTTATTTATTCAGAATCATGTCACTATATACCCAGTCCTTGCACACATTACTATGGATGTCTGTGCTGTTGCAGCCTCATCTGTGCCATGCAAACACCTATTCTCAGCTGGTGGACAGACTGCGACAGATTGGCGCTCCAGACTAGGTGCTGAATGATTTGAACAACTTCAGATCCTCAAATTCCTGTGGTGGAGTTCAGTTGTCAATTGTGCTGCTAGAAATTCAGCTCTCACAGAGGAGGTCTTACTTGATGAGTATGTTGAACTATTTCAACTTGATGCTGAGATGTCCAATTGGGATTGCAATGAGAGTGAGGTGGTTTCTGAGTGATTTCCATATTTGCATACCATGTTATGACCATGCAATATATATACAAGCTTGCCATGACTGTAGGCAACCAGTTTGAAAAAGACCAGTTGCAGTCAGTTCTGAGTTGGTTTTTTTCCTTTGGTGTGACTAAGCAACCACAACTGCTTGAGTTTTGCTGATGGGAAAACTGCAACTGCAGTCCGGTCCAAAAAAGTCCAGTTCCAGTCTGGTCTCAGTCTTTTTTGTGGTTTTGCAACCAGACTTTTTAAACTCTAATTGAAAATATTGAAACTCACAAGCAGAACTAGACCAGATTCTGAGTTGATTGCAAGAAGGAGCTTGTCATATCCCGTACCTCCGGATCTGGAATTCTGGATCTACTTCATTGAAGTCCGTTCCTCCATCTTACTATTCTGCCCAGCGCTCCGCCTTCATCTCCGCACTCACCCCTAACTCCTTTTAGATTAGCTATTGCTCCGGTTACCGGTTATGTCCTATTCCGCTATGCTTACTGATCCATCCACTCTTACTTCATTTCTGACTTCACTGCTTTGATCCATTATACTTAGTAATAGACTTTCCACATGCTTCATACATAGCCCTTACCTTTGCTGACTGATTTACCTACATGATACCTACAGTATATAAACCCCTGTAATACTCTGGAACTCCTCAGTTCAAATATCATCTTAGTTCTGCTCATTCCTGCAATCTCTGGACTTGAGTCTCACCTCTTGTCCACCTCCGAGTCTTAGGGGGTTAAACCTTAGGACTACTTCTCTGGCTCTACCTTAGGGTAGTCTAAACTCTGTTCTGTTTCTACTCCGGACTTCCATAGTAGCCTTACTCCGTCCCAGCATAAACCTTCTGGAGTTCTGCTGAACTCCACCAACACTAAGTCCTCCGGAACTCCCCGGACTTCCATCAGACTTCCCTTCTGTCCCCCGGAAATTAAAGGGCACATACTCGGGTAAGGGGCACAGCACACGAGCTGAAGCCGAAGCCCTTTGAGTAACCTCTCCCTTGAGCACGACCTTAACAGAGCTCGACAAAGCAACATGTGTAGAGTGCATTGTCAGGTCAATGTCCATGATCTCTAGTTAGAACAACCTCAATACTCTCATGAATCTCGCCAATGATGCTATCAGCCATTTCAGGGGCAGATCACAAGGTCTTGTCCTGTGGCTGTCATATACCTGATCCGACCGCTCTGACATTAATATCCGCTCCGCTCTCTGACCACCTCCGCTCCATCCATCCTCCGCTCCTACACTTCCGCTCGACCACCCAACCGGTCTCCTTCCATAATGTCTCCATTCAACTGGAACCGCTTTCCCCTTTTAGAGATATACTTCCCCCTTTGGTACATAGACCCTTACTTCTGGATCACCGGTAATTCCTCTTACCACTCTATCACTGATCCGACACGTACATATTGATATCCGCTCCGACTTATGTCTTTGCCTGTGTAAAGTACTTACAAATTATATCCTTGGTACATAGCTTTACAACATAGTCTTCCTGATCACTGCCTCATACCTAGAAGTATATAACATATCCTGTACTTAGATATTTTCCTCAGTCTTAATATTACTTGTCTTCTTGCAGTTACTACTTGTGAGAATTCTTGGTAGGACCTTGCCTCCTCCAGACACAAGTTTCATCTTGTTGTCGCCTCCGACCCTCCGCTCCGACTTAGAGCCGTGCTCTAAGTCTTCTCCTTACTTCTCCGCCCCTATCAAGTATTCCCCCTGCTCCTTTCCACCCTCCGCATTATCCTCCACCTTCCCCGCTCCTATCAAGTATTCCCCCTGCTCCTCTCCACCCTCCACATTATCCTCCGCATTCTCCACTCTGCTCCTAGTCGGCCCGCCGCTAGTAGTTCTTACCTCCCGACCCTCAGAGCAGACCTAAGCGGTCCACTCATCCTACCGTCGGACAATGTCGGACCCGCTCCAAATTCGGGGCACGTACTCGGCTAAGGGTGCAGCACAAGAGCTGAAGCCAAGCCCTGACCCCTCCACTTCTTGAGCCGGCATGGTACCTAACAGTGGCCCTGAGCTCCTGATACATTGTTCCTATGTTAGAATAGATATTGAGGACAGTATTCCCAAGTCCATATACCTAGAGATGCAAAATGCGAACCTATTTTATGTTTTCATGTATATATGCTATATTTTTTGATGTAGGGCCCTTCAGGGGGTCAAATAAGCGGTGGAATATGTTCCAAGAGTGCGAGAACACTCTCCTATCAAAGGGGTAAAAATACGAATATGTTTTTCACCATACCCTGTACTGGGAAGGGCCTATAGGAGGCACTGGAGCAATAGTTTGCACAAAAAGCGGTCTATTAAGTTCCATTACACATATATATACCAAACTACTACTTCTATGCAAGGGATAGCCAGTTGTGGTGTAGTGGTCACTGGTGAAGCTGTAGTGAGGGGGTAAGAATAATTGATATTGTGGAGAATGTCCAAATTTGGTGATGTTTTTGGTGTTGTGAGGTGGTTCCCACAGTAGGTATCTCAAAATGCGGTGTGGGTGAATGTATGACTCATAGTACTGGGCCAGGAGGCCTTGATGTATGACTCATAGTAGGACTGGGCCAGGATAGGGCCTTGTAATGGCAATATTTCGTGTATGAGACTTTTTGTTGTGCTACAGTACAATAATGTATGAGTACTACATGAACAGGTGGGGGCAGCTGTACACCACGTCCGCCATCCTGCAAGATCAAGATGTTATACATACTACACGGCGCATAATTTCAGTTACAAACGCAATACATTACTTTCGCAAAATATTCTCGAGAAATACTTCTTCACACCTCCTTCACCATTAACGATTGCCCCAACCACACCGTCCGGTCGTATCACGAACACCTTGGTCTGGTTAGCTTCGACATGATAAGCCGAATGAGCATAGCTCTCCTGATCAACAAAAACGTGATCAGCGGGAGATGCGACGGTCGTCACTGGTGCCGATGAAGGCAGAATGACTGCCAATCGCACCACGCTTTTGTCGAATGCCTCTAGCGCGCCCAAGATCGGGGTAGCATCTACGAGACTCGGCACGAACACAAGCACCGTGTGATACCAAGGTCTATAAAGACCAAAAAGCGTGTCCACGTTAGATTCTCCACGTCCCACCTGCAGCACGTTGGATGCATCAGGTGCCCTGTCCCCAGCCTCGAGATGCCCCTCGTCAAGCATCCCGTAAGCGTTGATAGGTTTCCCCTCTACTTGTGTTACAAACTCGTCGAGAACGATGCTGCTGGACCGACAGTTAACACCAAGCATGAAGAGGATGGGAGTTCGTCGGCTCGTCATCTCTCCTGTCTTCATTGCATGGTTGAGAATCGAGGTGGTCATATCGAGCATCTCCGAGATGACAGGGAAACGCTCGGCGTTGTATGTTTCGAGGAGAGACTTGTCGGCAAGTCCTTTTGCGACGAGCGCAAGCTTCCAACCTAGATTGAACTGGTGTCCTTGGCGTCAGTTGTATCCTACGCGCTGCATGTACCTGACTCACAGCATCTTGCACACTTGAATTAAGTCCCTGTTCATGGACGAATGAGCAAGTATCGGCATTAGCTCAGACGATACAGACCTGACCACCGGTTGGACTGTGTACGCTATACATATGTGAGCACTTGCTTTCCAAGAGGGCACTCAAAAATAGACATACTGAGCAGCATCTATGACAACTTCCATCATCACAGGTACATCATTCAGCAATAAAACCACATACCACCAGCAACAAACACGCGACCCTCGCTAAACTTGTTCACCATTCGGATATTGGTTCTACAGCAGACCGATGAACACATCGACACATACAGAAAAGACAAAAACACACCGCAGCTCGCTCACCCAAACCAGCTTGTTGAACGTGACCTCCGTGGGTATCAGCGATGCAACAGTCTGGAAGAGAAGCTCCTCGCTCTGAGCGATCTTCGTCATGTCTAGTTTTTGGCCGAAGAGAAAAAATTGCCAGCCATCCTCGCCGACTTCGTCCGTTGGACGCAATGAGATGCTATAGTGCGTCAATACATCTTCAAGCCTCCAGAAAGGAAACTGTACACACCCTCGTTCATGAAAGTTTCCAAATCGGTGCCAATACTTTTGACCGGATGAGGAACTATCTTTCAAGCAATATCAAACAGACGCACCACTCTATCAAGACCAACGCCCTTTAAACGAATATCCCCAGTGACAATCCAGGCATCGTCTCTGGTTTCGCCCAAAAACGTGAGCCCAAGCTGTTTGCGCACGACGCCTGAAAAAGGTCAGTCACATTCATCCCAGTGCATTCGTCCGCATCTCACCTTTAGCACCATCAGCACCAATCATCCACTCCGTATCAAAAGTCTCTGATATACCGTTCTTTGCGAGAACAGCAGTAACACCCTGGTCAGACTGCTCGAATGAAAGCAGTTCGGTACCCATCTCCACAGAGCAAGAGAACTTCTCTAGGTGACGTCGCAGAATCACATCTAGGAACTGTTGACCCATTACCTTGGTGAGGTGCTAGATAATATAAAAAGTTATCATCATGAAAGCTTGAGAAGAGGGTGACTCTACGCACGAATGGTACCGCTGGGGTAGGATCCATATGCGGGACCACCGAAGTTTCGGCCAAAGGTTCCAACGTCCCGGGCTTGTACGAACGGATGAGAGGTGTTAGTTTCCCCTGATCATTAACTTCTGGGACATTCAGGAAGTTGAAGAGTTCGAGGGAGCGTGGCTATATCATGTGTTCAATTGAACATAGGGTGATATGACAAGTGGGTGTATGAGCATACCCAGATTCCGGGACCACGCTGTCCGATCCGAGGATTGGGATCTTTATCAATGATGCGAACTCGGACGCCGTTTTGAACGAGCGTCAACGCTGCTACTAGACCCGCTGGCCCAGCACCTACCTAAGAAGAGGAATCTAGTTGAGGTAACTTCTATCGTAGGTAGGTCACTTACGATTAGGACCGGAGGCTGAATGTTGTTCATATGTAAAGGCTGATGAGTTTAGAGGTTTTTGGATCAATGCGAAGGACAATCGTGTCTAGGGGCAAAGTGGCTTAGCTTTATAGGGCTCGGGCTGGTCGAAACTCAAGCCAGGCCCAGTGGCGGGGCACCTGTCAGTCATCGTTTCGAAATACTTCGGCCCCCGAATCTGAAATGAACAAGATACGTACGTGTGCAGCGTCACGTAAGAACACAATGAAAGATCTCGACGGCTTTGTCGGTTGCAACATACCCATGACTGATGAAGTTCCCCAACACAGTCGTCATCCGAGTCGTCCTCTATCCTCGTCCTTCACCTTTCACTACTTACCGTTCCGCCTATTGACAGTGGCACCTGACGGCGCTACCACAAGGCTCGCATTCTGCCGCAGTGGTCTGGATCGCGTCATTCTCGCCTTGCAGTATCTTGCCGAGCGGTGCTGGAGGTCTTGACCTGTGCTGTAAGTGAGGTAATACACGTACCTTGTTCGTCTTAGGTGGGGGAGCCTAAATATTTTCGGAACAATAAGTCACTTACCCTCAGTGTGGCATGTTGCCAGTCTTCCTGTCATTTACCTTGTGTGTGTATGGCTTAATGCACCACAGGATATTAATATCCTTCCGGCATCTTTGATCTAGGCAGTGATACTGTCTTGATATTGATATCCTGACGTACTAGATGTAGTACTACCTTTACATTCAGTTCTGAAGATAAGCTCTTCGCTTTCTGCGACATTCGTCAGGTTCAGGTGTTGGCCGAACGTGAAAAATAAAGAATTGCCAGCTATCTTCGCCAATTTTGTCTGTTGGACACATTGTGATGCTGTTAGCATCAATACATCTCCAAGCTTCCAGAGCAGAAACGGTACATACGGTCGTTCATGAAAGTTTCTACATTAGTGCTGCTGTACTCTGAACAGATAGGAACAGTCCTCCAAAGAATAGAAAACAGATGCAACACTCTATCGGGCTTGACATCCAGTCACCGTTTTGCACAGGAAACAGCGGTACATCCTTGATCATCGGACTGCTCGAGCGAGCGCAATGAGATGCCAATCTCGACGAGGTACGAGAATACATAGATGGACGAGTTCTGATTGTAAACGTCGTTAATAACAGACCACTATAGTACAGGTCCAAAAATATTTTCCAGAAATGTTTCTTCACGCCATTTTCCCCATGATAGCCTAGAAAAGAGGAATTCAGCGGAGTTAACTTCCATCATAGACAAATCAACTTGAAAGTCTTACGATTAGCACAGGGGGTTGAGGGGAACCCATACGTCGAGGTTGACGCCACGAGCTCCAAGCCCCTAAGTGCGCCATGTGTGATGCATATATCGGTATCATTACATAAGCTTGCCGACATTACACATCCCACCAAAACGCTCATTAGACGCTTCGTGACATCAATTGGACGGCTGCGTACGTAAGATGTTTGACTGACGTGCGAATTTTGGAGGCACAGGGACGTGTTGCAAAACAATATACTTGCCAAGTTGCCATTTGTACATCTGCAACGAACACTCGGCGACCCTCGCGCGCTTATTTCTAAACTTGTTCACCTATGTGACATCCATTGGCCCTGTATCAAACTAACTTCAATGAACGCCTATCGACACTGTTTGAGTCCTATCGGTCCCAAGGGAGACTCGCTTACCCAAGCCAGCTTGTTGAACATAGCCTCAGTGGGGGGTTAAAGAGGGCCTCGGTACGACGATAAGCAGCACTACTTAGTATTACTACGGACTCCTCGCATCAGTTGCTTGCCTCAATCGCATCCACAAAAGCACTAGTACTACCCCTGACTATTACCCTGAGTGTCAATATTAATGCAACAACGAAAAGTTCAAATGTGGAGCCCCCTGATACAGAAGGAATGACTGCCTTCCTTCTATTAATTGGGACCACACCGGTGAGTGCCTGAAGTTCCCCATTTACTATGGAAGATGAATATGAATATTATCATGTCATACTAGTACTGAGTTGGTTTGCTAGCTGTAACTCATCAGCTAGACTGAACCATGACCTGTCCGTACTACCATTAATTCGTGAGTCGAAATGGTCACGAGTCTACTCATCAGCGGAAATGATTGTTTTAACTTCTCGCAATTCCATTGAATAACATCGATGCACGGCGTGTTTGCGAGAATCACCACAATATCCCAGCTGGTCATTAGAAACGTTTCAGCCCATTTTCGATGTTCAGGCCTAGGCCTGATCGATCGATCTACGGAAACCTTGTGGCACAGTGCTCGTGGGCTATTTCCAATGTCCATCAACGTGGACCAGTAGATCCACAATACTCTCGATGGGTCTACTAGGCTATAGCATCAGTAAACTACTTTGTTCTGTACAGAACAAAGTAGTTTACTGATGTATCTTCATTCCGGTCATGAGGTTTAACAGGGTTCAAGGGAGTCACTGTGGCAGTCGGAGAAAAGTTAGAACGGATGCACTGTCCTTTTGACAGCTCGTTGCTAAACGAAAACGACGTCCAGACTCCAGATTCATGGCCACTCCCCTTACAACCACTATTTATTTGAGGTGTTGGGGGGAAATAGTGTATATTTCACCGAAATAAGGCGGCTGATGACGAGACTAGACTTCCAATATCAGTGAACATCGCACGCCGGCACAAGTTGATCCCCTGATACATGAAAACCAGGCAAACGTGACCATCGCCAGGTAGCTGTGATTTCCCATGCATTACAATAAAAGCCGTTCATAACTTGGATGCGCTGTCGATGACTACCCTCCCATCCGGCCTACCCATTTCTGTCAATACGCAGCTCGTCCTCGGTGCTGCGGCTTCTCCCCAGTGCTGCCGTGGTCCGGTCCCGAACCCCGAAGCGAAGCTTCCTGTAATTGCCTTCTGCGTTGTCGAATATGAGGGGCACCGCTGGACAAAATTAAACAAATTTCAATTAATGTCGCTCATTTGAAATAGAAACTTTGTCGATGTGCTTCCTGCGGCTGTGAACCCTTCACAGCGTCTTACTCTTTTGAAAACCAACGGTGGCGGTGTTGCGATTGTCAGCTTCTTCTGTTTATTGAACTCTATTGCTCACTCGATTGCGTGCCGTACTACCCACACCGCTTCAAACCAGTGCTTGTACAAGGAGGTCCCTGCCAACGAAGATGAAGACTTCCAGTCCTCCCCCAGCACTGACATGCCACGATACGATTAGCCATATGTCCACCCAGTCAGAGTACAAGTGTCACGACGAACTTTTGGATGGTCAACATAGACTGCGCATCATTTGCGGCAGTGAACAATAGTGTTATGGTTACTAGTACATCATTTTCATGTGCAAATAAATTCCTACAATTTACCTTCTTCGGTGCGAGTACGAAGGTGTCAATGATGTGATGGTCATCAAGGGACTCACTACCTAAGCTTAGTACACCGCAATAACGGGTTATGGCACTCACCAGTGTCCTTTACTGCTGCCGAAGTCGCAGACGGGGATGTTATCCCGAGGCTCGCATATAGTGATGCGTCGGGCCCGGCCTGGGGCCCTCGGGGCCGAGCCCTCGTAGGCCAGGCCAAAGCCAGGCCCAAGGTGAGGGCCTTATAGGGCTTTGGGCCTGGCCTGTGAGTTGGACAGGCCCGAGCCCGGGGCTCAGGCCCGGGCTTCCCAGTTTGGAAACACTCACTGCGGAAATGAGATTTTAGCCAGATCAGAGGGAGACAACGAGTGTAACACGACTCTAAACGTACATACCTCGTAATCAGACGCAAATCCGATGGGTCACACAATTTTGTCGTTCAACACATCTAAACAGACACTTTTCCAGATACTCGCTATTCCACCACTAATCAGCCCTGTAAATTGTCTTCTCGACCGTCGGATTAGAATTCAGTTTGTCACCTCGGCTAAGTCTATTAAAATTCTATTGAAGTCTCTCAAAGTTTCAACTCCTGCCTTGACTTGCAACCACAACCATCTCCGCATACCGTGGTGCACCGCCTCTACCTAGCTGATGCGAAGGATGCCGTCCGTACCAGTATTCGGTTTGTTGTGGTATGCTCACACATATTATCTACTTTGGTTACTGATCTTGTATGGGCTCTAGGGCGCATTCATGCGGCAGAGAAGGATATCTTAGAAGGTATGTTGATTGTCGCAATCAACACAAGTTGTTGCTCTTCACTCATTAGATTCGTCTGGGCTTGCCTGCACTCGTTTGGACTCGTCTATACTCCGAGTCGTCTGCATTCGTCTGTACTTGTCTTCACTCGTCTTAGCTTGCCTTCGTTCGTCTGGACTTGCCTGCACTCGTTTGGACTCGTCTGTACTCGTCTGCATTCGTCTGTACTTGGCTTCACTCGTCTTGGCTTGCCTTTGTTCATCTAGATTTGCCTGCACTCGTTTTCACTCCCCTTGACTTGTGTGCATTCGTCTGGGCTTGCCTGCATTCGTCTGTACTTGTCTTCACTTGTCGTGGCTTGCCTTCGTTCGTCTGGACTTGCCTGCACTCGTTTGGACTCGTCTGAATTCGTCTGCGCTCGTTTGGACTCGCTTTGGACTCATTTGAACTCACCTGGACTCATTTGAACTCGCCTGGACTCACCTGGACTCATCTCTCATTTTGACTCGCCTTTGTTCATGCTCGTTCGTACTCGTTCGTTCGTGCTCGTTGTTCGTCCATGCTCATTTGCACTCATTCGTTTGTGTTCATTCGCCCGTGCTCGTACATTTGCTTCACACTCGTTCATATGGTAATGTGATACACTCGTGCAGCTCCCTACTGACAGAGTCACAAGCCCTGGCCCAGGCCCTCCTAAAGGACCTGGCCTGAGTTTTTTCCAGGCCCGAGCCCTGGCTTTCAGGCCAAGCCGGGCCCGATGCATCACTAACGGTGACTGCGGCAGGTCCATCTCTCGAGACCCAGAAGTCTTCCCTGACCCTGAAGCGCTCAGGCATCAGCGCTGGCTTGACAACCAAGGTCGCGTGAGAGACGACCTCACACCCTTTATATATGGATTTGGTCGGCGGTACGCACCGTATTTTCGACTATACTTTCATTGACTATCCTTCCTTCTAGCATATGCCCCGGTCTACACGTCGCAAACAGGTAAAAGTATCCTTCCACACACACGACCCTTCGAGCTCATTCCTATTGGCATAGATCATTGTTCATAACTACCGCCCTTATTTTTTGGGCCTTCCAGCTCAGTCTAGATCCTACGAAGCCCTTAGATTACTGGGGAAATTTGGATGTGGTGCCCTGGCCTTGCGCTTTTGAGTTTACGAAGAAGATCCCAGAACCGGAGATCAGGTACATCTTGCAAAATTATCCTGAGGTCGCTTAAGTCTCATCATGGGATCCCGTGACAATTCACGGAATTTGTTTCAGAAAACCTGAACGCTAGAATGCCGTGCTCAACCCGCGTCGAAGAAATTCAGGCATGTGTATAGTACTTAGAATGATGCATTGTATATGCAGGATGAATTGGAGCTGGGCGAAACATGAATGAGGATGATACACTGCACTGAAAATGTCGAGGAGAAGATGTAGGTAGCCTAGGTCGCCCAAGGTACTTGGGGAGGGAAAAAGACATGATAAAGAGGGATGGGCAGAACGAGGCAGATAATGATGTTGAGCAAAAGAAGTCACGACCGTGTCAATATCGATGAAACGCTGTGTATCGAAGGAAGATGATAAGAAAAGGGGTAAAATTGTCTCGATCTTGTACCTTTCATCGTTCCACCAGGTCGATAATCACTTTATGATTGTGGGGGAGACGGGGGAGAATCCGAGGCTCGTCTGTAGACGTTGGCCTCACATGCATCCCGGCGAGATGATTGTAGTGCTAGTGAAACGTGATTACTTACTTGTCCAACGACCAAACCACCGACGTCACATACCAACCCAGGTCTTGAATAGGACCGACAAATTCGCCAGTTTTCCTGTCCTAAACGCGCAGTGTACAAGTAGGTTCTACCGTCTGATATTATTATGTCGCCCGAAGGTGCATATGCAAGAGCATACGCCTTTGACTACTAACGTAGCTTCTGGCGCTGATTCAGGCTTCAGAGCTCACATTAGCAAAACTGAGGTTCGCTGAGGTCTCGGTTCCCGCACCCTGCCATACGCTGTAGACCTGGACCAGGTTCTGAATTGATTGCGATAAGGAGCTCGGCAAAGCATGTGTATATCTCGCGGACGACGCAAATCAAGTCGACTGTCAGTCATTTGAGTTCAGTTACAAATGTGATACGTTACGTTGATATGGACGAGTCGTGATTGTAAAAGATGCAAAGAAAGAACAGCCCACTAGAGGTCCAAAAATATATTCGAGAAATATTTCTGCACGCCTTCTTCACCATGAACGATCGCCCCAATCACACCGTCTGGCCGTATCACAAACACCTTCGTCTGGTTGGCTTCTACAAAATAAGCTGTATATGCATAGCCCCCCTCATCAATAAGAACGACATCAGCACAAGGAGATACGACGGGCGCCACTGGTGTCGACGATGGTAAAACGACAGCCTTGCGCACAACCCTCCTGTCAAATGCCTCCAGTGCCCCCAAGATCGAGGTAGCATCCGAGAGACTCGGCGCAAACACAAGCACCGTGTGACACCAGGGTTTGTACAGACCAAAAAGCGTCTTCACGTCAGATTCTCCACGTCCCACCTGGAGCACGTTGGGTGCATCAGGCGCCCTGTCCCCAGCCTCCAGATGCCCCTCGTCAAACACCCCGTATGCGTTGACAGGCTTCCCCTCGATTGGAGTTGCAAATTCATCGAGTACGATGCTGCTGAACCGACAGTTGACGCCAAGCATGAAAACAGTGGGGTTGTGTAGTCTGAGTTCTCCTGTTATTAGTGTCTGGTTGAGAATAGAGGTAGTCATCTCGATCATCTCGGAGATGACAGGGAGACGCTCGGCGCTGTATGTCTTCAGAAGAGACTTGTCGGCAAGTCCTTTTTCAACGAGCGCGAGTTTCTATCCTAGATTGAACTGGTGTCAGTGGTGTCAGTGATACCGCACACGCTGCATCGGTTACACTCACAGCATCTTGTACACCTGAATTGAGTCCCTGTTAATAGAGAAATGAGCAAACATTGATATTTAAAATCAGAACAGCCATATCTGGCCACCCGTAGGACTGTGAACACTGAACATACGTCAGTAGCTGTTTGGCAGAAGGGCACTCAAAACATACTGTGCAGCATCTACGACTTCCATCAGCACAACTGCACACGCCTAGATAGAACCACACACCACCCATAACGAACACTCGATCCTCGCCAAACTTGTTCACCAGTACGGATATTGCCCCTGCAACAAATGGATCAACGCGCTTCGACGCGTACAGAAAAGACAAGAACGCACCGGAACTCGCTCACCCAAACCAACTTGTTGAACGTAATCTCAGTGGGGATAAACGACGCGATGGACGCGAAGATAAGCTCCTCGCTCTGAATGGTCTTCATCAACTCTAGTTCGCGATCAGAAATGAAGAAGTGCCAGCCATCCTCGCCGATTTCGTCCGTTGGACGCAACATCAGTCTGTGGATTGTAAATACATCTCCAAGCCTCGAGAGCAAAAACTGCACATACGAACGGTCACTAAAGCTTCCAAATCGATGCATATGCTTCGAAACTGGATCAGTACAGCTTTCCATCAAATAAGTACAAAACGGACTCACCACTCTATCAAGACCAACTCCCTTTAAACGAATATCCCCAGTGATAATACAGAAGTCGTCTCTAGTCTCGCCCAAAAACGTGAGCCCAAGCTGTTTGCGCACGACGCCTGCAAAACATCCAGTCCCCTTGATCCCGGTGTATTTGACCGCCTCTCACCTTTAGCACCATCGGCGCCGATCATCCACTTGGTATCGAAAGTCTCTAATATGCCGTTATTTAGCCAGAACAGCTGCGATGCCCTCCTCGGACTGCTTGAACGAGCTTAGTTCAGTGTTCATCTCGACAGAGCAGTAAAACTTCTCTAGGTGGCGTCGCAGAACCACATCTAGGAGCTGTTGCCCTATCATCTTTGGGATGTGCTAGAAGACAAAATAATCAGCATGAAAGTCTTGAGCAGACGATAGTGGTGCACACGAATGGTACCGCTGGTGTAGGTTCCATATGCGGGGCCAACGGATAGTCTTTCAGAGGTTCCAACGTCCCGGGCTTGTATAAACGGATGACAGGGATTTGTTTTCCTAGATTGTTGACTTCCGGGACATTCAGGAAGTTGAAGAGTTCGAGGGAGCGTGGCTAGATCGTGCGTTTGAGACCACGGAGCATCCAAGAAGTGGATGTATGACAAACCCATATTGTGGGACCACGCTGTCCGATGCGAGGGTTTGGATCTTTATCGATGATGCGAACTGGGATACCGTTTTGGACAAGCGTCAACGCTGCTACCAGACCTGCTGGCCCAGCGCCTACCTAAGAAAGCGGAATTCAACTGAGGCATAAAATTCCATGATAAGCACGTCACTGACGACTAGCACAGGATGATCAGCGGAATTCATGTGCAGAGGTCAAGTGTAGTTCAGAGGGTATTGGATCAGTACAGAGGACAATCGCGTCGTTAGAACACAGGGACACATGGCATGTACTTACATGGCAAGTATGTACTAACTTGCAATGTGGTGCCTTTCGCAGGTCTCCTTATGAAACCCTTGATTCCTTCACGTGGCCTACAAGTACTGGCACGATTCCAGTAACGAGTGCGAAACTTGCCAATGCGATCGAGGGGGAATATTCACGGCCTCGTGGAATGTCGTCCCCTAGACGGACCAGTAGGCAGGCGAGGATGGTCGTTTCTACGCTATGGTCTGGACTCTGCAGACTGCTAGAAGACACCGCTAAGGCTGGTGCTTGCTGCTGACATCACTGTGCGAACTGACATGTCCTGTGACTCCACTTTGAGACCTGCGACGCGTACCGGGAGCACTGAGTCGTGACTCTTAGTTCTTACTGGTACTACTATGTACTAGTAGAACTAATGGTCAATAACTTTCATCCGTTATTTTTTCACGAGAATTTGATTGTCCGGACTTCCTTCGAGGAGATTGCCCCCGCAGGATGTAAGTTTCACATGCCTGCGTTGTTCCCTTGCTGAAGTCTAACGTTCACTCAGGCAGCCTGCAACTTGAAGGCTCGGTCTTTATTACCAAACGTACTCATACTCTTACCCAAAGTCCTCGAATATATCATGCAGGCAACCATAAAACTGATAGTCGCTTGATTTCCCAAACAAACTTTCGGGTCGCCCAAAGATAATCGCACAAATGGCCAGCATCTTCGACAAAACCACGAATCTTGGGTTCCGCAAGCCTGATAACTCCCTTTTGCACCGTCCGTGACAAGGATACGAAGTATGACATGCGATCAGGGCAATTAAGATTGGTCGGGTTCGTTCATGTTCTCCCTGTTCAGTGTTCTCTGAGATGGCGTCCTCCCAACATTCACGTTTCACCATGAAGCCAGGTCATCGCCGACTTTTTCAGCCATCCATCGAATCTATCATCGAGGTTTTTGAGCAGCATCACTGCATAGTAATTTGCTGAAGGTGAGTGGGGCATTTCCACTCAGTTGGTACGTACATGCTGATGATCTGATGCGTCTCATAAGCAGTCTAAGTGTCTGAGCCGCGCGAATTCTGGAAGTCCTTCTGTGCTACCTGAAAATAATTCGCTATTTGCAAGAGTCATAGCACAGATCAGTTAGTAGAACAATGGTCGGGTCTCGTTCTCATCCATCCACTCCCCCGCTGATCGAATACATTTCAAAGGATGTCGAAATGCGGTAAGCAACAGACAGGTTTATGATTAATTTCGTTGCGTATAGCCCAGAAATTATAGTCTACGGTGTCGAGGAACAGGAACACTCGACTATGCTAATACCTGAGGAACCTAATATGCAGGGTTCCTGATCAATAGTGTCAGTATTTATGACTCTGAGTCCAGTGGCTGTCATGTTCCTTGCTAAGATGTCAATACCAGGGGCCCAACCTCACCATCCCTAAGTATTTTGAGTGCTTTCGAACGGAAAAAAAATCAACAATGCCGAGTCACGAAGAAAGGTTACAAATTTAATACGTCGCATTGGTTGTGGTATATATGGATGAGTTGTGATTGTAAAAGTCGTAAGTAAAGATGAAATAGACTCAGGTCATTACTGGTCCAAAAATATTTTCGAGAAATACTTCTTCACGCCTTCCGCACCATGGACAATCGCCCCAATCACTCCGTCCGGTCGTATCACAAACACCTTAGTCTGGTTGGCTTCGACAAGATAAGCCGAATGAGCATGGCCCTCCTGATCAACGAGAACGACATCAGCAGGAGATGCGACAGGCGTCACCGGTGCCAATGAAGGCAGAACGACTGCCAATCGCACAAGACCTTTGTCGCATGCCTCCAGCGCGCTCAAGATCGGGGTAGCATCTGAGAGACTCGGCACGAATACAAGCACCGTGTGATACCAAGGTCTGTACAGACCAAAAAGCGTCTTCACGTCAGACTCTCCGCGCCCCACCTGGACCATGTTGGGCGCTTCAGGCGCCCTGTCCCCAGCCTCGAGATGCCCCTCGTCAAGCACGCCGTAGGCCTGAATAGGTTTCCCTTCGCCTGGCGTCACGAACTCGTCGAGAACGATGCTGCTGGACCGACAGTTGATACCGAGCATGGTAAGGATCGGGGTTCGTTGCCTCGTTGGGTCTCCTGTCGCTATTGTCTGGTTGAGAATCGTGGTGGTCATCTCGAGCATCTCGGAGATGACAGGAAGACGCTCGGCGGTGTATGTCTCGAGGAGAGACTTGTCGGCGAGTCCTTTTTCGACTAGCGCAAGTTTCCAACCTAAATTGAACTGGTGTCTCTGGCGTCAGTTGTGCTCTACATGCTGCATGTACCTGACTCACAGCATCTTGTACGCTTGAATTAAGTCCCTGTTTATAGAGGAATGAGCAAGTACCAGTATTAACTCAGACAACACATACCTGACCACCGGTTGGACTGTGGACGCTAAATATTCGTCAGCACATTCTGCCAAGAGGGCATTCAAAAATAGACATACTGAGCAGCATCTTTGACGACTTCCATCAGCACAAGTACATAACTCAAGATTATAAGCACATACCACCAGCAACAAACACGCGACCCTCGCTAAACTTGTTCACCATCCGGATATTGGCTCTAAGCAAACCGATGAACGCCCATCGACGTACATACAAGACACGCACGCACCGGAATTCGCTCACCCAAACCAGTTTGTTGAACGTAACCTCCGTAGGTATCAGCGACGCGATGGTCTCGAAGATGAGCTCCTCGCTCTGAGCGATCTCCGTCAGTTCTGCGTCCTGGCCGAATATGAAAAATTGCCAGCCATCCTCGCCAACTTCGTCTGTTGGACGCAGTGAGATGCTGTGGCTTGTCAATGAATGTTCAAGCCTTCAGAGCAGTAATTGCACATACGCTCGTTCACGAAAGTTTCCTAGTCGGTGCCAATACTTTGACCGGATGAGCAGCATTCTTCTATCAAATAGAAAACAGACGCACCGTTCTATCAAGACCAACGCCCTTCAAACGAATATCTCCGGTTATCATTCGGGTATCGTCTTTTGTCTCACCCAGAAACGTAAGCCCAAGCTGCTTGCGCACGACGCCTGCAAAACCATCAGTCTTGTTTAGATCGGCGCATGCGACCGCGTCTCACCTTTAGCACCATCAGCGCCGATTATCCACTTGGTATCGAAGGTCTCTGACACGCCGTTCTTTTCCAGAACACCTGTGACGCCCTGCTCGGACTGCTCGAACGAGCGCAGCTCGGTTCCCATCTCGACAGAGCAAGAGAACTTTTCTAGGTGACGTCGCAAAATCACATCTAGGACCTGTTGTCCCATTACCTTTGGGGTGTGCTAGAAAACACAACGTATCACGAATTAATATCACGTAAGCTTGAGAACACGACAACTTTACACACGAATGGTATCGCTGGGGTAGGCTCCATATGCGGGGCCATCGAAGATTCGCCAACAACTTCCAACGTCCCGGGTTTGTACGAACGCATGATGGGAACTGATTTCCCCAGATCGTTGACTTCTGTGACGTTCAGGAAGTTGAAAAGCTCGAGGGAGCGTGGCTAGATTGTACGCTCCATGAGACTACTGTGACATGACAAGTGGACGTGTGACGAACCCAGATTCCGGGACCACGCTGTCCAACACGAGGGTTGGGGTCTTTATCGATGATGCGGACTGGGATGCCGTTTTGGAGGAGCGTCAATGCTGCTACCAGACCTGCTGGCCCAGCGCCTACCTAAAAATGAATTAAGTTGAGGCAACTTCCATGACAAGCAGGTCACTTACGACTAACACAGGAGGATGAGTGGAATTCATACGTAGAGGTTGATGAGTTCAGAGCAGACACCCGCGTCGTTTTAACATAGGGGTAAAGCCGATCAAAACGCAAAGGTGGGATCAGGTAACCATAGATAACCATGGCTGTTCAACTGCGTATCGGCTCGTATCGGTATCCTTACAAAGAAAGATTTGCCGGCGCCGCACGTCACACCGGATGATTTGTCAAAATGCTCACCACATCTTCATGACGTCGACTGGACGGCAGTGCGGATGTCCGATGGCACTCCCATCGATGCCAAACAGACATCGTCTAGCGGACCGTAAACGTATGAGTTGTTGTTCAAAGTTTGAAGACTCGGAAACATGCGCGTGCCTGTGAAGTTCTGGGGCTTAGGACAGGTCAGCTCGCAAATATACTCTTTGACTATGGCACTGCTAGTCTTCAAGTGCCCATACGGGCAAGGAACATGAACTTGACGGACGATGTGGATAACCGGGTGACCATGTATAGCCACCTCATGAATTTCCCAGCTCGAATGTGCAGTGTCACCGTCTCGTGAGTCCAATTAGTTTACGGATTCCGCAATTCATCGATAGGACAGGTCGTTGCTGTTGTTGCTCATCGCTGCACTACAATCCCTGAAGCCTGAGCACTACACTCAGAATACAGTAACGGTATCGAGCTGAGAGGAAACCGAGATAATGAGAGCGCGCAGAACAACATTTCCGAGGACCAGACCTATAGGCCGTGCTCATCGTGTGTGTCGACGTGGAGGCTCCGAGCCTGAGAAAAAGATGCATTCCAAAAAGGGAATGAACCAAGCGACACCAGCTTCTTTCTTCTGAATCCTCCGCACACAGTGCCAACTGCTAAGAGCTTGCGCGAGCAACGCGCCTTCACACCAGGATGCACTCTAGTGATTTGAGATGCGGCCAGGCCCAGTCATTCAATAATATTCGATCACGTCCAGCCTCTCTACACACCTCTTGCACGAGCAGTAATATGTAAGTGAGACTAAGTGAGAGATGCTAGTGAGATGAAGGTGCTTGCGAACTACCTAGGGGAGAGTCGAAATCAGCCCTCTAAGAGAGCCAGACAGGAGCCAGAAGTTAAGCTTTCAAGTTCCTGTCGATGTCATTATCATGATGATTATAACGTTAATGCGTTAAACTAAGTATGACGGTCGCGCTCTGACCTGAAGCCCACTGGACTGCATCCTGCACTCGAACTTGCAACTAACAAACTGCTGTAACTCACTCTCGATTTCTATTTGAACTTTGAGCAGAGCACCACAACACCAATGCTTCCTGGCGCTATCATAATTAGTACTATATATAGGGCACAGCAATCAGCCCTCGTGGCCTCCTGTAAGCAGACGAGCGCCCAGCTGTTGTCCTTCAACTGCATTCCACGACCATCCAACCGTCAGCGAGCTCCCCACAGCACCAGAACCAACAACATTAGTCCAGTTATTCAACAGTACTAGGCCCTACTCCTTCCCACGCCGAAACATCGTCTCGCAACTTTAGTACCCTCAAAAGAAGCTTATCCCCGCATCAGCGTCCTCGTACGTCGCGAGTTATTTGCCGCTCGTATGATTTCTAACCGCACTGTGGTACCAGTATAGAAGGAACAATTATCTTCATTCTACCCTACAACCCACGGGAGACTACCGACTACATAGTACTTCTCGGATATATTCCATTCCATCTCACATTCTGTGTCACGATTTATCATCAACCCTTGTCAATAAATCAATGTCAGTATATTCATATTATATGTGCTTGTCTTGTTCTCTAATCTAATCAGCAGTTCTTGGATATGTCTGATGGAACTTGGGAGAAGTTATCCAGGTCGCTGTTAAGGGTGCTGAATATGACTCTCGTGAACGCCAGCCCCATCCGAAATGTTTGCAAGGGACCCGGGTGGACCTTCTCAACTACCTCTACGGATTGTTAGACGACACAAAGAAGAGCCAAATTATTTGGCTCCATGGCACAGCGGGCGTCGGAAAGTCCGCTGTTGCGTTCACTGTAGCTGAAAGGATGAGAGGTCTGAAAGTGACAGAGGAGACGAATGTCGAGAAGCGGCTCGCAGGAACCTTCTTTTTCTCGCGCAAGCACACGAAACGCCGCACGACTGGTTATTTCTTCGCGACGCTTGCCTACCAGCTGGCCAGCAATTTTCCCAGCATCAAGTCGTACGTGAAGAATGCAATCCTCGAGAACCCTGCCCTTCTAGACCCCGACAAGTCTCTTCGCGATCAGATGGAAGCGTTGTTCCTCCGACCTCTTCGTAAACTTCAATCCAGGTTGCGCGAGTGTCCACCTATGGCATTTATTATCGATGCCCTTGATGAATGCACATCTGAATCACTCGAATCTGAATCACTCAGTCAAGACCAATCCGAAAGCGAGCTTACGGAACTCATATCCCTGCTCGCCGAAGCTCTTCGCGATCCTGGTCTGCCTGTGACCCAGATTGTGGTCACAAGTCGCTCGGAAGCACATATTCATGAAGCTATGCAAAATGAAGATGTACACCCGTTGGTGTGCGAGATACCAGTGAGGATTTCTGGGAGAGGTGTTACTGCCACCATCTCGCTAGACGGCGCAGATGTTGACGAAGATATCTATCTTTTCCTGGAGCATTCCTTCAAAAAGCTGCGAAATCGCTTTCACAATTTCCCGCAGCCAACGAAGGATCAACTTGAACAGCTTGCGAGGCGAGCGGGTAGACGTTTCATTGTGGCGTCTACGATGATGAAGTTTATCGATGATCAACACAACAATCCCCGCCATCGGCTTCAACTTCTACTTCAACTAACGAGTAAACTACTACCAGGAACGGAGGTGAACAAATTATACGACTGTATCCTCTCCACGTGTGCAGACCCCTCGCGGGCATACATGCACTTGTCCATTGTCGCAACTCTTGCAGACCCTCTATCGATATCGCAAATCTCGGAACTTCTTGGTCCTGGTGAGGGCAGGGACGTCGAGAAAGTACTGGTACAGCTACGATCTGTCCTAGAAATTCCTACCGACAGTAGTCTCCCGGTGCAAATCTCTCACTCGTCTGTTCGTGACTATGTGTCGCACCGCTCAAACTGCAGCCTTCCTGAAGCACAATATATCGCATCACCGCACTCCCTACTTGCTCTGTCCTCTCTCCAGTTGATGGTGGAGGAGATTTCGGCAAGTACGGCGCTCCTGGATAGGCTCTCAGAATTGACGAGGTATAGCCAAGCTATGGAACCTCACGACCCCCAGAGTTTGAAAGACTCATTATCCTTCATCGTCCATCTGGAGCCACTGCAAGTACTTATGACTCTGCTATGGCTTCGAATGAACCACAGTTCAGAGTTACAATTCTGGCTAGACACCGCGGACGGGTGTGCCTGGCTAGACACCGCGGGCGGGTATGCCTGGCTAGAAACTGCAGATGGGTGTGCATGGCTGCAAACTGGAGGAGGGAAAGAGTGGCTGCAGACTCAAGGAGGGCACGACTGGTTGCTGACCCGGGGGGGGAGAAAGTGGTTGTCGAGCCCTGACGGGAAAGACTGGCAGTGCAACCATCATGCGACTTTCGGGTACCGATGGCCGTCAATCCTGAGGTCACGCCTTTTTTTATCTCGAAAATCCATACTGCTATCCTCATCATCGTCCTCATCATCCTCGACATCATCCTCATCATCCTCACCGTCATCCTCAACATCTCCACTACCATTCCCCGGGCCGCAATTGCCACCACCCTTACCGCAATTCCCCGAGCCATATGAGCCGTCCTCCCAGGCATACTCACAGCCACATCCCAGTAGCGGAGACTGGCCAGAGACAGATCAACTCTGGGTAGATGAGCTGGAGATCTCGGATATGGGAGGCTGGCTATTTCATGCCTTTGATGGGAGAGAATTTCTATGCACTCCACGCGGGCTACACTGGCTGCAGAGCCGAGGCGGACGAGAGTGGATGCAGTACCAGGGGGGATGGGACTGGCTAATGACCCAACGCGGGCAAGACTGGCTGCAGATCCAGAGTGGTCAAGACTGGCTGCAGACCCAGGGCGGTCAAGAGTGGTTGCAGAGCTGTAGCGGGAAATGCTGGCTGCAAACTGAGGGTGGGCAAGACTGGTTGCAGACACAGGGCGGGCAAGACTGGTTGCAGACACAGGACGGTCAAGACTGGTTGCAGAGCTGTAGCGGGCAATGCTGGCTGCAGACCGAGGGCGGGCAAGACTGGTTGCAGACACAGGGCGGGCAAGACTGGTTGCAGACACAGGGCGGTCAAGAGTGGTTGCAGAGCCTTAGCGGGAAACACTGGCTGCAGACCCATGGCGGTCGAAAGTGGTGGTTGCAGACCCAGGGCGGTCAAGAGTGGTTGCAGAGCCTTAGCGGGAAACACTGGCTGCAGACCCATGGCGGTCGAAAGTGGTTGCGGACTCAGGGCGGTCAAGAGTGGTTGCAGAGCCTTAGCGGAAACGACTGGCTGTGGACCCATGGCGGTCGAGAGTGGTTGCAGACCCAGGGCGGTCAAAAGTGGTTGCAGACCCAGGGCGGTCAAGAGTGGTTTCAGAGTCTTAGCGGGAAAGACTGGCTGCAGACCCAGGGCAGTCGAGAGTGGTTGCAGACCCAGGGCGGTCGAGAGTGGTTGCAGACCCAGGGCGGTCAGGAGTGGTTGCAGACCCAGGATGGGCGAAAGTGGCTACATACGCCACTTGGCCAAGCCTGGCGGTTGACGACTGTCTGGGTGACAATGGAAGAATTCTCGGGCACATTGCAAGCAAACAAAGAGTACATTATCGCCCCGGAACTGCATTTACACCCAGCTTTCCAAGTAATCCAGCAGTTCAAAAGCCTGCCAGATTTCTTGATGTTTCCTGTGTTCCTGGCATTAAGGCACCAAGATTCCACCTCTGCATTACTGCAAGGTCATTTTCCACCCGACATAGAGATCATCCATGCTATGCAGGCCTTCTCGAGTTTCGCATACACAGCACAGGCGCAAAGTCGAACAGTTTCTGGTGCTCTGGATTACGCATGTCAAAACTGGGCCGTCCACCTCTCGCGAGTTCCGAATCCATGGGATACGATGCTCGCCCATATATTTGAGTCGTTCTGGAATGATAACCTCCTCTCCTGGCTCGAAAGGCAGTGGTGTTTGAAGGATCTGCAGTCTTGCCTAGCTATTTTATCTGAAGGTCAGAAACTTGCAACGGTTTGTTTTCAAGTTTTTGCATCACTCAGAACCTGACCTGCGCATATAGGCACATCTTTACCAAGGCCTAGGGTCATCTCAGTGACGAGTCTGAAGGCTGTTGATGTTACAGTTATGCTACATGTCACGCTGTCTTATTATCTGTGCAATCACATCAGGGAAAACCTCGTTCTCAAATTGGATAAAATGCGATCTAACTTGCGCGAATTTGCGACAACTCGATGAATTTGACTATTGGATCAATTATTTTAGTCCCTTTCAAAATTTCGCAAATAGGATCTCAATTTGCGAAAGTCAGAACAGAATTTTCAGGTCGCTTTCCCAATCCAATCCAATTATATCAAGCAAATTCTATTAGATATCGAATCGAGATGCAATAGAATGCACAATAATTATCATTCATCCGCCATACCCTCGATATCGAGAAACATGAGACTCTCGGTGGCGCCAGGCTCGTCGGTCTTGCGCTTCGACCCACTATAACACGGTACAATCAGACAACTGCTGGTGACGCCAGGGCTAGAACTCACTGGACAGATTTGTATAAGCCATGCACGAGGATGTGACATTTTCACTCGCTGGCCTGAAAAATGCCGTTCAACATGCCGACCAGTGTTCGGTAGATTCCACCATACATCTCCGAGTTGAAGTCGCGGTCGTATTTCTCGGAGGAATACTGCATAATCACCGAACACACCTTTCATAGCATGATAGATCCATCAATATCTATCACAAAGCCACAAACATTGAAACACACCGCGGCGCTAGCGAGAGCCACCATTGCAACGGGTAACTCCACCTTGTCATGATGATCCTCCAGTGTCGATGTTAAATCATCGTGCCACTTTAGTCCCGCTGCGAGCTCGTCACTGAAGAAAGCGTCTTCAATAGTGTCCAAAACCACGGGCACTTGAAAAGGTTTGGTTCGAATAAGATCCCCCTGTAATGCAGCATCAACCCCGACAGTGACAGCCAATATTAGCATAGTACAAACCTTTGTATTGACAAGGATAGATGTAAGCATTGTTTTTAAGAAGCTCCGCAACCCTCTCGTCAGCACCTTTTGTTAGCTGATACTGTAGAGATACGACACTAGGTTCGTCACGTGCAGCCCGTGACAATGTCACTGCTTAGTGTTACAGGTTCGAATGTCCAGGTGACCTGTGACCTTACCCAAATAGATTCGCCTGCGGATCGGACATGGTGCTTCGCCGCTCGCAATGCCATTTGCAACCATTTGACATGCTGCTTCGTGATTCAAGCAACTTGCTTCAGTCTGTCGTGGATTCGCCTCGCATAGCGCTGAATGGTAACGAGTGGAATTGGAGACTCCAGTGGTCTTAAAGCCTGCCAGGTGAGTCTACCAGTATGATCCGTTTTCAAGCGCCCGTCATGCCATCACAAACTGATATGTTTATTGCTTCAGAGTGGCTCTCATGTGGTCGTGTTTTTGACCAGAGCAAACTGCCGCCTTCTGTTCGACGTGAGATCACACAGGTTACTCAGGATCCCAACTTCAATGCAACCAACCATCCCATCTCGGACTCTGCCTGTCGCACAGCTACTCAACATCAATATTTGCGCATCGCTGGACTGTGATCTTAGCCCAGATACCATCATTTTCTCAACAAACCCCCCTCTCCTCAGCCTTCCCAATGATTTCACGGCATGGTCAATTCCCCCGCTCCATTGCGTCACTCAGCTCCTCGATCAGTTCGGTCAGGCTTGGTTTAATGGTCACACTTCAGTCATCCATCCACTTTCCCCAACATTTCACCTTCCGTTCTGGGTTCTTTCATACTGGAGGGACATCTCATGTGCCCTGGAGGCTTCGTCTCACCTGGATATCGGCCCATGATTGGGTTCTTCAGAGGCTTGAGGATGAAGAGGACACAGGCTGTGGTGCTTGCGAGTCAGTAGTTGTAGACAAGGTTCTAGATTCGCTTGAGCATTTGCCATGGGATGTTGACTTGAAGGGGTTTGGTGCTCAGACCAGTCTTCACACACCAGAGCTTCTCCCTCTACTTGCTGACACGATGGTCAATGGTCGTGTACTTGATGCTCTTATTGCCGCTATCAATGATCGTGTGGATGAACACAATGATACTGCTGTCGAGACACTTGATTTTTCAAATTTATTGTTCCTGGGCGACACGCGGTGGTCAAAGTATCATTTCGACAAAGCCTTTACTCGGCTGCATTACCTCGGAGACTCGCTTCACGATGGCACCATACAGCGTGTCATTTTCCCTGTCAATGTTGCCAATGTCCATTGGGCCATCGTTAGTGTGGATGCTAGCACACGGATGATCTTGTACGGCGACTCACTTGGATGGTCCATGCCTAGTTCATATGTTGATGCTATCCGCCGCTGGTTGAAAAACCACGGTTTCGCACCATTTGGCAAAGGATCCTTGTCTCATGGGGAGCAGACAGACTCCTTTTCATGTGCAATTGTGGCTCTCAATACCATCAAGTACGCTGTCTTCAGACACCACCCACTGTTTACCGATGACTCGAAATATCATCTTCACATGGAGGAGTTTTTGATGTTGACAAAGAGCCACTTCAAGGTTCGTTTTTACTGTGTTTTTACGACTCGAAAAACTCATTTCCTCATAACAGTCTGAGGAATTACTTTCTGAGTCTTTGGAGAGCTCTTTCGCAGATGACACTAGTGATTTCGGCAGTCGAATTTTCATCATGTCCTCCATCATATCCCAGTCTGGTACCAGCAACAAGCCCCTCCCCTCTGCCTGACAACATCTAGCTCGGAACAATGTTTCCTTGAATCTTAGGGTTCGCGAAGAGGAAAAATCTGTTGGTTTGTTCAAGTACTTTCCAACTACGACACGCAAGGAGCATCTCAAATCAGCATGGACTCCTTTCTCTTGGGAGCTAGAGAGTTGTGAGCGGGATGCCCATAGGGTTCGTGTTGAAGGAGTAGAAAGAGATATATGCCGACGTGAGGGAAATAGGGAGTGGAAACAAATCCAACGTGCCCGTGAAAAGGCTATGAAGAAGGCCACTACAAATCACGCATCTGACATCGCTCCTGCCCTCCCAATGACAGATCTTGCTGAGGTGTCTCACCCATATCGCGAGATTCGAAGAGATGCGAGGGCGCATAAACCTAGTGTTCAACCTGGATGCAAAAGGAAGCATGAGGACACTGTTGCAGTTCATGTCAACTGGCAACACCCCTTGTTATGGGTTACTATTGCTGAAGCTGCTGTTCGAGTGGGGATTGGCATGTCTCCCATAGAGATTGTGTGCGATCTTCAGCAGAGGGACTTAGCACGATTCCGGACATTGACTCCACAGGTAGTTGGAACATGGATCGACTGCTCTAGTGACAAAGCTGTTTGGAGTGCGGCAACTCTTGCTTGTGTTCAGCGACGCAGCCTGCCCATGTACCAAAACACACAGAAACACATTCTATCCTCCTATCCCAACGTGGTCAAATTGATCATCGATGACCTTCAGTCTCTCTGTCTAGTTGGTGTTGCGTTGGACACTCTCCGCTGCCGTGGTATTATCCTTGCACACTTGCAACACTCCGTTCCTGATATTTTCGAGCATGTCGCCAGGGACGGTTCTCGCTTCCACTGCACGGAGAGTTGGGTGAAGGAGTTTCTCGCTGAGCATCTCAATTGGAGCTTCCGCAGGGCAACACATGCAGCACAAAAAACACCACCAAATGTTGATCAACTTCTCCTTGATCAGTTCCTCTGTTTAACGCTCACAATTCGTGACTGCGCAATCTTCGATGCTGCATTCATCGTCAATATCGACCAGATGAATATCGTCTATCAGCCAGCAAACACCTCAATTTTTGAAACAATTGGCTCGAAGCAAGTCTCCATGATCGGGCAGGAAGAAAAACAAGCATTCACTGTCGTCAATGGAATATCTGCCAGAGGTCATGCCCTCCCCTTGCAACTGATCTACGAGGGGAAAACTTCACGCTCTATTCCTTCAAAGTCTACTCCGCAATACAAGGAAGCGATGGAACTCAAGTTCAAAATCTCATACTCAAGTACACACACTTACTGGTCAACATTTCCCCTCATGTGCGAGTATGTTAACGACATTCTGGTGCCTTACTGGGAGGAGCAGAAAGTGTTACTCAATGCACCGGCTGACCAGGAGTGTATTTTGCACCTCAATGTGTGGAGTGTGCACAGATCAATTCAATTTCGCACGTGGATGGATATGACCTACCCTTGGATCAAATACCACTTTGTCCCTGGGGGCTGCACTGGTGTTGGTCAGCCATGTGACGTCGGTATTCAATGACCATTCAAACTTGCAGTCAAACAGACACAGCATGCTGATATAGTCAATGAGTCTCTTGTTCGACTTGCCCAAGACAGGTCTGCATCACTCATCCGACTCGACACAACAATTGGCACCCTTCATGATCGGTCATTGCGGTGGGTAATAAATGGATATCACGCTATAAACAAGCCCGAGCTTGTAAAGCAGGTTTGTTTCTCATTTTCTCGCACTGTTGAATCTTGATGTACAGAGCTAAATCATGTTTTCAAGGCATTTTTCATGTGTAAGGCCAGGGAGAATTTCAATCTCTCATTCGCGAGCCTCGCAAGTCAAGAGGTGTTGCAATATTTACGTGATGTTCAGAAGAATGATCCAGCTGGATGGACGAGGATTGCTACCGCTCAGTACAAGACTGTCAGCATCGACCAGCCAACAGACTCCGAGTCAGAGGATGAGGCCACTGATACTATTGGAGTTGAATCCCCCTTCGACGATGCTAGTGAGCATGACCTTGATGCCAGTGACGTGCCAATGGATGCACTTCTTGACCATATGGCTTCCGGGGGTGAACGTGTCCGTTCTGACTGCCGTATCGATGCAGATGGCGGACTTCTGTGTTCAAACCACTCTGAAGTCTATGATGTGGGTGACATTACTGCCGAAGATGTGGAGAGTGGCTCGAACAGTGTTCTGAAGGTTGATTATGGGCGTGGAAAGCGTAGACGCATCGCAAATTCGATGTATGATGATTTCTGGTCCCATTAGCGCTCAACCTATGTTTTTTTCTGTATGTCACAAATTAGCTTCGTCCCACCAAAAATTCATGTGACAGTCACACTAAATAGATTCGATTCGTTAAGGGCTGTGACCTGTGACGAACCTAGTGTTGTATCTCTACAGTAGTGCCGAAATCATCCGATGGGTCTCGGAGAGTCTGCGCTCCTTCGAAATAGTAAAGGACCGAGGTTTCAGCGCACTTATGAAAACAGGGCGTCCAGAATATTACTTACCATCACCGAAAACCGTTGCGCGTGATGTCAGACAGGTGTTCGTTCGAACGTGTGCACGCATTGCACAAATGCTACAGGACTACCCCGGAGAATTGAACTTTGCGACCGACGCATGGACGTCGCTGAATCATAGGGCGTTTGTCGCTGTTTCCGTGCATCTCGAACACGAAGGTAAAGCACTGTCAATGATACTCGACATAGTTGAGGTGGCGAAGGTAAATAGAATGAACGAGGGCACACACCATATTGCTGACTATTGGTAGTCACATACAGGCGCCAATTTAGCGCAGGAATTCGCAAATATTCTAGAGGAATTTGGTATATCAGACAAGGTGCGAGGAACTCAATATTGCAAGGAAAAAACTCACCAGGTCCATCAAGATATTGATTGTTGCTGCGGACAATGCGTCGTCCAACGACACGCTCGTTGCAGAGCTTGCAACGATCCTACCAAAGTTTGGTGGAGAGACAAACCGGTCGAGGTGTTTCCTCCACATAGTCAATCTTGTTGCAAAGTCATTGCTCCGAGAGTTTGACGCACCGAAAAAAAAGAGGAATCAGTCATCTGATGATGCGGAGGAAGAAGAGGGTGGTAGGGAAGACGGTAGGGAAGACGATAACGAAGATGAAGAGGAGGGAGGACTCACCGAGGATACCATGGATCTTGAGGAATCGCAGACACGAGTCGATGACTCCAACAAAAGTGTTGAGGATGATGATGATGTCGAGGGATGGGTGGATGAGGTTGTGCTGCTGAGTCCAAAGGAGCGCAAAAAGCTAGCGCGCAGTATTCGCCCAATCAGAATTGCATTGATCAAGGTGATAAGATAGTTACTCACCTTACATCCCCTACTGACACCCCCCAACAGGGTGAGTATGAGTTGACACCACATGAGTGGACGCTTGTTAAGCAGTTGCGCGATGTGCTCAAGGTGAGTGACATGTCACATACATCACACTCAATACTAACTTAGCGAAACGTACCTCAATGCTGATGTTGAGGACGTTGGAGATGCGATTGCCTGGTGGTACGGACACTGCAAGACTTACCCCTGCTTATCTCGGATGGCGCTGGATTATTTAACTATTCCAGGTACGTTTTCATGTTTTTTGTTTTATTTTTGCTTTAACACGCCTCCACAGCAACATCCGTTGATGTTGAATGGATTTTCAGCCAAGGCCGCTTGCTTCTATCTCACGTTCGAAACCGTCTTTCTGCACAGACCACCCGAGCTCTCCTTTGCGTAGGATTATGGAGCCAACTAGGATTAGTCAAGGACACGGACATCAATTCTGTGGCGAGCCTCCCAGACGTGGATGGGGAAGATGAGGAACTCGATGACGGATGGGATAGCATTACTCTTCATTAGTTTTTTACTACTACATTGTTATTACAGCGAGCTATATACTTGATGGGTATGTGTATACCCGCGGTACCCATTACCCGCGGATGACCCTTGTATTGACCCGCACCCCTAAGGACCCTTGGGTAGGTGGGTATAGGTAGTTGATGGGTGCGGGTGTGGGTTGAGGTTGTCGCACCTGCGGGTTTACCCCTGTCGAACCCTAATGGCAGTTAATAAACTGAAACCGAATACGACAAAAATGCACCACTGATGATAACGTATGCACATACTTAGGGTCCTTCGCAAGGTGTTTTCTCACTGCATCAAACTCCTCACCATCCTTGGTACATGACATAAGGATGTCGGCCATCAGCTTTCTCTGTTGCTGTAGTTCCGGGTATGCATTTTCGAACAAGAGATGTTTGTGAAGGCAAGTAATTGAGGCCTGGATCATGTCTCGAATGTGAGCTTGCTGATCTGTTAGATTGACCTTGCCCAAACCACTGTACACAATATGACAATGAGCAGGCCAGTCATCCTCATGTGAACGAACAGACTTCACGGTCACTTCAAGTTGTTCATCCGCAGGCAGTCCATCACTGATGGTATGGTCAACCTCAGGTGTGCACCAAGTTGGTTTCTATATAAATAAGTGCTGTGAGCGAATCTCTGAGTCAGTCAACAGCCAGGACACTATTGCACCTCTTGTTCTCTTTTCTGAAGGTGTTTACCTCCTTTCAATGCCCCTTGTTCATTTGTCTTACTGAAACTTTTCTGCTTCAAAGAACCGTAGCGAGGCCCAGATAAGTTCTTGCTGGTCAGACCCTTATCCTTGCCGAGGCCATCATTATCAGAGTCTGATGGTGTACTTGCAATTGACCTCATCGACGAGGTAGAACTATTCGCCTGAGAATGCGAGTTAACACTAGTAGTGCCACCGTTGGTTTTGTCGTGTGGCGCAAATAGAGGCCACTATGAACTGAGTCAAGGAATGTTCAATCATAGGTGACTGTATCGATGACATACCTCGTAGTCAAGGGTAGCCTTGAGCTTCTTCAAGTCGAGTCCCTGAATATCTTCATCTGATTCCTCAAGTTTGTTGTCTGACTCGTTTCCACTATTCAAATCAGATAAGTCACCATCGCTCCCATCAGGCTTGAAGTTATCTGACTCGGAGTCAGAGTCAAAAAGCTGCGCTGCACTCTGTGGAGCACCACTCTCCTGTTCCAGTCTCCAATTGACTGGAGGAGGTGATTTGTTTTCTGCATTCATAGAGATATCAATCTTGCGGTATCAAAAGTAGACACTCACGAATTCGTGCCTGCTTGGGTGCGTCGGGCTCAGCAATGTTAGATGCTGCGCGCTTGCGTGGATTCTTCTCTGACATCAAAACTGTGATTCAACTCTGTTAGGAGTGGCGAATAATTCCATGGGAAAAAGCCACACGTACCTTGATTTTTCAGCACATCACTCTTGTCTTGTTGGACTGGGCCTGCGCAGATCAGTCAATGAACGCAAATGAGGCGGAAAAAAAACATACGCGCTGAAGTTGTGAGTTGATTCTTGCTTTTCAACTTAGCAGCTCACGTTACTGCAGCCTTCTTGGTTGGTGTGAGTGGCGCTTGGGACATAATGCACAACAAGGAAATCAGTGTCAGTGTGCGGGTGAAAAAAATTACTTACAAATTCAGCATGCTCCGCTATCTCCCGATACCTGTTGGCCCCAAACCAGCCCCATACTGCATCAAACATTATTCTGTGCTCACCATTGAATCATGCCAATCTGTGATGGCTGCAGTTCCACTTTCACGGAGAGTGGTTACTCTCGTCATCTCGCACACACTAGAAATCCAGCCTGTGTCAGTATCTATGATGATATGTACAACTACATGCCTAGTCACTCACAAGAGGTAATGTCGCCATCAGTACATGGACGTGCATCAATCTGACATGAATTTCAGCAACAAGATATTTGAGGACTTCGACAGTGATCACCTCCCTGGCAACTCTAGTCTTCAATTGCCAGAAGACAAGGACCCAGAAGATCAATTGAAATGGAATGTGGATGAGGACGAGGACGACTTGGAGGAAGTTGATAATGACGGTTGGGTGGCTGAGCAGGAAGCTGATTGGGAACCTCCTATTCAAGGTGCCGAAGAACCGGCTGGCATCAATGACGAGAATATTCCCATGGACAAAGAAGACACAGTGGTTGACCTGGATCAACACATGCATACACGTCATTATGAGGCAGAGCTCCCCTTGCACCAGGGTCCATACATTACCAAGTTTCCAATCCAGAGTGCCAGAGCAATTATTGACGATGAGTTCATGCAAGCCAAACATGGGTATCAGTCTTACTGTGATAAACTTCATGGGAACAATTGGGCACCCTTCACCTCACACATCAATTATGAGGTTGCTCGATGGGCGAAGCTGCGTGGCCAAGGCTCCACAGCGTTTTCAGATCTGCTTGACATCGAGGGTGTGAGTGTATCCCCTGAATTAATGGCTAAGTGTCGGCAGCACTGATGAATTACTAGGTCTATGAAAAGCTTGACCTTTCTTACCGGAATTCCCGCGAACTCAACAAGATCATTGACACCAAAATTCCAGCTCATTGTCCTCGTTTTCAGCGACAGGAAATCTTGATGGCAGGAGAGGCATTTGATGTCTATTTTTGGGACATCATTGAGTGTGTGAAGGCATTGTTTGGAGACCCTGAACTCACTCCTTACCTCGTGTTTGCACCCGAACGACACTATTCAGATGAGGACAAGACTCAGTGCCTCTACCATGAGATGCATACAGGGCAGTGGTGGTGGCACACTCAGGTGAGTGGTTGTCATATAATGTGAAGATCAGCAGGCTAATGGGCCGAAATGCATTTTAAAGAAACAACTGGAGAAAGAAAAACCAGGCGCAACAATCATTCCTGTTCTGCTCTCGTCTGACAAAACCCAGGTCACAATGTTTTGAAACAAGGCCACGTACCCGATTTACATGACTATTGAAAACCTACCCAAGGAAATTTGGCAACAACCGTCTCACAATGCGCAGATACTTGTCGGTTATCTTCCAACAACCAAGCTCGAACACATCACCAACAAAGCTGCAAGGTGATGGTGTCTTGCAAATTTGTTCCATGCGTGCATGCATCATATTATCTCACCACTTGTTGACCCAGGGAAGTATGGGATGCCGATAGCCAGTGGTGATGGGACTGTTCGTCGTGGTCATCCTCTCGTTGCATGTTATATTGGAGATTACCCAGAGCAACTCTTGGTGACTGGAATGAAGACTGGAGAGTATTCGAAATGTGACATACCTTCAACTGAGCTCGGTAGCAAAGACCTTCCATTTGAGCTGCGGAATTTGGATGAAATCTTGGATGCACTGGCATTAGCTGATGAAGATCCGACTCAGTTTGTGAAGGCTTGTCGTGATGCCGGTAAGTGTCTCTGGCTATTCATGAAAGGCATTTTGGTTCTGTCACAAGTCAGTGGAATGGAACACCAGCAAATATGTTGATTTCTGCTCGGTATCATCATCGACATACGTCTGCCTGATGGTGCATCGCTGGTTAAACTTATTCATGCAGTACGGGGCATCCTTGACTTTTTGTATCTTGCACAGTACCCATGTCACTCTGATTTAATGTTGATGCTACTCAGCAAGGCACTCAATTGATTTCACGATAACAAAGCTATCTTCGTGGACCTGGGCATCCGTTCGTCATTCAACCTCCCCGAGCTTCATTCATTCCGACACTACCTCACAATGATTCGCATGTTCGGAACCACAGATAATTACAACATGGAATATACTGAATGGCTTCACATTGACCTAGCAAAGGATGCATACTGTGCAACAAATCACAAGGACCAATACATGCAAATGACACTGTGGCTCGAGCGACGAGAGAAAATGTTGTGGCATGCCAAGTTTATTGAATGGCGACTGGATGTGGGACCTGCCACATCATCAGATCATGTCCCTCGCCCCCTAGCCCACTCTGACCTCGTATATCTCTGACAACCCAAGCTAGCGAAGCACCCGTCTGTTAAATGGGTGACATTCGCATCACTGGCTGATCATTATGGCACAGTCCATTTTCAAGCAGCTGTGGCACGTTTCATCGTGCAAGTGATGCAGCCTGATTTGACTGTGAGCCAGTCAGAAGACGCTGCCTGTGATGTCATTCTCCCATTCCAGTCTGTTGCAGTATTCCACAAGGTCCGCTATGGTACTGTTGATGATGATGGCATGGTAAACCATCTCACTGTGGATGCAATACATGCACGACCGACGTGACACGATGGCCATAATAGGAGAGTGCCAGCAAGATTTGATACTGCGCTCATAAATCTGGGGAATGGCGGCAAGTTGGGTGTCAAATGTGAGCGAACATGTTTATGTATGCATGCGGGGACACTCAGGCTGATGAATAACTGATAGGATATCGTGTCGCACAAGTTCGTGTGATCTTTTCATTGTCAGCCAATGTCAGGCGTGCTCTATTTCACAATGTCAAGGTACCTGATCACCTGGCTTATGTCAAATGGTTCATGCCCTTCTCTGCCACCCCAGATATCAATCACAGCATGTATAGGGTTTCGCGTGCGCTTCAGGATGGTGACAGGCAAGCAAGCATTGTTCCTGTTGACAATATTTGACGCTCGGTCCACTTAATACCAAAGTTTGGTGCGATGACTCCACATGACTGGAGTACGAGCAATGTATTGGATCAGTGTAGTATATTCTTTGTGAATGAGTTTACTAACTGAGACATGTATGTAACTATATTTTAGTTAAATAGAAGTCTACCATGCAGCTTCAAAGCTTCAATGACGAGTGTGTTGTTTGAGTTCTGCGTGAGCCTGTGTCAGATTGAGTGAGATGATGACAAATAGTTGACACTGGCACTTCATGGTCATGAAAATTTCTCAACATCTCTTGGATTGTCGTCTCGTTCTTCTTCTGTGTCCCCTGTGCATTATATTTATGGTGTGAAGGTTTTATATGGTATGGTAACTTTAACTAACAGTGTTACAGGACTCTGTGGCGGAGAAGGAGAATTGGATTCCTGAAAAGCAGTGAGTGGGTGTTTTTTATGGTAACATGATGGCTTCTCTTATCTGATCACAATCTATAGTCCACGCTCACCTTGCCAGGACTCTCCAGATGGGAACTCGCCCATCAAAAACTCGCCTATCAAAAGGTAAGTTGTTAGTGATATCATTGTATGAGCGGGTTCTCACCAAGGCACCAGGACTAAAAAACCGTTGACGCGCAGATTTCTGATCCTGGAATTCAGGATTTTTCCTACCCACGTCGCAGAAATACCTCAAACTCAAATACCTCATACTCCCGTGCCACCCTACCATCAGACTCTGGCCCCTCTAACAGTCTCTCAGAATTACATGTATAGACTTGTCACAGATCATTGGGATGCTGAAATGAAACGGTGTGAGGAGGTGAGAAAGGCACATCTATTGGAAGTTCAACTGGCTGCTCATGGTATACATAAATTAGTATAATTGTATGCTTGTATCTTGTGTTGAGAAAATTCTCTAACATCGTCTGAATTCTTTTTGGGAGTGTGCACATTTGCTAACATTGTCAAATATTGGACCTTTTATTCATACATTTGAGAAAACACCAACTGATTTTCTATGTTTGACCGGATTTTCTTGAATTGTCACTAATATCACAAAGAGGTTTTTCCTGATGCACTTAAGTATCTATCTGGTCTCAGCATATCCTATACTTCCAGAATAAGTATTAGTCTCAATTCTTGCACCTGGCGGTGGTGGAGCGGTGACAGGCTCAGACATCAGGGAACCTCCCCGCAGGAAAGTATGACCAACCTCAATGGAGGCGTGCAGATGGATCAGGAGGACTCCAGACCTCCCCGCTACTCACTACTGTGGTAAACAGCAAACTCATGTATATCAAGATATGACTCTCGCATGTACTCATCCTTATTTTACTGTTTACATATTCAATCACTTGTTACACACCTCATACACGTTCACTTTTTGATTCTCCATCTCAATCAGTGTACTATTACAGCTGTGTGCAAAACTAATGTCAATTGCAAAAATTTTGCGGTGCGCGTGACCAAAAAGGAAATTGATAGAACAATGTGTCCTGGATGCCGGGGAGACTTCCTACAACTGGTACACATTTTTCAGACGTTGTCAGCCCTTCTCACTATCTTTACTACATGTTATAAACATATATATTCTATGGCACAAAGAAAAAAAACCTACCAAAAAGCCAACAATCAAAATTCCAGCCAGACTGTCGAAGACTGCAGTCACAGTGCTCATTGACGAGAGCGAGGAACCACTAGAGTTCCCAGAATCACCTGCATCCTCCAATTATGACAGCGAGAGGGTAGGGCATCTCTCCAAGGCTCACTGGTCTGCTGAAAACCTGGTAGAACTTGATGAATTGGAGCCCGAGCCTGAAGAGGAGAGTGACAAGTCAGTAGATATTGTTGAAATGGATGGCATTGCCTTAGGTATATTGAATCATACCTTTCATTTGTGCTAGTAACACTAAAAACACATCATTCACAGGTCCTGCACTCACGTTCATCAATGTGGACCCTGTATCCTTCAAATCTTCTTGTAAGCGGAAGCAAGAGCCATCCCCTGACCTTACCTCAGCTGCTGGCAGTGAGCTGTCTGCGAAGAAATACAAATACAACAAATTTGTACCACAGCATCAGCAAATCACTTTGCCTCTGTGGGCTCTGTACAGAAGGGACCAAGCTGTGGCCAGCCATTTTTTGGTGGTGGGAAAAAAAGTGTTTTTCTGATGAGGGCAAGCTCACTGACGAAGCCATCGATCAGATACTTCTTGGCAAACAGAAGAAACCTTCTACTGGCAAAGGAAAGGCAAGGAAGTCTAGTGTCGGAGTGAGTAATACTAGTGAAGATGATGAGGGCGACACACCAAGAAGGTTCACAGTGTATATTGAAATGTGGTCTGAGGTGCTGATGGAGAAAAAGTCAGGCAAGGGTGTCAAAGCTTCCATAATGATTGTTTCACAAGGTCCATTCAAAATGGATACTTCACGCACATTCCAATCATTCAAGTGAGAGATTTCAGAAATCTTACCCTGTCGACCCACATTGCTTCCAGTCACAAAATTTGAATGGAAATTTGAAAACCAGGCCCAGGGTGCTCCACACAAGAAGATAGCTGATGAGGCAGGTTATGAGGCACTTCTTGATGCTGTCAAGGTGAAGAAAGTGAGTGAGAACATGTTATGACCGACGTCCAACAATAATGTTGAAGGTGAGTGCACAACCACTAGGACTCGGTCAGAGATGACGATGAGCAACAGGATAGATTGAGCGTTAAACGTCTAGGTCACTACAACAGTAGAAACGAAGAGGTTAAGTCTAAGGAGCTCTTACGCTAACTACCCTACTCTTATACATAACATTGAGTCGGAGATATCTGGGTACGAAAGAAATCAGCCAATGAGAAAAGAGTCGTACGATACTGTGGATGAGTAAGTATGACATCATGATATATAAGCGAAAATGAGTAAGACGGTTACTAGATAGAAACCCAAGATCCGACTGGTTCTTCTTTAGGAAGCAAGATTGTTCTAGCCCATGGAGTAGGGGAGCCAATTGGAGAAGCAACGGGTGACCTATGACGTGAAGTCACGTGACCGGCTCGGGTATTGGAAATAGCCGAAGGGAAACCAAGAAATGAAAAATGGTTCGTATTTGGGATTCGTGACAGAACATTGTTGTATGGTTATACACCCCGAAGCCTGCTAAAGATGAACAAGTAAGCATTTTTGACATATTTTGACTTCATTGGGCTAACATCTATGTAACACAAGGATTGGGATACAGGAGATCCAGACTATGTTGAGTGTCCATTTAACTTTGACAAAGAAGCTGGTGCAACATGCACTACAAAGGCACTGATTGTATGTGATGACTCAGTTTAGCTGTCGCCCATGACAAATACTCCCCTATAGGATGACATGTCCACCAAACAAAGGATGGCAGTGACCAAACTTGAATCACTGTATCCAGTTGGCAGATATACATTGTTTCCAAATAAGCGTGTTTGGCATGACGAGAGGATGGACATATATTTCGAGCTGACTGAGTTATGTATGAAGGTTTGGGCAAATTTAATTGTAACTATCTTATTTTTCGTCAGGTGGGAAGCTAAAAAATTTGATGGTTTAGGCTGCAGGAAGAGCTGACAAATCAGCACCTCCAACAATGAGCCACTTCACCGACAAACTGAAGGTGCCATGTCCCCCACCAGAAGCACCTATTTTGACATTTGGCGACTTTTATCACCACCATCAACATGATCAAGCCTTCAAGGACCAGGAATCAGCTCCTCCTCTACCTCCGCATGGTCAATCCATTCCTCCACATCCACATGGTCAACCCATTCCTCCGTTTCAAGGGGCCCATGTTCCAGGCCCTCCACATCAATTCTATCATCCAGCTCAATATATGCAGCCACCAATCTTCGGTGGATATCCTTACCCACCACCTTATTATCCAGTCATGCAGGGTCATGGCCAACCCCAAGCAACTGGGCAACCTATGGACGAGATATCCTCAGTATTTTCATCACCCAGCATAACAACTTCTCATGACGTATCCCTGTCGGAGTTTTGTACCAAGTATCGTATTTCTGATAGCGATCAGGTGAAGCTCGCAGCTCACAGCTCTGGAATACCAACCTGGAAACAGAGTAGTTGAGACACTGGATGATAAAGAATGGTGAGGTATAGGTCAATTTATGAGACTTGGCTGGCATGCCTTTCTTGATGCACACAAAAAAATTTGTAAAGCCATAAAGTCAGGCACATGGTGTTACAGTAACATGAGCATTACATGTCATTTCATTCTTCGGACTCATCTAAACCTGGACCATGGTTACAATTCTATTTCTATCTCTTTTCTTTTGATCCTGTTGTCCTGAAACACAAGAAGCACTTGCTTCTACACCTAGATCAGAGAAGCAGCAGCTTCTCCCAAACCCTATGCCCTTACCACCACACTGGTTCTCTTTCGTTGATGGGGATTCCCCATGCCCTTTGCCCTTACCGTTCAACTGGTACTACTTACCCCTTTTCATATGTGACTCATACATACCCTTGGCCCTTACCACTGCTTCAGTAATACCTCTGCTTACCCTGTACCCTTACTGCTCAACCAGTATCTCACTTTACGTATATATATCACTTCTCTTGTAGACAGATTCTCTAACTTGAATCTACTCGGTTCTCATCTGTTACTTGTTGTTGGGTCTGAACTTCCATTACCTAAGAGAACTCCCTCTGTGCAAAGAATCATCTTCTCTTGAGATGATACTCTCGAGTTGAACTCCATCTCTTGGATCGTATCCTTGAGAAACTCCAATCAACTCTACACAAGTAAGGGCCTCAATCCTTACTCAGACTTAGCGCAGGCAAGCTCCTTGCTGGGCTAGCACCGAAGGCCACACTTCGAACACCCCTTGCAGGTCTAGCGCTGCCGGATCTCATCCGAAAGGTTTCACGTAACACATGGTGAAATGATTCTGTACTTTTCACATCACCTTTTGCAGACCTTCTTGAACATTTCAACAGCATTCATTCACACTTAGTTTTTATTGCATAGAAAACATTCAAATTTGTACAATTACGAGCATTCTTGATCACATGACAATGTACCCCGCATTCTTCAACCACCCATATGCCTTCTCTGCTGTAACACAACTTGTTGCTTCAAGAATAGCCTCAACAGGATCTTCGAGTTGACGCAACTGATGGCCGTGACGTCAAATATAAGCTTTGACTAACAACCATAAATCAGATGCAGAGATAGCATGAATTATTTGTAACTTACAGGCACTGAATGACTCCCCAATCAGAGTTAGATCAGGTGAGTGTGGAGGAAGGTAGAGTATTAGACAACCTATCCAACATTAGCTTTACGAGAGGAGAAACAAGTACAAAAACGAACTGGCACTTTCGACAAGGTCAACAAGGTCTTCATTATGATGGATTCGGCAATTATCGAGAACAATAATGGACCGCTCTCCGGGGAAGGGAGTCATATGAGGAAGCTAGAAAAAAACCCGTATCTTCAACAGACACAGAAAAGAGACATCATTAGTACCACATCTTCAGCAATGAAATCATAAAATTCCTGCAAGTCGAACGAGCCTTCAACCACTTGAGCAGCAATGTAGCCTTGCACAGTCATGGCAACACACAACGAGTAATGATCACCTCGAACAAAGACATCTGTGAGGTGTGCACGATGTCCGATCATTCTTGCTGGTCTCATCAATGACAATGAATTCTGAGCCATCCCCAACAAAGTCATTGCGAAGACTGGCTCTGAATTCCTCGCGTCGGGCCTCATCACGTTTGGAAGCAATTTTTCGAAGGATCTTGCGTGTGAGACCAGCATTTTTGAGATTGCATGACAGGGAGGAAGTGCTGACAATGATATTGTACTCGACTGCAAGCCACGTGCAGACTTCGTCGAGGAAGAGATCAGAATCTGTAGCAAAGAGGTCTTCAACAGCCATCAGAAGTGCACGTGTGATTGTTTGAGTATGGCCAGTGAGTGGAGAGGGAGGCTTCATAGCAGTACCGAACTCCTCAAATATCCGTCGCCAGCGATAGCAGCTCCTCCCAGAAATACCAAGCGCTTCAGATATATCCTTCAGTTCCCATCCGTGATCCCAGAGTTGAAGTGCGCATTCTTTGAGATCGCTGCTGATTCTGCGGTTAACCATAGCCTTTAGGTACAGAAAGTCAAATCTGGAGTCTGCTGGTGTTGCGAACATCGTCTGCAAGGTATACAAAAGCTGTCCCAGCGCCTACCACGTGTTGTTCTATCAATTTCCTTTTTGGTCATGTGCACCGCAAAATTTTTGCGATTGACATTAGTTTTGCACACAGCTGTAATCCCTCTCCCTCGAATAAACTCCCTCAGTCTTTCGATCCAAGACTGAGGTGAGTTCTCTTATTTACGGTTCTACGTACCTTTTCCTGACTACTATCCTACCCAGTCCCTTTCCCATTCCTAGTTCGAGCCTCTCCATTCGCAAGAATGTATAGCGAGTACACCACAAATCCCGGTGTAGGATCATACTCACGATAGATCTAAGTGTTCAATAGTAAGTTCGATATCGCATAGCCTTCCGGGCGAGCTACTTCGCAGACTGCCACTGCCATCTGTTAGAGTCCGAACGATCCGAGCGATCAGAGACGAAGAAGACCGACCGATCCGAGATGGTTGAGGAGAGAGAGTGACAGGTGGTCCGAGCCCAAGCCAAAAAGGACATGGTCGAGCGACGTGTTGACGTCAGCTCGTGTCCTGCAATATGTTACTCATATGTCTGACATATTTTTTTCGTTTCTATCTAGCTTACTATAAGAACGCCACCAGTAGCACGAGCGCATCTCAGCTTCTTTCAAGAGACTGAGATGTGAGTTAATAGTCTCGACGTATCGATTAGAACAAAACTGACGAGTCCCTAGTATACTTGTCTATTAGATCGTCCCCGAAGGCCCGCGACTCGTTACTCACCACACCATCCTGCTGTCATTCTTCAAGTATCATGGACATGAGTCTGGACTAGTACTCTGGAACAGACAATTGTACTGTCTGTCGATATATGTGTTGGGGCGGTTATATATACTGATCATGCCTGTCTCGTACGTTGGGTTTGACCACCTGCGAAGTCGCTGGGTAAACAAATCAATTAAATTGGGTATTCATAGCGCAAAAGTTGGTGAGAATATGAGCTAGCGGAGCCTAACAAGCATTCGTCGCGCTTACCGAGTTGTTCTAACTATGATTGTTACTGGGCGAAATCCTAGGTCAGACATCCTCTAGCGAAATCGAATATGTATCAGCAAAACTGCCGCACAAGGCTCATTGCCACCCAAAGTCATCTGCAGCTACCAATCTATATTACCATGGTCTAACGTGTCGGCCAAAATAACATTCAAAGGCCATCTTCGCAAGCAATTTCAGATCTCCGGAACACCACTGTATTGCCCAAGATGCGACTGGTGGGAGGATACCTGGGTGTTGGCTGAGTTTTGGTAAACGTTGGATGATGGGGTGGTTGGGATGGCAGGAGTAGGGGGTGGTGGGAAAGTGCTCGGGTTTTCGGGATCCTGCGCAAAATGATGAGCATGATGTGCCACAAACGTCGTAGGGAACATACATAGCGAAGCGGAGGCTGCGTCATGAATGGTTGATGGCTGTAAGGCACTGATGGTGCTTTGCGAGAACGACGGCGCCTGATAAAGAGCCATGCTGCAGGACCCGCGATTACTCCGAACCCTACAATTCCTCCAACAACACCCCCGGCTATAGCCCCAACGTTCGAGCTTCTCGAAGTAGGCGTTGAAGATCCTGTGCCTGCGGTTGAAGATCCTGTGGGTGTGGTTGTAAATCCTGTGGTTGTAGTTGAAGTCAGTGCGGTAGTGGATAGCGGCGTGGTTGCATTAGCTTCTGGTAGATCTACAAAGCAGTGAGCGACGGTGTTCGTATCATAGAAAATATATGCGTGTGAGCTAACCTCCATCCAGCTGCGCTGCCGTGGCATTGAATGCGTCACTAGGTTCCTTCAAGGAAATTTTAGGGTATGCCACAGTTGGGATGTCTCGTACGCTTACAACATCCAGGTAAGCCCAATTCGGAACCGAAGTGCCATTCGGAATGGTCGATGGATATCTGCACGTCAAGTGGTAAAAAGAACTTCAAGAACATAACCTCGTAGACTGACGATTGGTTAAAATACGTAGAACATTGGGCTCTCCAGGCACTCCAGCTATGAGGGAATAAGTACGCCGTAAAATCGAGTATACGTGATACAACTCACGCCTGAACCGTGCGGCCTTGACAAACACCGCAAGCGCTCGTTGTTGAATAGATTACTGTGTTACATTGGCAAGGATTGGCGCCGTCGAGCGGGGGACCTTGATATTGGGCACCCGCAGGGATAGACTCGATCGTATACTCTGCCCAAAAAGTAAGGCAAAAGCACGCTAAGCAACGAACATGCATACCTCCATCGGAACAAGGGCTCCCTAGGTAGGCAGTCACTAAGCACGGGTCCTGGCCACGACTGTTGTTCATCTAATATCACCCAATCATGCCGTCAGAACTTGTTTCTTTAAGATAAAGAATCGTGTACCCAACCAAACGAAGAGAGGCACGTTACATCGCTTGTTATTAGCGCAAATGCACCTTGGGGTACAGCGGCGGCGGCCACCAGGGCCACTATCGATGCCCATGTCTTGATGAGCGGCGACATGACGGATAGAAGGGAGAAGGACAAAGCCGGTGTCTAATAAAACCTCGTTGTTAAGTAGGCCTGATGCGAAAGCATCATGAAGACCCCATTGCGATCACGCGCTGAAGTGGAATAAACTTTTACGGAATGCAGGTGCATCAGTAAATTTACATGCGGACGTCTCTGGAGTCTGAAGAGATGTATAACACTGGACAGCACGTTGGCAGGTTTACGGCCTGATCCCCATTTGATGGACCGCGGAGTTCCAAAATAGGCTAACAGCACTGTGCAATTTCATTGCTTACCCCGCAGGATTTCACGATGCCAACTTCCCGGGACCAAAAATTATCTGTTGAACACGTAAGGTAGAACAGGGATTTACCACCTTTGAGTATGTATGGCATGTGCAAGTATTGAACACATACGTTCCGCATCATGTCCCATGGACTAGCGACCTGGAAAGCCCCCTCTGCGACCACACTAGGAGATACGAAGAGTGAAGCTAGCAGAGACGCTTTCAATGAGCAGGGTGGCCTGTGATTGCGTGCAGCGCAGATATACTTATCGGAATCCTTACAAAACGACTTGCCGGCGTTAACCGTCCCATCAGGTCTCATCGGATGATTTGTCAAAACGCTCACCAGATACAACCAGACGTTTTACAGGTTGACTCAACAACTGAATCTTCCTGGAAATAGATCGATCGATATCCATAAGCATCGCCAATGAGACTCGGAACTTGCGCGCGCATTATGGGGTTTAGGACAGGCAAATATACTGTTTGACCAGCGCTAGCCTTCGAGTGCCCATACGCGCAAGGAACGTGAACTCGATGCGGATATGTGACTGATTCAGGAAAATCACGATTCACCAATATGCAGTGTTTGCAGAATCACTCGGATAGCCACCGCCATGGGAGTCGTCGAATTGATCGGATCATGGATGCCACAATTCATCGATATCGATTGACAGGGCATGATATCGATCAGAGGACGTGATATCAACGGTCATCGCTGCGGTTTGAGACTTTGAGAGACACAGTTGCAGTGCAGTGGGTTACTCCTTGACTTAGACCTGGATTCGATGTGAGCAGGAAGGAATGCTTGACTACACACGCGACTGACTCTACTCCGGCAAACACCGCTGAAAACACCACCAAACACTGCAGCCACCACGCTTGCACCCCTAGGGGTCCCTACTCCACGTGCACCCCCTTTCAACCGTCGTCGTCGCCTCCTCCACTGTCCTGCCTCTGCCTCTTGGACTGCTTGGCCATCTGTCCAACCAACCTCTATCTCTCTGTCTTCACCTTCGTCCTCTTCTCTCTGGTCTTCGTCTTCTAGTTCTTCATCATCCGAATTTTCCTCGTCGAGGCTTTCTTCGTCTGGATTGTTTTCATCTTCCGGTTTATGGGCGATATCTCCGCAGCTGCTTTCGTTTGCTTCCCCTCTATTCTCGCTTCTACCTTCTCATTCTTTCTGTTCTGTCGCTAATCTCGTGCCATCACGGGGTGTAAATGCGCGCAAACGTTGTGCATAGAATTCTCCTGATAAGGGTTCTCCTGCCAGCGTCTCTAGGCGATACGAGTTGCGTAGCCGTTTGGTGATACGATGTGGCGCAGACTACTTGGGTAAGAGTTTATATCTAGCTTCGAGAGTATTGTGTAGGCTGCTGTGGAAGAATTGAACTAGTTGTCCCTCTGCAAAGATTAAACCAGATTCTCCTCGACGACCTTCCAAGAAATAAAGCGATTCTACTCGACTCAGTCCCATCCATCTTAAAAAATCTGACTAATGCGGATTCCGCCGCCTCATATCCTCAGTCGTCCGTCGAGCATGGTTGTTGGACAAATTTCCTCTCCTCGATCTCTCAGGGGTTGAATGTGGGCTGTTCCCATTAGATTGTGGCTGTCTCCGGGAGCTTACACCCTAACCCGAAAAACTTTGCCACTGCCTTATCATTAATGCACCGGATCGCCCTCGGGAGATATATCCAGCTATCATGGAAGCGATCTGACCAACCGAGAGTGACGGAAACGATTATCGATCCCTCTCATACCATGGACCATAGTGGTGATACAGTGCAACTTGATATTCGCCGCATTCACCAGGTCATTGTGCATCCCAGGTCACAAGCCACGATGAACCCGTATTCTTCACCAAAAGGGATTCTTAGATCCATCACATCTGACGCTAGACATTCGTCGACCACTGGAGCCAGGTACCCTCGTTTTCCGCACGACTTCCAGCTATTTTGGCGTTGTGCGACGAGATGACGGCGGAGAAGACCAACAATCAAGTGCACGTTTCTACCATGGTCTCTTCAACATCCTCTCCAGCTCTTCCACTTGGGTTGGCAGTGTCATACTGTCATTAGGCCCTGCTCTGCCGGCTCCTCTTGAGTTCATCGTCCTTTCCCGTACCAGTGCGGACCCTGGCGTGTACGACGAAGACAGTCTTGGAAGATTTTACTCTGGATGTATGTTATATGTGATAGCGGTAAGTGAGAATGAGGGTTTGGTGGAGCGCGTTAGATTGGGTATCATTCATGAATCCGCCTGGATTGCTTCGAGTGCGCAGGAGAAGGTGGTGTTTCTTCGGTGACAATATCCATCACGTACTTAAACAGGTCCACTCGGGTGATTAAGGTAAGGAATATTCCGTTCGAACGTGAGATGAATCTGACTGCTCGTACAGTCACGCCCCACCTTTCTAGGGTTTTCTACGATATCATTATCCTGTTGGTGAACTTGGACATCCGTTGTATATACATAGCGTGAGCGAGAAATGGTTCTTCCGATCCCGTCCGCGATGCGCATACAGTACAACAACTGTGCGAGCGCCTTCCTCCGGAACGACCGTTGACGAGAATAGAATTTATGTACCTCGCGGAGCAGGTCGAAAACGACGTCATAGGGATTGCAGATACCACAGCAAAATTTGCCTCAGTCACTGTTTGGATCAAGTAATCCCGTGGGCCGTGGCTGGGAGGAACACCGTCAGATATATCCGTTCATGAATACAATTCGCTTTTGTGAAACAACCCAATCACAATCAGAGATATAAAAAAACCGCTCCGCAAAGTCATAAGTCGGCAACACCGACTCCTAGTCTGTATATTTGGCTATCTACGCGCTAATTGGCATAGATGGATGAGACCGGGTGCGTAGCACGTGATCCGGAATGGATGGAATCTGTCAAATGGACGGGGCGACATCGCTTGCGTCCCTTTCCTGAGGCAAAAACCGGAAAGCTATGATGGGCACAGAGAGCGGTAGCCCCACACATTATCAGCTGAGATGCAGGACCGCTTACACCCAGGGCATTCTCCAATAAATATCCTGGACTTTCGACAACGAAAAGACTCATTCTCCACCCACCCTTTCACAATCATCTACATAACTTCCTTCAGTCCACAAAAACCCAGTCATGAAGGTGATGATATACCCCCTGTCATCGATTACAAGATCTGACGCGCTTCTAGATTATCGCTATCCTTTACAAGGGCGGTGAGGCTGCTACGAGCGAGCCCCGTCTCCTCGGTACTGTGGAGAACCAGGTTCGTCTTGTCTCGAAGGTTGTCTGCAACACATGCTTACTTTTAACTTTCTATACAGCTCGGTATTCGCAAGTGGCTTGAGTCTCAAGGCCACGAGTTCATCGTATGTGTCGATGTTCCTCTTGATTGCCATGCTTGTTTAGTTGCTTAATCCATGCATTTGTGTAGGTGTCCGACTCTAAGGAGGGCCCTGACAGCGACTTCCAGAAGCATATCGTTGATGTATGTTCAAATCCTACTACAGCCCTACTACTGTATACACATATATATCCGCGGGTACTTATTTTCTATCTTAGGCTGAGATCTTGATCACGACTCCATTCCACCCCGGGTACCTCACTGCAGAATTGGTCGAGAAGGTTGTTGATCATATTTCCAGATCAAGTCATTGATGCTCAACGGTTTCATACTTCATACTCCTGACAGGCCAAGAATCTTAAGCTCTGTGTCACCGCTGGTGTTGGCTCTGACCACATTGACCTCAACGCCGCTGTCAAACGTGGTATTCAGGTCCTGGAGGTCTCAGGCTCCAATGTCGTCTCCGTCGCTGAGCATGTTGTGATGTCTATCCTCCTGCTTGTCAGGAACTTTGTCCCAGCACACGAGGTATGACGATCCGCTGGCGCGCGCTTCCCTCTGCTGATTTCTCGCCCTCCTTAGATGATCGAGCGTGGAGACTGGATGGTTTCTGATATTGCTCGCAACGCCTTCGATCTCGAGGGCAAAGTCGTTGGCACCATTGGTGCTGGTCGTATTGGTTACCGCGTCCTCCAGCGTTTGATGCCCTTCGACTGTAAGGAGCTCATCTACTATGACTACGCTCCCCTGCCTGAAGGTTCGTACCACTCTATACTCGGGCATCTCCAGCTTGACTGATGCAATTACAGCTGCTGCCAAGGCCATCAATGCTCGTCGCGTCGAGGACCTCAAGGAATTCGTCTCGCAGTGCGATGTTGTCACTATCAACTGCCCTTTGCACGAGGGTACAATTGGTCTCGTTAACGCTGACCTTCTCAAGCACTTCAAGAAGGGTGCATGGCTCGTCAACACCGCTCGTGGTGCCATCTGTGACAAGGACGCCGTAGCTGCTGCTCTTGCAAGTGGTCACCTGAACGGTTCGCGACCCCACTACCTGATATCTGTTTATCGAGTTAACATGACAACAGGTTACGCCGGAGACGTTTGGAACGTCCAGCCCGCACCCAAAGACCACGTCTTGCGCACGGCTAAGAACGTCCTTGGCGGCGGTAACGGCATGGTACCCCACTACTCTGGTACCACTCTCGATGCTCAGGCTCGTTACGCAAACGGCACCAAGAGCATCATCGAGAACTATCTCTCTGGCAAGCCCCAGGAGCCTCAAAACATCATTGTTGGTATTGGCAAGTTCGAGACCAAGGCTTGTGAGTACCTATTTAGACTTTTCGCTCGTTGGTCTTTTCTGACATGATCTTGTAGACGGTCAACGTTGAAGTGCAGACGCGCCTCCCTGATATCCTTGATATCACCATTAACATGTATACAATATATATATGCACCTGTATGTCTATGGGAAGAACATTGAACGAGGATGTACATTATTGATAGTAGGAAATAATACAATGAAACATTCATATGAAGTCCACATTACGCACGAGTTCACTGAGTATCACTTACCAGACTGAGCAAGCCTTTTAAATAATTCCATCAGCCTGCATATCAAACAACTTCGACAGGTCAGATCTCTGCGTACTTCCTGGACAGTATCGTCATGCAGAGCATGAAATTCTTGCTTGTTCGTGATATTCATGTGGTTTCGGGAAGGATGTTAACTTTTCACCAACGACGGTTGCATCACGGAGAATTACGGTAATAGCAGAATCCAGTACGAGCTGTATCCGTGCGTAAGATCTTCTTCGCACTATAGTCGCTCTGTCAAGTTAGAGTCAAACCTAGAGTCGTACATTCTTATCAGGATACTTTGCGGCGGGGTTAGCATCATTGGACAGGACTAGATGTTTTACGTGCAATAAATAAAAAATTAATCACTTGCAAGTCTAAGCAAGGATGACGATGCATGAAATGAACAAGCAAGGATACGAGGGTAAGTATCATGGATCGTGAATCATGAACAGAAAAATCGACTCTGCAACGCTGACTCAACAAAACGACAAGGACTTCAACTAACATCGCATTGAGACTCATAACCGGAGTCCGTGGTTGAACTGCTCTGCATAAACGCCCTTTCGGGTTCTGCGTCCTGAAGGAAGCATGCGCTTGAGCAGCAATCGCGAGCACAAGCAATGAAGACTTTCGCCTTACCAAGTACTTGGAGAAATATCTGAATTAGAGCCATCAGCGACCTTCGTATCATTAAACGACAGAGCTTACAACATTAATATTGGGGGTGCTTGAAATTGTTTTCTAGGAAAGACATGCTGTGTGATCAGCCATACGCGCAAAAAAGTGAACTTGATGTGGATATGCGAGTGATTCAGGAAAATCACGATTCGTCCAGATCATCATATTACATGAATCATTCAGTTATCCAGCACCTCGTGAATCGTCGAATTAGCTTACGGATCCCGTGCGCAATCCGTCGACATCGATGGGAGTAAGGACGTGATATCTAAATATTATCGATAGAGATATGATGTCGTTGCTCTGCTCATCGCTGCTGCTTGAGACTTTTATACAAGTGTCAACCAGCAATGATTACATCAAGCAGCGAGGAACATCGATGGGAGAGGAGACCGTGAGATCTATTATCGATAAAGATGCTGTCATTAATATTGCTCCGAGTCATCGCCGCGCCGCAATCCCTGAAGCTTAAATATCCTTACAAAAAAGGCGTTAGACATCTCATCAGATGATCCGCCAAAACGCTCACTGGATACTCCAAGACGTCGACTGGACGGCTGCGGACGCACTCGCATCGCTCTGTCGCTTTGATGCCAACTAGCGGTTTGTCACGTCGATTCGAAACGCACGAATCAACGGGTGAAATGATCGATTGACATCCATGGGCATTGTAAAATTCGAATATTGGGACTCGGAACCTGCATGGGGCTTAGGAAAGGCGAATATACCATACGCGCAAAAAAAAAAACAAAAAAAAGAGAGAGAGAAAGAACTTGAAGTAGATATGCGAGTGATTCATGACAATCACGATTCATGCGAATTATCGTATTACATAAATCACTCGTATGTCAACGTTTCAACCACGATCCCGTGCAGAATTCGTCGACATCGATGGGAGTCACGGTGAGCACAGACGTGATATCTATGGTCGTTGGAGATATTAATATTGTGTCATTGCTCTGCTCTGCTCATCGATGCTGCTTGGGATCTTGAGAGGGGAAACTGGAAGAATGACCTGACGAGGACCATACTAGTACTGATGGTGGACATACTATGACGCGGTTTGAAATTTCAACGAGGTATGTGTTCCCAAAATTAGGAAATTTCTGCACCAAAAGCTTCAGGCCCGGGCGTTCAGAAGACTACGTCTTGTACGAGCAACAACTCCTGACACCAAAATGAAGTGATAAAGTGATGCAGCTATTAATCAGATTCAAATACGATTTCATCTCTTATCACCAATTCGCCATACTTACATCATGACTGCCTCTCAATTGAGAATTTGAGATTGGATACTTATACCCAAAACGACGCGTACGATGCAAATAAACCAGTTACAAGCCCAATCCATAAGGAACATCATACTAAAGTGCCAGCACCTAGATACCTGTGATGCAATGCGAACTCAAACTACCGTACCACAAACCCACATACCACACCACACATCAAGGCCTCACCCCCTCACACTCCCCTGTTCACTCATATACATCCCCCTCCCATACCCACCCCCACCCCCAATATTAACACTCACATACGACCCATCATCTCTCTCCCTCCCCCCAGCACTCCCACTCCTCCCATACCCAACCCCCATACCTAACCCCCTCCCCCCTCCTCCTCCCCCACCCCCACCAGCACTCCCCAAACTCCCACTCAAAGGCACCCCCCCACCCGCACTATACCTCGGAGTCCCAGTAGCAGTATACAAACTCGCAGCACTCCCCGCAGCCCTATACTTCCTCGGCGGCGTTCTCCGCGTAAGCGTATCAGTGTCGCTACTACTGCTCTCATCTGATTCTGGGGCGAATTTTTGAGAGGGTGGGGGGATTACTGCTGGGCCTTGGTTAGCGTCGTTATAGTCGTGGTGGTCGTAATCGTACTCGTAGTCGTGGTTGGAGTTGGAGTTGGAGTTGTGGGATTGGGATTGAGATTTGGAGTAGTTGAGGGATTGGTGCGTTTGTTTGGGACTGCAGGGGATAGGGATGGCGCTTCCTGTGAATTGGTGTTGCGAGGGGGCGGGGATGGGTTTTGGTGCTGGTGTGTACTGTGCGCGGGGAACTGGAGACGGAATTGGAGCTGTTGCTGAAGCTGGGGTTGGAGGGCCGATGGGTACGAATCCAGGGGGAAGCTGACCTCCGGGTAAACCAATAGGAACCGTACTCCCCGTAGGTGGTAAAGGGGCCATCGACGGCGTCCCTCCCGGTGAATACGGACGCGACGGCAAAGGCCGGTCGGCATCAGCAGGGCTAAGGAAGTAGGGACGCTGTCCAGACGCTGTGGCTTGCGACATATTAGATGCAGGACGTGACTGGTGCAAACGTTTATCAATATTGATGCCAGGGCGGGGAAGATGTGGGTACTCACGGGCGGTTGGATGGTGATGCCGACGGTGCCGCTTGATGATGTGCTGATGGGACGCGTTGAATCTCGTGCTGGTGATCTGGATGCTGATACGGTAGAGGGTGTCCCCTGCCTCCGAACCGAACCCCTAGATGAACGCGTTGCTGGCATAGACACGTGTACGAAGCCTGCCTGCACGAAAATCAACACGACGAAGAATTTATCCGATCAAACGAGACACACCTCGTCCACATCATCTTCAACGCTCGGTCTCATGCTCCGGCTACCAGGCGTACTCTGCTCCTGCACACTCATCACCTCAGGAATGACGCTCAGCCCACCAGATCGATTAGCAGGGTGCTCTGGTGGACTGAGAAGTTCCAGTTCTGACGTCCTCGTAGAGCCGATGCTTTCTGTGACCGAAGCTCTACGACGTACCGCTCGTGAGTGGCGGGAATCTGAAGCAGGTACTGCGTATACGGGCACGCCAGGGGTTCGGGGTTCTGGTACCATGAGAACGGGATCATCGAGTGGTATCGGTAGCGCATGCAAAGGAGAACCCGGACTCGAGTGGATCGGGGAGGGTGTACGACGACCGCGCTGGAGCTCGTGTGGAGGTGGCAAGCGGATGATGAGAGAAGCATCAGCTTCTGGGATCCAGCTGTCTGAAGGAAAGTCATGTAACGCGTGGGCAGGGGAGAACATGGTACTACGCGCAGATGTGTTCTGTGCTGGACGTGTTTGTGGTCGTGTTTGTGGTTGTGGTCGTGATTGTGGTTGTGGTCGTGATTGTGGTTGTGGCTGGGGGCGGGGACGTGTAGGCGTACGAGGACGCGAGGATTCACCAGTGTTTTCACTAGATGAAGCGCGTGATACCGGTTCTGGTCTGAATCGGGGCGTGGTGGATCGAGTGTATCGGGGATCAGAGTCCTGCACGTCTCCCTTTGAATTACTAGTTTCGTCGTCACTCGCGCTAGAAAAGTAACGTTCGAGGACACGATCGGCGGTTACTCGACCTTGTGCGTAAGCCCTTGCTCCTCCCGTGGACGTAGCCCATATCCTTCCCCATCTCTAATCCTTCCTGGAGGCCCTGCTTCCTTCCCTCCTCGCGAGCGACTTCGATCATCTTCTCCTTCCATGACCTTGCGGAATCTGCTTCTTAGCTTTGCAGCTTCCTCCTCTGCCTCCCTCCTCCTTCCCTCGACGTCCTTCAACACGCCCTGCGCGCGGAAGATCTCCTTCTGCGCTTGTTCGAGTGCGTCTTTGTATAACCTCAGCTCTTCAGTCAAACGCACGACTTCACCCTGCGAGACCAAGCGAGTATCATTCGCGTTTTTGAACCGTATGCATGCTTCTTTTGCTTTAAACTCTGCATTATCTGCGCGTTCCTGCTCGAACGAAAGTTGTGAATTCAAGAGAGAGACGTCTGCGCGGAGGTCGCGTACAGCGATTTCTGCGTCTGCGAGGAGTTGTAGGACTTCGCGGTTTGTGGGGTTGTGGGAGCTTGAGCGGGAGATGGGCTTTGAGGCGGTAGAGTGGCGAGATTTGGAACGCTTTGAGGCGGTAGAGTGGTGGGAGTGGGAACGTGTGAGGGGTGGCACTGGGAGTGGCTCGGGGAATTGTGGGTCTTGACTACGACTTGGCCCTGCTGTTGGAGGGCTTGGTGGTTCGCTCATTGGTTCACTCGGGCTATGGGATGGTCGAGGGTTAGTCTGATTTTATATTGATAAGGGTGTTTTACATACAAGATTTGATGTATCGGTGGAGGAGGGGGACGGGGTGGGTGATTAGGAAGTGCAGCTTCCTAGGGTTTTACATGTCTTATGTGATAATCAGCGCCATTGTATTCGAGAAGCACTATAAGCTTCGAAATTACATAAGCAAAAGGTTATATCAACATCTAGCGCTTGAACACGACCGTTCGTCTGCCGTGTCCTCAGTTGAGACATTCTGTCGGCGTTTTGCTAGCTAGTCACTTTGACTAAAACACACCAAAAAGTCTCAACTAATTGACTGGCCAAATACCCTCTACGCTTGAGTACTCTCGTTAGCGGTGGTGACCACGGCCCGATGATGGATCAAATCTCAAAGGTGGCCGCACTGCCCGAGTGCTTGTCATTATCACCTTCGAAACTTGACCCTCATGGTCTCGGCACTCAGGCGTCGAATCCAGCACAGAAAACCGGGCAGTCAAGTTTGTCATCTATGCACTTGCCTGGCAAGATGACGAATACAGTATTCTTGTGATAAGTGATACATCAGTAGTAACTTACGGTATCGTGTCTGTACACCAAAAACCATTGACTCAGACTCGCTGGGGTTAACTTACGAAACAACTGACGCGTGTTTTTCGCCAACAGTCCATGATGCGCTGTGGATATCGTCACCGAGAAGCCCGGAACAATAGTACCATCGTCAAGGTCCATAGATCCGAATCCTCTCTTCTGCTGGTTCTAACATACCATCAACAGGCATTCCGGATCCGACTTCCCATATACATCTTCCACCGATATTAACATATCCAGACGATGAAACGTTGAAGTCCCCGTTTCTCCACGGACCGCGGTGATGGGGCATCATTCAACACGTGTATCAGGCGAAGCATGCCCGCAACCCTTTTTCATGAGTCACGCGTCTTACTGGCAAATCACTAAACACCGCGATCCTAGATGGGACGTCGGTCCGACTCCATGCTTCGCGTGCGACTCTGAGAGCTTTCTCGTACCGGTACCCTTTACCCTATCATCCCTTACTAGCACCGCTGATCATGTCCGCACACAGCCTCTTGACGCTCGATCCTCTAGGCAGAGACGCTCCCATACATGTCTACGACACAGCCAGTGAATGGTTCACAGCATTCACTTCAAAACGACATCAATGTAATCCTCCACATCTATCAACCGGATCCTCGCGCTCACTTGGGATCTCCGCATATTTGTAAAAAGACATCATCGAGTGTCTTTTGCGCTAGGCTAGCAGAGACTGCATTCCCCAATATCAAGATTCACCTGTACCTACGTGAAAACGGTCTCCTTGTTGCTAAGTTTCAGCACCCATGCCCCACCTCGTCTCCTGCGTTTATACGTCGAGTTCGAGACGAAAGTTAGAGAAGGCCTAGGGGCTGGAGTCGCTTATCTCATTCATTCTTTCGAAGTGGAGAGGAAAGGGTTACGCGCCTTCAAGCACTCGCCTTTTTCCCCGAGCATGTTTTTCCTTTCTTTTTCTTTGCATTTATAGGACCGCGAAATTGACACTGACAGAGCTCTCCCCGAAGACTGGTGATCTGGATTCTGTGCCAATTACACAACAACGCCGTGACTCGACGGTCGTCGTCCTTGACGCTGGGTATACAGGCTTGGAAACGCAGCGAGGCTCAAGTATCCCAGCGTGCGCACGCTCGTGTTTGATAAAAAACTATGCATTGATGATATGGTGAGTATGCTGCGTTGTATGGTGATTTAAGAGGTGATATCGAATTGCTCGGTTGATGGATAACTTACTGGTCTCTTTGCCTTCGTGAAACTACCTGTAAAAACGTGCTATAGGAATTTGTGGGACGTGGACTCGCACTGGCGCAGGGTCCAGCGAAGCAATTTGAGTTGTACCCGCAACCCCTTTCGCGTCACACACCCCGCCGCCATCATCACCTTGCTTGCAAGGTCATCGGAAAAAATAATGGAGAAAGCCGGCTATATTGATTCGTCAAAGTCATACCGTCAGATTATCAGTCGCGTCAGTTAGACCAATCTTCTTTTCTTACATAGCATGGAACTGTTTTTTTTTTCACTTTGAACAATCGCAGATTCATCCTCAACCGCGTCGTCAATCTGCTAGACTATGAATGCATCGGGAGTCCCTTCGAGTTAATTCGAAGATCAGAGAGGTAGATGCACTAGCTGTCTACGTTGAAACACGATATTGTGGTGTAGTCCCTTTCGCTACAGAAACTGTATCATGATTGATGGACTCTCTTGTAGCATGGACGAAAACCCCCCATGTCTATCCATGTCTCTCAACTCAATCAGCATATATATGGAGCACCAGTACTCGTGTCATCACATCTTCTCTCTCATTTCCTCTAACCCTACCCTCTCGTAGCACTCCGCCGTTCTAGTGCTCTCGACGTGCATCTGAGGTGAAGTGGGATGCACCCATCGCCCTGTTCATGACCCGCTACTCTCTGTCGTATTTGCCGTGTTGTAAATGAACTTGTGTTACACATTCACTGTCATTCAGTACTGTATAGTAGAAAACAGTGTAGTAAAATGGACGTTCTCATTGTCAACGCTCATACAAATACAAGATCTTCAGCAATCGTTATTCAATGACATTACGCTATTTACATAACCTTCCCCATCATCGGTTAGCAGTGTCGACCCTCACTGGCAGTGTAAGTCAGCAGAAAACGACTATTATGGAAAGTTGAGCATCATATTTTTGATCTCAGCACTCAGTGAAATTGGCAAGCCCAGCGTCTATCGTGCCGATCACAAAGAACTACACGTGCTGCCGCATACCCTCAAATTTCAAGACCTCACCCATTTCTCCTCACCTTCTCACCGTTTTACACACAGTCCCCATATCCTACTACTCAGCTCCTTCGTGTTGCTTGTCATTATGATTTACCTCACTCTCGCGCCATCATGCCCGGGAGCTTGGAAGGTCGATGCATCAGACTGGAAGGTGGGTCACTCCATACAACCTTGGGATCCGTTTCATAGGTTTCGTGCTCTACTTACAGTCGTTGGAGGAAAGAGTCCCTTCAGGGTGCGTACCCGCAGGCATTATCATATTCATCAATGTCGACTCGAGGAGGCGTTGTCCGAGTCCTGTCATCAAACAAATATTTAGCTTGAGGCGAGACTGAGACGTTGTAAAGCCTCCCACGAGATTCGATTCCAGTACTCATTAACGGCTGCAAATCAACAGATACTTCACCTAGATCATCACTAGAGAGCCCGGCATCCTTTGAACTCGGTCGAATGCTCGGTCATGAAGAAGTGATCAGCAAAGTTGTGGAATGAGCTTTTCGATCATGGAGACGAACCTTTTGGTGAGCAGTCTGCTTTCCATTCAGGCATGTCTATCAGCTTGTCGTAGAACTGTCCTTTCCACCTATTAGTGGTATTCATCCTTGCCTCACGCTGAAGGTCGCTGTTGTGCGCACTGGTGGAAATCAGGGCGGTGCACTGCTCGATGTAAGCGATGCTAGCACCCGTGCCTTCGGTTTCTGCTAACATAATGCAATCTGTAGTCTATCTTTGGGCTCCTCGGCCTGCTACTCCGCCCCTCGCCCGTCCAGGAAGTGTTCTGTACTATCATCTGGATGAAGGAGGGAATGTTTCAGCTTTCCATCAAACAATTCTGGAAAGCGTGCGATTGAGTTCCTAGTAATGTTAGTCGTCGCACAAGCATGGCCTACGCGAGTCGTGTGACGATCTTGCAGAACAGCATACTTGGTACAAGACGACGCCCTGTGGTGGGGCTGGGCCATTTATTTTCTTATTCATTCGAATCACGCGTGCTGCCTTTTTGCACATAGCTGTAATACGTGGGAGGTACTGCCAGGCAAGCTCGTAAAGGGCCTGAAATAACCTCGATCATTCATACTAGCATGGAACTACCTAGAACTACTGAAACGCCTCTAATTAGACCCGCTACACCGGCAGTATGGTACGTCTAACAACGTGGGAGCATTAGGGGCCACAGATTGGCAGATTTACAGACCGGTGCGAGACTCTTTGACAGGCGTTAATTAACGTTAACAGCTACCTCCACATCCAGCCTGTCTATTCGGCTAAGGCATGGCGATTAACAGAAACTCACCCGGTATCTCCGCTCGCATCTTTCACAGGTCTATATTTGCCTTCTTGCTGCTCCTTGTGGCATTTTATTGCTTTCAGAATGGCTTCATGCTGGATATAGAGCCCCAGATGATGTTTTCTTCTAGCCGAACTCATTGTCCAATAAAGTGTTTTGATGCAACTTGGGTCGACATGGAGCAAACTCGGTATTCTTGGGATTGTAGATATCCTACCGGAGAAAGGAGAGCTTTGGAATGTGGGCACTATGTTGTCTCCTCGTCGGCTTTTTAGGTCAGACTTGGATTTTGCCCGGAAATTCTGAATTCTGAGCTTTGGAAGGCGGGTAAGTGATCTTGCCATCTTTTTAGGTCAGATTTGATTTTACCCGTGTACGAATGTCGTCTTCATATTTATATTGACGAGGGTGTTGGTGGGTTCTGGGACAGGATAGTACAATGGCATAGATCTGATATGATGATGTTTTTGGTCAGGTACCACAACGAATTCTTTCTTATCTTCAGTCCTTTTCTGACCCCCGAAGGTCACAAGTACAAGGGACGAAAACGGCCCCTCTTTGTGATTATAAGGTGCATTTCCTGCCTTGGGTATCTACCCACGTACTGTTGACTCTAACCATGATCCCTACATTCGATACTCGCCTTGCTATCCTCGCCGCCTTACCCATTTCATTTGTTGGCATCACCGCCCTGGGGCGGTTCGTTAAGAACAGACAGAACAAGCCTTCCATTCCTCCTGGGCCAATGCCGCTCCCCTTAATAGGGAACATTTTATCTATTGATGCTAAAGCACCGTGGTTGACTTATGCTCAATGGCATGCTGTTTATGGTACGTTTCCGGACATTTTAGTGCATTTCTGGTGCAAACCATTCTATCAGGGAATTTGTTCTTCATGCGGATTCTAGACCAGGATGTAGTCGTGATCAATTCTGAGCATGTTGCAAAAGCCTTAATGGACAAGCGGTCTCGCATTTACTCCGATCGACCATACTTAGCCACAAGGGAGCCGTGTGTTCTTCTAATATTTTTACCATTCAATCATTCTGAAGTGCAGGCAGATTTGGGTGGGCGGTCGTCTTTGCATTCACACCTTATGGTGATGAATGGCGTCTTTCCCGACGAGTCTTCCATCAAACTTTCCGTCCCGAGTCTGCAGTAAAGTTTCGCCCCATGCAGATGAAACGGGCCCATGAGTTGATCGTAAACCTAATCGAGGACCCTCAAGGTTATCATACCCACTTGGCAACGTGAGCCAACTGGTTTGTAGATATTGAACGGTTGTTGATCCTATTCCAGATTCTCGTCTTCTGTTGCGATGGAAGTTGTCTATGACTACCAGACAAAAGCTCGCGATGATCCTCTGGTTCGAACTGCGGAAAACGCAGTAGCTCTTGGTTTTTCTATGATTACTCCAGAGAAATCAATTTTGCTCAAGGCCTTCCCCTTCTGTAAGCTCAGCTTTCTCTGATGAGAAAGAGTTAATATTCTGTACTCCCATGCAGTACTCAAGTTACCTGACTGGTGCTGGGGATCCTCGATAAAACGCGATGCTCAATCCTCGAGGAATGGTATGTCTGAAATGACGGAGGTACCGTTTCAATACGCACAACAGCATATGGTAGGCATTTTTGCATTATTTAATTTGATCCTAGACATTGATTGAAATTCCGTACTTTCCAAGGCCGAAAACTTGTCCAATGGCCAGCTTTCAATGGTGACAGAAAATTTGCAACGGATGGAGAAGCAAGACGAGGGATCCAAACCAAAGTTCGAGGCTGCATTAAAGAGAGCAGCTACTACTGCTATTGTGGGTTCGTGGCCATTTACGAGGGACTATGCTCTTGATAAATACCTAATATGCAGGTTCATATGAGACGGTCAGTAGATGTCCGAACCGTATTGTCTGCTGCTCAATTTCTTGACAGACTACTTCGACCTTGATGGTTTTTGTTCTCGCCATGGTGTCTTACCCAGATGTTCAACAACGCGCACAAGCGGAGATCGACTCAGTCGTTGGAAGCGATCGCTTGCCTACGTTTGAGGACAGGGGATCACTGCCCTACGTCGAATCAGTTCTTCGGGAGGTTTTCCGATGGTACCCCATTGTACCCCTTGGTATTCTCCCTCGCTGAGTGATCCCGCCTTTACTGAAGATGATATTCCAGGTGTGCCACACGCTACATCGAGTGACGATATATATGAAGGTTACTTCATTCCACGAGGTCTGTCGTCTATGTCCAATTCACAAACCATTTTTAATATTGTACATCAGGAACGACCGTGGTATGCAACACATGGTTAGACACATTCTCCCCAGTTTTCGAGATGCTGATGTTATCTTGCAGGGGCATTGCACGAGATGAAAAGCGGTACCCCAAACCGTCTCGTTTTATGCCAGAGAGATTCATGGACGTCAACGGCGCATTGACGGATGATGACCCTGCGGAATACATTTTCGGCTTAGGTCGGCGAGGATGTCCGGGTGGGTAGAGCAATCTTGATGCTGTATGGCTTGTGATGAGTTGAGACATTAACATTTTTCAATCAGGCCGGTTTACTGCTGATTCCTCAGCGTGGTCTGCTATTGTGACCATGTTGGCCACGGTAGACTTTTCTCTTGCCAAAGATGACCAGGGCAAAGCGATTGACTTCACCCCCCAATTCACGACGGGACTCACTCAGTACTTGATTTCCTAGTGTCATTTCACTCTCCCATTACTCACAGTTTCTTTTCTTTAGCTCGCCTACGGCCTTCCCTTGCAGTATTACACCACGTGTTCACCTCCATTCGGGAATTTTTTGACGAGCGACAATGGGCAGTGACTTGTGTGAGGAATAATTTTGTGTATGATTCCTGTCATCAGTTACACGGGCAGAACATAAATGAGGTCTCTATCTGGAGTAGGACAGTCCATTGAAGGTAGTTTTGCATATGTGGGTTTTGACTCATTGAGGGAATTACTTGTTCCATACAGCCCGAGAGCAGCCACGGTTCATTATAAACATCAACATGCGTAGAATAGGGGCTCGACTACCATGCGCAGCAGTCGTGACCTCACTGTGGCCCGGCACTGCATGTTGGAGTCCGAAACGTCCGAGCCAGTGACGACAGCCGAAGAGTAGGATACGAGTGTAACCGAAAAGGGCTCGAGCGAGGGACGATTTGACGTCGGCTCCAGCTCGTCCATATTGCAATGACTCGTTTGCTGCGATACGTATATTTTTCGTCTCTATGCTAACTTACCATAAAGACCCGTTCACATTCGTACGAACATCTCAGCTCCTTCAGAGACTGAGATGTAAGCCCCAGTTATTTTTCCCTTACTTTACATTGCTAACGAGTTGTAGATACTTTGTTTTCTATCAGGTACATGACTCGTACAATGAGCTCCTTCAGAGACTGAGATATACTATCAGTGTCCCGTCCCGCTCGTTACTATTCACTTTATTGCATGCCCAGCAGGCACATCAGGAAAACTACTGGTTGCTTAATTTACTTTATTTGTCACTTAATTGTCTGAAAAGGGACATATAAGTCGTTTGAGTGAAAAAGCGCGAGCCGCTTAATTAAGCCCACTCCTCGTCTGGATTTTCACTTATCTCGCACTTATTTGACTTGAAAAAAGCAGAGAAAGCGGCACAAGCCTTTCATAGTAGTAAGAAAAGGGCATACATAGAAAGCGTGATAAGCGCGGAATTAAGTAATGATGCGAGCAAAAAAGCGGAGGCAGCAGGAAATATGATAGCAGCAGAAAACATGACACTGGTGGGGGTGGAAAACTGACGGTGCCCTTCATGCAACTTGAATGGTTAACAAAATCCTGCAGCGAGGGTTGTCAGTGAGATTAAGCCTGGATGATCCACACTCACAAATCATAGCTCGCTCGTCCTCATCTGACTCGTTGTCATTGAGAGAGCTCGCCGGTGTATCAGCGACGTCATATACTGTAGCATGTGCCATCTCTATGGTGGCCTCCATGTACCCAGCAGGCTTGCTCAAAATAGACTTTGTGAATGCTTTGGTTGCTTTGGACCAGAGAGTTGCCGAAAATAAGAATGGAATGTTAGTCTCCTTACCCGTAAGCTTGTTGAGAACCTTTGGTAACTTGATGGTCACTTTACTCCGTGATGCGGACGACAAAACATCTTGAACCTTGAGATTTTTGCTCTTGATCATCCCAAGGGCGTGCTCGATCTAAAAAAAAATGAGTGTGATTAAGCCATTTTAAATCGAACTCACTGCTACAGCACAGAGGGCAAGAACCCATGACATCCCACTCATTGCAAGCTCATGCATGTCGAAGGAGGGAACCTCCACATACCCTTTGATGGCATTGAGGTGCGCTGTGCCAAACAGCTGCAATATGAAGGGAGAGCAGTATGCTGTGAGGGGAGATGGACTGTCGGGATTTTCGAACAAGAAGGCCCAATTATTGAGAAGGAAAGTCGCAAGGACACTTGGAGCACAGTCAGGATTCCGTGTCATAAAGTCCATGATGATGACTATGGCTGTTGAGCCGAAATTACTGCGCCATTCTGAGATGCGCTGTGCGGTCTGATTACAGATATAGTATTAGTCACTAGAATTTGATATAATGGGGGACTTACAAGTGAATGTACCATGCTGCCGTGAGCAAGATCAATATTGAGGTCTTTGTATACTGCGTTAAAGACGAGCTGAGCATGATGGAGAAGGACTTCGTCTGGGATAACCCAGACATTTTCATAACTTCCAGCCCACAGCATTATCATAGGGAGATATTTTTTCGTCCAGCGTTGGTCTGCTTGCATTGCTGCAGGTAAGTCCACCGTACAATAGGCGCCGCGTGTTTTCATGTGCTCTGCTGTGGTGTCCACATTCTGCTGGTGTTTGGGTTTGGCAAGGAATACTGGGAACACGTGTGGCGGGAGGTTCAATCTTGGCCTTTTTTTGAGCGGGTGGCTGGCTATCAGCGACAGAAGTGGTAACGGACGTCTGTGTAAGTGTCAGAATGAGTGCTGTTAGGGTCACGATCCTTACCGAGGTTGTCCTATGTGAAACTTTCTCCTCCTTCACTACAATAGGTTCCTGCTGGGATGATTCACTAGAACCCAAGATTGGGTCATCGACGAGAACACCACCTTCAATTTCCATAGACCAATCGGACACCATGGACCCAGCCTCCGATGCCTCATAATGATCTAAGACGTGAACTTCGTCAGCTTTCCGCTTGTGGACCCTGGTATTTAAATTTGGTGCCTGCATGAATGGAGCCTTAGGAGCCTGTGAATAATCGTACTCTTGAGCCATGGGCTCATCTTCTGAGTCAGAATATTCTGCAAGTCCTAGTGCCTTGGGCTCATCAAAGTTGGAGTTCTCTTCGAATATTGAGACCACCTGCTAAGCAAGGAATTAAACGCTGGCACCAATTGATCACCACCAATTACCTTGGTTTTTCTCTTGTCTTGCTTGCTCTCCAAGCAGGCAGCCTCATACTCCAACAAATCGTCAACTTCATCTGCAAATCCACCAGTGAGGGCATCCTCAGGGACATTATCTGGGGTTTTAGCTTGAGCCGCAAGAATCAGAATTGGGTCCTGAGCAGCCGAAGTTGCTGCAGAGGAAGCGGTGCCGTGTGAGAAGATAGTTCATGGAGGCACTCGAGTTGAAATGCTGGATGCACGGGATGCCGCCGCCTCTGAATTTCCGGGCCTGACCCCTGAAACCCAATTGGTCACTCGGCCACCTAATGCAAATTTCTGAGTAGTCGCATTGATACTGGAAGTAAGATTAAGGAAAAACAAAGTTGATTCAGTGAGGAGCAACATAATGTGAGAGAACTAAGAATCTTACTGTGAGGGCATGTCTTTCCCATCAACACGTGGTGTCTCATGATTGGTGTTATCGCCTTCCACATTCGATGATGAGTCGCTCATCTTTTTTTGCACATTACTGATTGCATCTCTGATCAATGTCTTTGCGCCACCTCTCTTCCCTACAGCCACCTTCTTCACTTTTCCCTTGGTTGCAAGTCCATCGTCCATCTCCTCATCAGGTGTTGTCTGGTGGTTGTCTGTTCCTTCTGGTAGGTCATCTAACACACTGTCAGCCTGATGATCACCACCTTCTACAACAGCCTTTTTGGTTGCCTTTCGAGCCCTTGGCTTGGGTCGAATGGGGGTCGCCTTTTTGGTGAGTGATTCTCCCTGCTTTTTCTCCATCTCAGTCTCCATGCCAGCAAGGTGTTCAACCCCCTTTTTGAGCACAGCTTCCTTGGCTCCCTTGGCTTCCTTGGCTTCCTTGAGGGCAAGGTCATCGGCAGCCTTTTGTGCCTTAGAACGCCTCTTGACCTGTGCATCGAGCACTACCTTGCCAGGTCAGGTGGTGGCATTCGATGGGCGGGTGCGACGGGTTGCATCTATGGTAGACATGATTAGGCAGATGGACGAGTGACACGAGGGATGATACTTTTGGTGCAGGACCAAGAGATAGCTAATGGTGGTGGTTTGGAGTTGAAAAAAACTTGTAAGTCCCACCCCAAACAGATGGGCCGACCGTGGCGTCTCACTCACTAATCGGGATTTGTTACAGCAGTATCTGTAGTTCAAACTATTATTACACATTTTTGGTGGTCGCATTAGCTCTCTTCCATCTTACAGTACGATGTCCCACAGGGATCACAGTGCCCTTCAAATTCCATGCGGTTACTTAAATTGTGCACGCTACTTCAAGACTCAGGCAGGGCACAAAAAGCACTGGAACAGTTCACACCCAACATTCACCGGCAGGGTGTCGCATACCGCTACAGTCGAAGATGAGCCTGACGAACTACTGGACAACGACTTCCCCAGGGACCATAACAAGTTCCCTGCAGGTGACTATGACCTTTCTGAAGGTTTATCTGACCTTGGTCAGGCACTCAATGAACCTGCCAATTCGGACAACGTCGACACAGAATTTTGGGGGCCAGGTGATAGATTATACTGCAACTGTCACTCAAAACTAAATGGTATGTTTCTTGATGCTTTTTCGCTATTTCAAACTAACGCAAGTATGATATAAGCACGTCCTTGCGATGCAACAGGACAATTTCTTGAGGATGGAGCACCTCCAACTCCACCTCCCAACAAGTCACCTGATGACTGGACTCCATACCGGAATCGTGTTGAGTTCGAGACAGCAGAATTTCTGTACATGCGCAACCAAATGTCTGCTGGGAATATCAACATCTTGATGGATCTTTGGGCTGCAACCCTCCTGAAACACAACGACAAGCCACCGTTTGCGGACTGTCGTGATTTATATAAAACCATTGACGGTACACCAGTAGGTGATGTCAAATGGCAATCGTTCAAGGTCCAGTATACCGGGGAGAAGCCAGCACACAACATACCACCCTGGATGGATCAACCTTACGATGTCTGGTACCAAGACCCCCATGAGGTCATTTGGAACATGTTGGCGAATCCAGAATATGCAACAGAGATGGACTACCGGCCCTACCGTGAGTACTCAACTGACACTGACGAACGCCAATGGCAGGACTTAATGTCTGGCAACTGGGCTTGGAACCAAGCGGCATGTTCTCTTTTATTGTTTCTGTAGCTACACATGCTGATACTTTGGTAGGATATTATTTCTGAAGATCCAGAAACACTTGGGTCGACATTTGTGCCAGTCATACTCGGAAGCAACAAGACTACAGTTTCGGTGGCGACCGGTGCCAATGATTATTATCCCTTGTATGCATCCATTGGGAATGTTCGTAACAATGTCCGACGTGCACATTGTGATGCTGTTGCCATCATCGGCTTCCTCGCGATGCCAAAAAGTGAGTTTCATGCTACTACTATTGTTCTGCACTAATTACAGTCGAGAAGCCACACAGGAGCACGCTGATGACCCAAGGTTTCGAAAATATCGATGACAACTCTTTCATTCATCTCTCACCAAGATACTTGAGAACCTAGGGCCCGGCATGACAAAACCAGAGGTTGTGCGCTTCGGCGATGGTCACTATCGGCATGTAATCTATGGTCTTGGACTGTACATTGTGGATTATGAAGAGCAGGTGCTATTGGCATGTATCGTGCGCTTTTGGTGTCCCAGGTATGTTTCTCAAAATATAACCAACATGTCTTCCACCTCACAAACACTAATACACAGGTGTATGTCTCACCGTGACAACTTAGATGCCAAGTCGTTGTGTTGGTGTCGTGACCATACAGAAGCGCTTGTTGAAGAGATAGACTATGGCGCTCTATGGCTAGAGTATGGGATTGTTAGTGACCTTGTGGTAAGTCTCGCACATCTTCTCTGTACTGCAGTCGAAGATTCAGACTTTTCTAGCCTTTTACAAACAATTTTCTGCGAGCTGATATCCACGAACTTATCGCACCAGACATACTGCATCAACTGATCAAAGGAACCTTCAAGGATCACTTGGTTGCATGGGTCGGAAGATATTTGAGATACGAGCACAGTGAGAAAGAAGCAGAGAGGATTCAGGATGATATAGATCGAAGGTATGTTACTTTGTCTTAATTCGATGTTTTGAAGCTCATGTCATCAAAGAATCGCTGTGGTCGCCTCATTTGCAGGTCTTCGACGTTTTCCAGAAGGCCGGGGATTCAAACAATGGACCGGCGATGACTTGAAGGCGCTCATGAAGGTTAGTTCAATCTCATGTTAGATTGCGACTGCTGGGCTAACCATAGTTCAGGTTTATCTATCTGCTATTGAAGGCCATGTCCCAACGGACATGGTATGCGCATTTCGCGCATTTCTTGAATTCTGTTATCTGGTCCGACGTAACATCATTATGGAATCCACACTAGGTCAAATCCAGGAGGCTCTCGACCGGTTCCATCATTATAGGGAAATATTCAAGTCGACAGGCACCGTCCCCACATTCTCCTTACCTCGACAACATGCTTGTTCTCACTATATCCTCCTCATCCGACTTTTTGGTGCGCCTAATGGCCTTTGCTCCTCGATTACCGAGACGAAGCATATCAAAGCTGTCAAGGAGCCATGGAGGCACTCCAGTCGCTACAAAGCCCTCGGGCAAATGCTGGTGACAAACCAACGCCTTGATAAGCTTGCAGCAGCACGGATTGATTTCAAGAGCTGTGGGATGTTGAATGGCACTTGTCTGTCAGCAACCCTCAAGAAATTGAGTGAGTTTTATAGCACTATACACATTTATCATTGACTGAAATTTACCATAGAACGTTTGCGCTTAAATACAGTGCCCGACGCTGACCAGCATGAGGAATCAAACGAGAATAACATGGTGCTGCTCTCCAACACCAATGTTACTATACAGGGTGACAACGAAGAGGGTGAAATTGATGACAGTCCAATGATGGTACAGGCTCATGTTCAGTTGGCAAACACATATTGTAAGCTAGATCATATTTTACTTCAAATATTTATCTAATAAAGCCTTGGCATGATGCAGAATGCAAACGCGCACGCACTATACCCGAGTTATCTGCAGAACTTGCAATCCCCCATCTCTCCAATGTCCTCCGCCGATTCCTATTCGAACAAGTGCACCCAGATGACCAGCGCCCTCCCTCCGAAGTCCCGCTTGCAACATGCCCTCGATTCGATGGCAAAATTCAAGTCTTCAACTCCGCATGTTCGACATTCTACGCGCCCAGCGACTGCAGTGGGATTAGTGGAATGCGCCGGGAGCATATCCGTGCCTGTCCTGTTTGGAGAAACGAGGCACCCCAGTATGACTGTGTGTTTGTTAACACAGATGCAGGTGTCGAAGGAATGGGGGGCATGGATATAGCCTGTGTAATGTGTTTTTTCTCCTTCACATTTGAAGGAGTTGCATACCCGTGCACTGTTGTGCGCTGGTTCGACAAAGCCAGTGATGGACCTGACAAGGACACTGGGATGTGGATTGTGACCCCTTCGTTTGATACCGACAATTTCCCATCTATTGGAATCATTCATATTGATTCTATTTACCACGCTGCACACCTCATCCCAATCTATGGAACACAGAACATTTCATGCGATCTCAAGCATTATGACTCATATGATGCTTTTCGAGCATTCTATGTAAACAAGTTCGCAGACCATCACACATTTGAGATTGCATCTTAGGTATCTTGCCCTCGTGAGTTCATTCTGTCTGCTACTTCAAGTTGTACTCGCAGTCTAACTATCACAGACCAGCAATCGATGAGTTTGGCGAGTGCAACATATGCCCCCTTCTCGCAACACAACTTGGCAAGCCTTTCTTCAACGAACAGCTCGCCAACAATCGATGAGTTTGGTGAGGGTAACAGGACCGTGCCTATACCCCCTTCTCCAACACAACTCAGCAAGCCTTTCTTCGACGAACACTCACCAACAATTGATGAGTTTGGCGAGGGTAACAGGACTGCACCTATGCCCCCTTCTCACAACACAACTCGGCAAGCCTTTCTTCGACGAACCCCTCACCAACAATCGACGAGTTCGGCGAGCGTAACAGGGCTGCACCTTCTCACAACACAACTCAGCAAGCCTTTCTTCGACGAACAGCTCGCCAACAATCAATGAGTTTGGCAAGCGTGACAGGGCTGCGCTTATGCCCCCTTCTCACAACACAACCCGACAAGCCTTTGTCGATGAGCAACTCCTGTCGCTGCATGGTTGAAAGTTGTGGATGAGAGCAAGCGCTAAGCATTTCCGCTAAGGAGGCAAAGCTGTTTGGCCTCGACACCGTGTGTCTCCCTCTTACAGTGGCTTCAGACGATGTATATCAACATTCATTACCGTCGTGTTTGTTACTACTACACCCTCTCTCTTCCCGTCTGGCATACTTACTTGGTACCCTTTTTTTACATGTATTCCACTTATTGTACTTAATACTACTGCCTCTTTTTGAGTGGTCCCGACTTAATCCACTTTTGAGAAAGTCTATTAAGTCGAAAAAGCACTGTTCCGATTTTCATTTACCAAACATTAAGGGACAAAAAGCGAGATAAGCACAAAAAAGCGACCGGTAGTTTTCCTGATGCAGCAGTCCCCGACCCTAGTTAGGCTGACGTACGAACCTTGCGACGAGCGCTGCTCTTTTGCGTATTGTTTATTGAAGTGCTAAGTAAGTACGTTGAAGATAACTGCCAGGCCAGTCACATGTCAAACTGTGATTATCAATCGTCAAATGGGCATCCGTCCGAAGTCAGTCATGGGTTCATTGCAAGAAGTTTCATGGATTCGAGGTTGAGTCGGAGCACGTAAGCTGACCCTCTCAGCGAGCTACAATATCTCCAGCGTCCTGACATCCATAGTGGTATGAACAGAATTCACCTCTTTCATTTGTGCGATCATATCATGGACACGATCTGATGCGATTCTCGTGTACGCTGCTGCGCTAGCAAAAATGCTTCGAAAGGCTATCCGAGGTGAACGATCGATTGCAACACTGTCGAGTGAGACTCTGAAGCTGAACGAACATCCTGGACTTATGGTGGTGCGCACCTCATTATTCGCGAGAGGAACAGATGCTTGAGGATCAGAGCAACGCGCTCCATGCCTCAATGATCCAACCATCAACTGAACAATCGAATCATTAAGGTGTGCTAACACCAATAAATGACTTTCGACCACGGGATGATATGGGAAGGGCTTGCTGAGACATCGTTTTTAAGACGCACGGTGATGCCACGGCCGACGACAGAATGAACGTCTCAGAGATATTTCCCGCTGGGGATGGAGAGGGACCAGCGAAGAAATGCAGGAATGTCGATGGCAGGACCACTGGCAGATGGGATATTGAGATATCGACGTCGATGTCGAAACTTCAAAAAACGAGGCTTGGGCGCTTGATCTGCACAGCCAGTGGGCAAGCTGTGAACCAAACACAGGATAAAACAAGGAAGACGCACCTGTACAGGACTTAAACAGCGACCACTCTCTTGACTCAACTCTGCATCGAACAAATATTCACTCCGTTGCGGTTTCCATGGAGGAGTTATTCACTCTGAGTATAAACAAGCACCTTTGCGTAAGTGATGGCATTCGTTCAATGGGTAAGAGCTGAAATTGTGCTGCGCCCATTAGGTGAAGACCTCGAGCCAAAATAATGTCTTCAACAGCTCCTGCAAAGCAAGAGAGATCAGTGATGAAGCCTCACAAAAAGATGCAAGGACACACTGACGAGGTCACTGGCATCCTAGGCCTGCCAGATAAACGGCGAATCATGACCTGTTCATGGGATGGCTCACTTAGAGTGTGGGACTTGGAAAGTGGAATGCAGGTCAGGGAGGCCTGGACGGATGAAGGAAGTGGACAGGTGCACACCATAGCACTCTCACCGGATGGCAAGACAGTAGCAAGAGGGAGTGAGGATGACACAGTGAGATTGTGGGATACCGATACGGGCAAGGTTGTCAAAAAATGGACGGGGCACACAAAGACAGTGCATTGCGTCTGTTGGAGTCCAGACGGAGGGCGAGTCGTGGGTGGGGGCTATAATGGAGCATTCACAGTATGGGATGTCAAGAGCGGCAACACCATCCTGGGACCAATCAAGGCAGGGAAGAACAAGGTGTACGCGCTTAGATACTCACCCGATGGCACGATGATTGCGACAGGCGCGGACAAGCTGAAAATCTGGAACGCCAACACAGGCAAGCTACTCAAAACAATTGAGGAATTCATTATGTGCCTGGCATGGACCTCCAAAGGAAAGACCCTGTTCGCCTGGTCAGGCAAAATTAGGAAATTCAACACCGCCACTTGGACAGAAATCGCTGTTCTTGACGTGTCTGAAAAGATCCACAACATTTCACTATCTCCGAATGAGTGTATCCTTGCCACAAGCACATCTATGGCGCTGGATCTGTTCAACTATTCTTCACACGCAAAACTCACACACGCACAGACGTCACACACACACAAACGAGACGCACACATAATCACTCTGTCGCATACACACTCTTGTACCATCGAAAAATTAGTACTGCACTATTAGATCTGACATGATTCAATAATCAATTTATATTGCAGACAAGGCTACTGATGAAGGGTTCTATAAATGAATCTTTTTAAGGCCCGGCTGGTAGATGAGATGGAGTGATGAGAAGTGAGTAGGTCTCGGAGTGAAACGCACTGAGAGTCGCCAGCATTGGCAGCAAAGCCTCGAATCTTTTTAAGGCCTGGCCGGTGGACAAGACGGAGTGATGAGAAGTGAGTAGGTCTCGGAGTGATGATCAATTTATATTGCAGAGGCTGCTAATGAAGGGTTCTATAAGCGCCAATCAAGTAGAGTCCAAGGGCAAAAAAAAATGCACCGAAGCCGCCAGCATTGGCAGCAAATCCTCGGCTGGCGGACGAGAGCGAGAAAAGAAGACAGAAAGCTGCCAGTATTGGTGTCAAAAAGATGTTCATGCTGGGTGGGTCCTTGATGTAAGTGTCGATGAGGAGTGAGTAGGTCTCGGAGTAAATGATTTTCATTGTTCGAATGGACCAACTAACATTTAACGGAGAATTCGATGGAATAGGAATTAAATCATGAAATTGACTAGGCCCAGTAGGGTTAAGAATGGAGGATTCAAAGGAGCGAGGTGAATCAAAGCATGAAATTAGGATTAAGAAAGAAGGATTTAAAGGTGCGAGAAAAATTAAAGGGAACTGTAGAAGTAGTACTGTGGCTGCAATGGGATTGTGATAAGATGTTCGAGTTCTATGGAACAAAATTAAAGCCAAAGTTTAATGGAACCAATGAAGTAGTCAGTTGTCCAAGGGTTGTGCAATGGACGCGACAACGGATCATTGACATCTGGGTGGCCGCACAATATATCTTTCAATGTGGGCTCAACTGAAACGAGAGGCTGGAAGAGTGGTCGATTAAGTATCGGCATTGCGGACACATGATTCTGAACGTTTGTAAAGACTTCTGAGTCTTGGAGGTCGATGTAGGGTTCTTCATCTTTGATTGACGCCATCATCAAATTCTGGCGTGGAGCACGTCTCAGAGGTGAGATTGACATTCCTTTCAGACTAGCTGGCAGTGTGTCGAGGCCATCATCTGCATCAGAGTCGGGACCGAACAATGTAAAATTACAGGTGTTAGATGGTCAAGTAGACAATGAAAGCGCTTAACACTTACATTTAACAGATTTCGCCACCTGGTTCTCCATTTTCGATGCGATGGGTTGACCATGAGCTGATTTAAATATGTTTTGTTAGTAGTGTTGTTTCGCATACAGTCTGAACAGTAGTACTTACTTCCACACGATCTCTTTAAAGCTGGTTCTTGATGTGTATCACGTTCATTGGACTGCATCAAGCATTTTGGACGAGCTGGAGTAAGTAGTAACAGTTAAACGAATTTTAAACACAGTCACTGAGAGTGTGCACGTGAGAGCTTTAAATCCACCAACCGATCTTGGGAACATTGTATATGTCATCCAAACTATCTTCAAGTTTAAATTGATATTTGCTGTCACTATCGTTGCTGTTGTCATCATCTATATCAATAACGACCATGTCCGGATCCCAGTGTGCATAAATATGCTCAGGTACATATGTCCGGATATCTATTGCACATACATTGATTAGAACATCCCTGATGAATTTATTAATGGCTCACCAATAAAAACATTTGTCTGTTGAAGAGGGGCATTATTTCTGCCTTTGTACCGTTCAAGATGTTTGCCGTTCGGAAATGGGTCAGGTGTGACACTCAGCCTGCGGTTCTCTTTCGAAATCAACACCCATTCAGATGCTCCATTATCTATGGCCTTCCCCTTTACATCACCTGCCTTTACAGAGTCAAGGTATCCAAAGACCTTTGGAAAAAGTCTTCGAATGTAAGCATCAACCTCGTCAAATGTCCAGTCCGGGCAAAAGCTGAAATCCACACTGTCGTTCTCAGACTGATCTCCATCAAAGTGAGCACATCCCCGTCGTTTAAACTTTGACATCTCTGTCCTGACAGGCGGGATCGTGATCGTCAACTCTCCTTTGTCCTGTCGGTCACTGGGTAAGTTCATAGTTATTGTGTGCTTAGGCTAACATACATCAAGGTAATTGATCAAGACAGCAACGGCACCGACTTTGATCCGGATTTGTCCTTGCTTCGAAGAACTGGCCTGTCTTAAGGATATTGCCCTGCCCTAGGTAACATTGATTATTTCGGAGGCACAAAAGTCAGGCAAATTTACTCACTGTGAATTTCCGTTTTACAGGTGGGCGGAATCCTGCGATTGCCTCACCTCTCGCGGTAGCCGTCTTCTGACTGTTGGATGACACATTGAATTTGAGTTCCGGGTCTTGTCTGGCTTTCCGAGCGAGTGATTGCTTGTATATAGCTGTCACTCCAACTCGTTCTTTTGCGGTTGTGATGGGCCTTGGTGAAGTACTCCAAGTCTGATCTAGTATGGGAGGTACTGACAGCTCGGCCACTGATGCAGGCCGTTGGGGTCGAGGATGTTTGCTCTTGCCATGCAAACATTCTGCACAAAGCTCTTTTTGGCCAACTGGAAGATTCATAGGTGCGGAGTACTCTTCACAATCGCAAGCTACTGATTCGTTAGGGTTGCCCTTGCAATAAACTTGCTTCAACATTCCAAGTGAGATGGAAGAGAGGATCGGGACACAAACAAGCCGGCGAGGTGCGGAATTTGTACGTGGTAGGTTCCTAATTCTATTTCGAATTTTGTAAAGTACTATTGAATTAGAAAAATACATCTGCTTCAAAATGACCTAGAACACTAGCCGCTTGAGCCCATAATGTTGAGCGAGTCCTCCAGATAGGGTCTGCTAACGATACTTCAACATAATTCTCCCTCCGTCGTCCGACTCGTAGATGTTCAGTTGTGTTTTCATCATACTCATCTTCACCCTCCTGTAAATTGTATCCCTCCGGTACAATACCATCCATGACGACCTCCTCAAGTATTTCAAAGAACGAATTTTCATCTTCTTCATTCTGAAAAGGAGTATTACCATCTGCAACCTCAACAGCATCATGTTGGACGTCATTTGCTTGATCCCGCTCGATGCGGCCAATAATACTATCTTCATCTGATTCATCCGACTCGTCATTTGGGTGGCCAGCACCTGTCTGATTGCGACCGCGGACCAACTCTCTGCCATGAATACCATAATAGCGCTGCAGGATTGCAGGATGTATCCCCTCAAACTCATCTTCATAGACGCCTAATGACGCCTGTCCTAGAAGGCGCATATCCTTCATGGTTGTGAGACAATAATTCCACGGCGCCGAGTATTCACTGACCTGAGGGCTTTGATCCTTGGTATCAGAACCATGAATAGGATGGGAGTTCCATTCTTGTTGAAACTGTCGGCAATCATTGTTGAGTGCATTCAAGAAGAGCGCGCTAAGGAGCCAAAGATGCCCAGGCCTGTCAACATCAAGTTTGTGAAGTCGTTCAAGCCTGGTAAAGAATGCCCGCCATCGGCGTGCAAATTGTGTGCCGACTTCAACCCACAATCGTTCGATACGAGAATTCCGTGTTGATCTATCAGGCATCGTTAGTCAAGTAAATTTCCAGGGGGCTCCACTTACGATCCCCATAAGAACAAGCCGCGATTGTGGCCATTTGTTGCAACCATGTGCGTAGCAACTTGAAGGTTCTCCCCTCCGCGATCCCCACGAACACGAGATGGCATGCCATACTCATTCCTTGCGTGCATGAACAACTCCAACACCGTTGATGCGCGATTATTTGTGCTGGCCCTTAGTGCTGTTATCTGTTGAAAGTAAGGTTATTACACTTATTTTGTCGCTTTCATAAATTGATGGATTTATAGTGCGACAATACCCGTCAATGAATCCGTGAATGACAAAGCCCCACCGAATGACCTTGTGATGACCATCCATATGCCATAGTGCATTCGGTCGTGCAACTTGGTACTTTCGTCTTCTGGTAACACGTCATTCTCTCAGCCTTTGTCCCAGCCTGTCGACTTTGTGCAGGGACCACCAAACACGACACTGCTGGACTCGAATACCTTGGTACCGAAGGAAGCCAACAAGGTACCGGAATCCTGACTCCGGTTTGCATTCTTTGAAAGTCCTTACAAGTTGATCGAGATCAGTATCGCTAACCGTCGTGAAGCGCTTTTCAAGACCATGTTGACGAATAAATTTCCACAAAGTGGTGCGGGACACTTGGAGGAGTCGCGCAAGATCTGGCAGCATGATGTGACGCTCGTTAGACAGGGCTTCATGGACAAATTCAAGGTTAATGTTCTTTCTCGGATGCCCTCGACGTCCCTGATGGTCCAGAGTCACAAGCTCTGGGATTATAACATTTGACTGTCCAACATTTTCCCTAGATTAAAGTGATAGCATTCAGACAGTAGAGCTTCAGGCCAGTGAGGTACTTACGCATGAAGATTTCGGCTGACATCCTTAAGCATCGCACCTGCCTCCCCCACAAGCCTAGCACATGCTAGTAGCCAGTCGTGCAGAAGCTGGTAATTGGCAGGACTTGAATCACTTTCGATCGCTTCAAGCAAAGGTAGGGCCTCTGCGGACAGTGCATCATAATGGTACGCCACTCTGGTTGGTTCCGCATCATTTGATCGAAGCATTCTAATCGCAGCGCTATAGATGTTACGGATAATACCATCTGCAGCATAGATGTTTTGTGGCCATCGATGTTCACGTTCTGGTAGGGCTGGAAGATCCATAGTCGGCTACTGGCAAGATAGAGGTGATGAAGTGAAAAACTTGGTGTGGTAAGCAACATTTACGTCCTTCGTGCTTCAACTCAGACTCCAAGCCTCAAAATATTCTAGAATCTCACAGATAGTAGACCATCATGTTTGGGGCTCCAACAATGGGCATGTGTCATGAATGTTACCAACTGCATCTAAATTTCGATTATCAAACCCTAAGTCACCTTATCCGATAAGATAAGATGGATAACCGATTAACGATCACTATCTTTACATCACATCTATATGACATCGACATCATCCATCTATATCCGTAACCCTAGACATACGAACCCATCATATCCTTAGAAGTCCTACGATTAGGCAACGGGTTACATCATAAGCATCTACACGCCTCTATGATCAAACCATAAACCGAGAGTCCCTTACGAGTTATCTCTCGAAGAAGTCATCATCCCTTCACATCGCACACCTTCACTTCTCATGACATGTTAAGAGTTACCTCTGTCATTCACCGAACCCCTTACATAAGAACCTGTTGCACAGTTACAGCTAAACCCTGAACCCCTATCACAGAAGCATCGCTCATAGAGAAGCATGTTCATTACCGAAGACCCTGGAGAATCCCTAGATCCGATCGTACCCGATACATCTCCAGATCCCATCTCTTATTGAGATCCTTAATCACTGCTTGAGACTTCTTGTCACAGAACTCTCTCACCCTTCTTAATCTCCGTTTACCCTGAATAGAAGCAGTCCCTGAGAACCCTGCTTAATCACCGATACCCTTGACCCCTATGAACCCTCTACCCTTTCCTCCTTGTAGTTGATTGGTTGATAAGACGCCCTATACCCTAGGCGCAATGTTATGACCGTATATAGATATATCACAACCTTTCATACTCAGATATCTCCGCTTAGAGAGTAGTATATAGTTTAGGTCGTAGTCAGTAGTACTCCTTAGACTTAACCTCCTCGTTTCTACGTTATTGTAGGGCCTAGACGTTCCCTCTCAAATATCATCCTTGCCTTATCCTCTTCAGACGAGTCCTGTGGTGTGATCCATACTCCAGACACCTACTAGTTAGGTTAAGGGACGCTGGTCATAACAGCACGTCAGCTCCAAGTCTTCTCAAGTTTCAACACCGCCGTTTCTATATACTTGAGGGTACTCACATTTTCTTGGTCAGATTGTTTTGTTCGCTTGGTTTCCCTTGACAATACTAACGGTCAAAATGCAGGTTGAAAATGCGCTATTCAAGGTCCATGCAACTCAATTATCACGCTCATCCATTGCATTCGAGGAGATGTTTTCTGTTGGAAGTCAATTTCAGCCAATGGAAGGCATGGAAGGCTCGAGCGACGACTATCCAATTGTCATCCCCGAACTCAGCATGAATATGTTCGAACTGTTCCTCTCAGTTGCATACAGCAGGTGAGACAAGTTTTCAAGCTTCCGCCTTTATTCTAAATGTGGGATTACCGTACAGTTGGAAACCTGAGGGTCCCACTCATGATGATGTTATCGACCTTCTTTGGTTCAGCAACAAGTTCATGAGTCAAAAAGCTCGCGATGTCGCCATTAATCACCTTCAAGAACATCGATTTCAACACAAACCATATGAACTTCTGGCACTCTGTCTTGAATTTTCAATTCAAAAGTTCTTTGTTCCCGCTTTTCGCCGTCTCATTGAATTTCGCGTCCGCGATATTCCAGGACCAGTGCGAAAGAGACTTGGGTTTGAAGTATGGAACGCCTTTGTAGATTTAAAGGAGCTTCTCAACGAGCACTGCCGCATTGTCGCCTGCGAGGAGCCGCCCATTATCGAGCACTCACAATACTGCACTGACAACACCACATGTTCCATTGACTGGCGGCAACTGTGGTGGAACTCGATGGCCCGTTTTCTCGTTGATGGACGCAATCCTCAAGATTTCCGTGACGCTGTCGAGCGCTTCCAGGAGCTTGGGTTCGAAATCGGAAGGGTGAATCCAGAGTGCTGGAAGACCCTGCTTCAAACAGTGAAGAAAGGAGCGGCATTCCATCTAGCCTTTGATCTCATTGAGGAGACGGCTCAGCAGTTGTCGGCAGCTCTGATCACGGAGCCTGGCCCAATGTTGACACGTGCAGAGTTGGATACCTTGGGGCATCAATGAATTTTATGAATGATCATAGTGCAGTACTAATTTTTCTACGGTAGTACGAGAGTGTGTATGCGACGGAGTGATTATGTGTGTGCGTCTCGTTTGTGTGTGTGTGACGTCTGTGCGTGTGTGAGTTTTGCGTGTGAAGAATAGTTGAACAGATCCAGCGCCATACACATCAACATTGAAACGTAATAATGACATTGACACCGCAGTGCATCTATGGAACTTAAAAACCAATCAACCCATCGGACAACCCCTTCACCACGAAGGCCTGGTCAATTGTGCTGCCTTTTCTGCGGATGGAAAGATTCTCGCTACTGGCATCAACAACCACCTATACACATGGGATGTTTCTACGATCGTCAAAGAGGCCGGCCTAGACGACCTTTTGTCAGACAATGTAAGCTTGGGTTCATTTCATTGTCAATAATCAATGTGTCTAATCATCAACACTATTAAGAAGCCGTTTAACGTGCATGTATGCTATGCGTTTCTTGACCTTTTGTGTGACTTTGAATATCTATATCCTAGGTTGATGCTACACGACCACGCGCCCCGCGAAGACCAGTTCCGCGAATCGAAGGTGCTCGTCGACTACCACCAGGGTTCTTTGATGATGTACGTGGTCTCCATCTATATTTTAACGATTCTCTTTACCATCATTTTATCAGTCCTCCACCTCGCGTGGGCGACGCACCACAGCACAGCCTCAACGCACTCTTCTCGATCACTTATCTTCCTTCTGGCGCCGCCGCTCCAATCCACGCGGAGAAACTGAGCGCGACATCCGCTTGCGAAACCTACCAGTGGTCGACGTCCCGTGCGCACCGGGCAAGCCTGTATGTTATTTCCTTCTCGGTTCTTCTCCGCCACTGACTCGCTTTTATGCAGAGAGTTTATCACGCGAGAGGGAAAACTGCCAGCTCCTCTCGACCATCCAAGCCTTATGCCACACAACAACATATCGGAACGACCCAGAGCCAACAGTCGTCGTCCCAGCCACAACCCACTGCGGCCACGTCATCCATGACACCTCCAGTCACTACCTCCGCAGGAGCAGCGGGGTCAACTTTGCATCCTCATCTCACCATAAGAGACGGATGGCGCGCTCGTTTCATGGCCTGGGCTTGTTGCCTGCCTATTCAACACACTGATGGGCGACATTAGGGATCCAACATGTCACCTTCAGTGCTTCATTGACATCTTTTGTTATCTCCTAAATTAGTTTTCCATCACTCTCTTGTATCCCATCATTAATATTGTATTGTTTCAAGTCCAGAAAGGTATGCAAACAGCTATCAGGTGGAGATTCGGTATGGCACTGAATGTGGGGTCCGACGACAGAATATATGCCAGTCTTTCTTTACAACAATACAATATGTGGAAACGAGTACAAGTCCTACAATTCTATGCCTTGAGTTTGATTGCACGAACGGTTAATTTAAGGACCTGCTCCTCACCGAGATAACCTTGCTCAGGATTCCTCGCCCGAATGACTGATTTTGTAACCCGAAACATTTGCTGGGCTTCTTATCCTCCAGCGTTGGAAGCAGCGATTTCTCATCACTCGCATCTCTAGGCGGCCCTACTTCATCCCCTACGTCCTCCACCGCACTCGTCCTTCTCCAGCGCTTGAAGGAGCGCTTTCCCACAGCTCGCAGGAAAACGACAAAATCTGACGCTACAAGACCCACTACACAAGATAGCGGGAAAAACACGTGCGACCCCATTATGACCAACATACATTTGCATATAAGATATGTACATCCACTGCCAGTGCCAAACCTCGCAATAAGGCCTGTGGATCAGCTGAGCGCTATCAAGTAACGAACGTAGCATTTAAAAGCGAGTCCTCTATTCTAAGATCTCCATTGCTGAAGCGACAGTAGAAGGTGTCCAGAAGCAACCCCGTTGAGCGGCTCAGCAAAAAACTACTAGTAACTCACGCGTCGTGCCATCAATCATACCACACCGATGTGAAAGCAGAAACACGACTCACTGCCACACTAGAAGCATATAAACATGATCTGCCACGGCAGTGAATCATGTGGTTCAATCCAGAACGCAAACCACTCATACTCACGCAATTTCCCTCAGGGCAGCGTCTACAATTTGCATCGCGTATACAAAACAGAGGACATACAGCATAGTGATGGAAAGGTTTGGTCTTGGACCGCGGTTCGAACCGGACTTTTGGTGAACCGGACTGCAGTTCAGTCCAACGTTCAAGGGCCATGGAGAACCGAACTGAGGGTTCGGTTCTCCGTTCGATAGCTCAAGAACTGTCTTGAACGCGTCCGAACGCGTCCGAACGCTGAACGGGAGCATACATTTTGATGCAGTAAGATTACTGTTAGTAACACTAACAGAGCGTGACCTAATTATAGCTCAGCAACATCATGTCAGCTTATCGGATTGATCAACTCATTTTGTTACCACCACACTGGCACAATTCAACGTCGGAAATCTTTCAAGCAATCTTGTGTTGTGAAGAACTCTGATCGCATCAGGAGTTCAGATTTACAGGTACTCTGTAGCGCAGGTTTTGTATCCATTTGCACTAATCACTCGACAGTCGAAGCTCCATGTGGACTCTGGAGCACTCAACGATCGAGCCAGGCACCATTTGGCACACACCACGCAGACTTAAAAGTGAGCATTTCAACGTGAATTTGCTAACATTGTGTTCTCAATATGCTGCTGAATGACCAGTGTGCTGTAGGTGCTAATGGTACTCTCCTTGATGCCAAGGATATTACCTGGTTTCACGATCCGGATGACGACACCCCGCTGCCCAGTACTTCTCGCATGTCTTTGCCATCCCCTGCTGTCATCGTTGCAGGATCACGTTGCTCTGCACATGTTCCATGCCCTGCGTCCAAACTTACTAACCCCAATAACGCTGTTTTGGGCAAACGCAAGGCTACCCATCAAGTGGTCGTTAGCGAGAGCGAGGATGAGTCCAACGAGGATGCAGTGGTCGAAGTCCCTGAATGGGACGATGATGAGGACACACGTACCAACGATGCAGATGTTGACGATGCCCCCCCATCAACATACCAGCAAACCAAAGAGATGGGTGATGTGGACCGTGAGGTAAGTGAATCTTTCAAGTTTGTGCCTTCTAACAAATTGATTTCTCTGTGCAGGGTGCCAAACGACATAAAAGTGACTTGACGGCAGATATTTGGACCATTTTCACCTGCAAAGCGAAAGCTATCAACCCTGATACCAGCAAGGAAGAGGACGGGCACTGGTGTGAGGTTTGCAAGTAAGTTTGGGACATTTTGTGCTGCTTCGCCTTTGATAACTTTCGCTTTTCAGGGCAAATGGGGTTGCCTGCAAGTTTAGTTTTTTGAAGGGCAGTGTCACTTCCCTTCGTGCTCATATTCGGAGGTAAGTCATCTGTTATATTTTCCACATATACCTGACAGCGTGCTATTCAGGCATAAGGATCATACAAAGCTCTATAAAGATTGCTGCCGCAAGTGTGGAATTCAGCCGCATGTGCATGCGCTACCTTTGGATGACATGCTGTATGTGATCTATTGCGTTTTGCTATGTATCTAACGAAGATTCTGATTTTAGCTCTAATCAGAAGACTTTGGACAGCGCAGTTGTAAAAGAGCATCGTGCACCAGCATTCACTACTGCTGGATTGCTGGACTACATCGTGGAACTGATCATTGCCGAAGATGAAGCCTTCCAACTCACGAATAAGGGTGCTTTTCGGCAACTTCTCACATACACTCACCCAGGTCTCTCTGAGAAAGATATCCCACGCCGTCATAAAGTACGCGAAGAGATTGTTTGTTGTGCTAAGATAGCCAAGTCTCAGATCCGCGAGTGTCTCAAGGAAATTCCTGGGCGAGTGTCCTTCACGTTTGATTCTTGGACTTCGGACAGTGGCAATCCATACCTGTCAGTCACAGGTCACTATATTGATGCACCTGCAGATGCCCCGCATGAGTGGGAACTTGAGTGTGACCAACTTTCTTTCACGTCTATTGAAGGCAATCACTCAGGAGACAACATCAGTGACATCCTGGTTCGAGTGGTGGACCATTTTGAGTTGCGAAAGAAGGTATTGCATTTCAACACCCTCACTTAATCTTAATTAATGTATATCATGTATAGAATGGGTGGTTTACGGCTGACAATGCTATGAACAATGATTCAGCACTCAAGACATTTGCTGAAGTTGTCCCTGAAGCTGGGATCAAAGACTATCGTCAGCGTAGAGTTAGGTGTATGGAGCATGCAATCAATGTTGTGGCGGGCCATTTTTCACGGGCCATTGGACATACGAGCAACGATGTTGATGACAACGACAATGTCGACAATTCTGACACATCCAATGCACTTGGTAAGGCTCTTGCACTCATCGTACAGGTGCGTAAAGCTACTCGTACTAGTCCACGTAAACACTGCTGATATTAATTGACTAGATTCGAAAGTCACCTCAAGCTCGGGCTTTTTTCTGCCAATCATGTGCAGAGGTCAATGTACCTGTCCTTGAACTTTTACAGTGGGTCTGAACTTGGTGGGCCTCACTCTTCACATGCCTTGCTCACCTTCTTCTGTTGCAGAAGGTGCACATCATTTTTTATTTGGTCAAATATAATAATCATGTACTCATTAATCACAGGGTGTCAACCGCTTTGTACGTCTTGCTGATGATAGTGACGAAGTGCCAAATTTGCAAAAGAAGCAGTATGCTGACTTTAAGTTAAGTCAGAGTGACTGGTTCCAGCTTTTGCTTCTCCACGAAGTCCTTCAGGTGCGTCGTTTAATTTATCTTCTAGTATTACACTAACTTTCACATCTTCTTACAGGAGCCAGCCAATGCCACCCAGAGTTTTTCCAGCTCGAAAGACCCAACAGTCTGGCGAGCAATTCCGGTGTTGGAATTCTTGCAGCAAAGCTGGCAAAACATGGTGGCCGATGACAAGTTCTCAAGTGTGGCTGATGCGTTGCACGCTGGTCTCAAGAATTTGGGCAAGTGGAGCTGGAAAATAGACAAGACAGACGTCTACTTCATTTGCTTAGGTCCGTCTCCATACATGATACTTTCACTAACTAACACTTATGTTGAACAGCCCTTGATCCTAACTATAAACTCGAGTATGCATGATCACAATGGGACACTGATGCCTTTGACGAAGGCAAGAAAAAACTCGAAGCTGCAGTAAGTGATGCCGAGTGATAGTCAAAAGTTCTTGCTAACTCCTCAACAGTTCAATCAGTATCACACACCTGTTGCAGCTGCCCCTCAGCAGTCACCGTCACCCATTCCAGAGTCCAGCAAATGACTCGGAGCTACACAATATGGGCATTTGTGGATGCGCTCCACAATTCTAGCTCGCCAATCATCCGAACAGAACATTGATCCACATCACAAGCTCACCCTATACTTGACTAGCCCATTGGAGGAGGTTGCCGATGTTGTCCGTTGGTGGGGGGTAAGCATTTTACTGTGCATTTACTAGTCTTCCGAGTTATTGATGTATTTGCTAGCACCATTCTACTATGTACCCCACCGTTTCCCACATGGCAAGAGATTACCTTGCAATTCAAGGCTCTTCAACACCGTCAGAACGGGCCTTCTCAAGCAGCGGCATGACGGATGACAGTCGACGCAACCAGCTTACACCCCAGGTCTTCGAGGCATTGCAATTGTTAAAAAGTGCCTACCATAATAAGCATGTACAAGCTGCAACTGATGCAGCAGTGCATGTTGAGCTTGATGCTAGTGTTGAGAATGCTGACCTTTATCTTAGTGACACGTAGATTAGAATTCATGTTAATAGTCAGCCTCATTCACGCAACTTTCAAACACGTTGAAACGTTCAGTGTTTGAACACAAAACCGAACGCGAACCGAACGTCCTGAACGTGTTCGAACACGTCCAGTCCAACGTTCAGCAAAATCGCTGAACTGAATGTGACGTCCAGTTCAGCATTCAGCGATTTTTCTGGTGAACTGGACTGAACCAGACTTTTCCATCACTACTCACTGCCACACTAGAAGCATATAAAGGTGATCTGCCACGCCAGTGAGTCATGTTGTTAAATCCAGGTGTTGTCAACAAAACACCCTGGCAGTATAATGTATTACATACTGTAATTGTAGAAGGTATGTGATATATCCTGTCTGCTATGCCTTTCCCGTGACTTGCAGTAGCTGATACATCACTGTCTGATGTATCACTCTGGGTTTCCTGCACTGGCGCCGTGATATATCATACTTAGTGCAACTGCAGCTTGGCTACAGCCCGCTCCGGCTTGGTCTTCATCGGTTTGCAAGTATTTTGGCTATCCTAGTGAGCCAGGCTACTTATATATAGTTTGGTCTGGTTCATTAGCCGTTTGGAGTCCCACGAACCAACTGTGAGCCAAAAATAAACAACAGCATCTTGAGCTGGCTTGAGGCCAGCTCAAGCTAATTTATAAATACGAAATCACGTCTCTGTTGAAGTCTCATTCCCGGTTAGTTTGACTGTTGCTCCTCGAGGCCTCAAGGCTCAAGTTATCTCATAGTATACCCACCATGAACCATAAGGTCCCAATATGAGTTGACGGTAGATTCAGACTCGGAGATGTTTTGGGATCTGGTTCATACGGTGTGTTGTTCACAAGCTGACTATGATTATAAAAAATTAACATACTATGGACCCTACTTAGCTGTTGTGTACCACGCTCGGAACATCATCAAAGATGATGCAGTTGCCATAAAACTCAAATCTATCACAGCCCAGCCATCTTCTGTACAGCACGAATACGCCATTCTGAAACGACTTGAAGGTGGAGTTGGGATACCCTGCGCTCTCTGGTTTGGTCGAGAATCAACATATTATGCTTTGGTTCTTGGCCTCCTTGGGCCATCACTGCATGATCTTTTCTTCACACATGATCGAAAATTTAGCCTTCATACTGTTGTCAATCTAGGAATCCAACTGGTCAGTCGGTTTGTGCTGGGTTGTTGCAGATAGGCTAACCCATTTTCCAGCTCTCACTTCTTGAGTACATCCACTTGAACAATTATGTTCACTGTGATATCAAACTGCAGAATGTCTTGGTGGGCCTTGGCCATTTGAAGCACACTGCATTTATAATCGATTTTGGTATCGCGAAGGAATACTGGGACACTGCAACCAGAGTCCATATTCCCTTTCATCAAAATCAATGTCTCACTGGCACTCCTGCCTTCGCTTCAATCAACAACCACTTAGGAGTTGACCCAGGTCATCGTGACAACCTTGAATCGCTTACATACATGTTGATCTATCTGTTATGCAGCTCCCTTCCATGGTTAAATAGTGACCATGAGAAACTCTCCAGCTCTTCCATACTCGAGCACAAGGTCAACACCACCATTGAAGTCTTATGTGATGGAATTCCCATCAAATTTGCAAGTGTTCTCATCTACACGCGCTCTCTTGCGTTCTTGGAAGACCCTGACTATGGGCATCTTCGTTCATTGCTTTGTGATCTTCAAGCCACCTTGGCTGCGCCATCTACATGCTTGCTGGATTTCAGCATTCCCGATAATCACATCACACATCACCCTCCAATCTCCAATGAACACTGGATGGCCGAGGTGGCCCCATGTCTGCCGGATGCAACACCACTTCGCAGATCTACTCATGTGTGAGTATTCTGTCTCATTTTCCCATTCACAATCTGAAGCTAATGTGATTTCGAAGTTTACACCAACATAATACCTCTCCCATGCACCCAACTGCACTGCGGAAAAAGCCATTAGTTGCTAGATCACGCTGTTGAATATGTCTTTCTATCTCTACATAACTGTACAGTGTACAAGTCAACAATGTGTTTCTCATAGGTTTCAAACCGTTCAATGCGGTCAAATACATGTCGACAAATTTGCATCTTGAACGTTTGAACCCTAGGCCTGATTCCCAAATCCCAACTCCTGACTCCTGAGGGCCGATTCCACGCTGAGTCATGCAGCTTCTTATCTTTTTCTCACCCTACCATCTCCTTGCCCATCCTCCTTGCAAGTTGCAAGTGCTGTTTTTCTGCAAATCGGTCTGCCTGCTACAGAAACAAACTTGTCCTGGATACCTGTACCTTACTCCTGAAGCCTGATTCCCAACATCTACCAGTTTCGCCTTATTGAATCATATCACTGTCATGACCAATGACGCATGGGGGATTTTCCACAAACACCCCAATCCCCTTGCACTGTATCACAATTAAATGCTCAATCAATCAGTCATCGACTCCTGGAATAAAGGTAAGCATTAACTCGCTTGACCCATTGGTTGATATTTGAAACATGTGTTCAGTGACCGTCAAACCACCCACCCTGACAACCATGGCAAATCCTCTGCAAACATGAGATGTCCCTTTCACTGGATGTCCTTGCTATATCGCAATCTGGCTTCTGGACAGCCAGTTGACTCTGAGGATGTAGGTAAGCTTTACTGTGCTTGATATAACCAACTGATTGCGAGATCTAGGGTACATCAGAACGCACATCTTATGGTATTGGTATCCCTCTCATTGGGTAAGTAGTGGGCATCGGGGAAACCCCACACATATATTGTGCTGCCTAGGACCACTTTACTGTGCTCGATATAACCAACTGATTGTGAAATCTAGGGTACATCAGAATTCTATCTCTCTCTTTCTTAAGTTATCTCCTTGTTGCTCCCCTTTGCTGTAGTATTACCTATGTATAGTTACCACTTGTTTAATTAAAATATTGATTTTAACTTTTTTAAAAAAATGAGTGTACCAAGGTCAAGAAATTGTCGCTATTGTGCAGCCTAGTATTATCAAACTTTGTCATGGCTGATAGGTGATTACTAGTCTGCATTTTTTGGCAGGGTTTTTACCGGTGGTCAACACTTCAGCGCTAACAGGTCAAAATTCCGAGGATGCCGCACAAGCTGGATGTGCCACCATGTGCCGAACTCAGACAAGTGAGCGATAAGTGACAAGTAGTTGATAGTACTACTAGACATATAGCATGAAAATCAGAATGACGAGCATATTCAAGTTACCTCTAATGATGGTGCTGATCTCTGCCGTCAGATTCTCAAAGGATGTATGCCTTACAATATGCATGACTTCCAACTATCAGCAATCACTCATCTACTCGATGGACAAAATGTACTCATGTGTACCGCTACGGGTACAGGCAAGACTGATACTTTCATACGGCTCATGCACATTGTCTTGACCATATCCGAAAACCCCAGCCTTGCACCTGGTACCAAATTTCCACGACATCCTGCTATGGTTGTGGTTTGTCCAACAAAAGTTCTCGAGGAGGAGATGGTAAGCCACCGACTCGCTGTGTGTTCAATGTTTCGACATCATACTATATATGTCCATCAGGCAGAAAAGATGATCAAAGCAGGACTCACTGCCCTTGCTATCAATGCTGACATGCTCAATGTGGCTCGAAAGAAAGTGTTGAACTTGTTCAAGGAAGCTCTTGAAGGATATCATGTTCTGCTCATGTCACCAGAGCTATTAAAGTCATCTGGATTTGCCAGTGTCTTAGATAGTCCAAAATTCAGTTCACGGATATGCATGCTAGCAGTTGACGAGGTTCACCTTGTTGTGACCTGGGGAAAATCCTTTCGAAAAGATTACGAGCAGATCGGTGTCGTCCGTTCACGGCTGCGAAACATAGTGCCAATGATTGGTGTGTCTGTCACTGTCCGCACAGGCGCAACAACCCAATGAATCCTTGAAGTCTTGGGGTTTCAAGAGGGTCAATATCACATCCTTCAATGATCCAATTTGCGACATGACATATGCATTATATTTTGAACCATGTGTTCAAGCATTGGTGGCATTAAATTTCCCGAACTCAACTGGGTGCTCACAGACCATCGCAAAAAGGTCATTTTCTGCAATACCATTCATTTCGGCTTCCGCGTCCAATCACATCTCTTCAGACTGCCTGAGGCTGGACCACATTGTGCCAAATGTATATGGATCATCAGTAAACTACAATCAGCTGTGTAGCTTAGTCCCTACTACCTAGCTTACTACAGTAGCCAACCTTTTTGTCAATCTCTGTACAGATGCTCACAGACACACCCAGCGAGTACCAAATAGCTCACAACAAGTTCTCAAATAGCGCTGGTTTCCTCTGTATCTCTATACAGACACCCACAGACCGCTCAAAGAATGGGAGTTGTGCAGACATTGCTCCTTGTACACCTCACTCAAGCTTATTCACTCTGTACAGCATACTAGTAGCTACAAATGATTTAATATTTGAATCTCGGACAGGGAAGATATGAAGGCACATGATAGTAGCAGTGGATGAGAAATCAGGCACAGAATACAAATATCTAGTCCAGAATGACTTGGAGGTGGTCATGTTTCATCTCCGCAGCGCTGCCGTCAAGCTTGAGATTTTTGGCCCTATATGAATGAAATTTTACAGTTTTTCATGCGTGATATACAATAGGGACTTACCATCCAGCTTCAGCCCATTCTCGAAGTTGCGCCAACAATCTAGGGCCGTGATATTCATCCTGGAGGGTTTTTTTGATCATTCTGAGCATTTTCCGGTAGATGGGCAAGTATTCCTTGGAGGAAAAGTTCGGATAGCATTTACTGCTACCGTTCTTCTTAAGACCATCAAAAATGCAGTGGAACTGTAGAAAGAAAAGTCAACACACAGGCATGACATCATGGGGAGAAAAACACGTCACCACTGCGGCAACTAAGGCTAAACACGATATGGGCAATTGAGTATGGAACTGATCTGGCCGCCTCCATGCGATCCAGTAAGGTCCTGTGTAAAAAAAGGCAATGGCAGCATTGTGGAGGGCAGGATTGGCAAAATTCCTCATTCTCCCCTGTTGATCTTCCATGAGTATGGTTGCGATCAGCACAAAATCACTTACATTATGGTCTTTTCCAAACCGTAAAAACAAACCACCCTCGAGTAAATCTTTAGCAGTGTTTTCAATCCAAGTTGCACATTGTTGAGGAGGAATGGAAGGTGGGGGCAAAAGTGAGTATGATAGTGGTGCAATACTTATTGCAGTCTTCTTCAGATCAGACCGCCAAGTCGACAGGTCGTCATACAACTTTTATAGAAACCCACGATATGCGTCAACGAGGCAGTATGAATGTAAGGAATCTACTCACCACCCGCATCATGTTATATTGCTGCTCCAGCCAAACCCCTATGTGACAACATGAAACAGATTAGCCCGGGAACAAACAAAGCATGTACCAGCTTCAAATTGTTTACCGTTCTTGTCCCATGTGACCAAGACTGAAAGCAGAACTTTGGAGATGGTTCCTGGCATCCCCTTGACTAAAGGTGGGAATGGGTTTTCCAGGGCATGCTGCCCATGACACTCTCCTTTGGCCTCCTCGAGGAAACTTTTCCAGCGTGGTCCGTACCAAGCCAGTTGGTCAGGCTTTGGCCTGCTGTCAGATCCCTTGGATTTTTTGGTTCTTGGCCGGCCCTGAGCAGACTCCGCCACTTCGTTAAGCAACTGGAGCACTTCAGGGTTGGGAAGGCAAGGCTGACCATTTTTATCATGGTAGTGCTTCAGTACGTTGTCAGGCTTTGAGGTGGTAGTCTTGAAAAATCATGAGCCTCGCCTAAAACAAAACACCTCCCTCACCTGAGTGTCTGGCCGTTCTTGTTGTACTCCTGGCAAGGTGTCCAGAGGCTTGAAAAAGTGAGAAATTGTGAGCATGATCTAAATGGGTAATGAAAATTGTACCTGGTTGCTGTTGTTGAGACACATCCGGGCAGAGTCATCATCTTCATCGCGTGAGTATTGAAATTCGAAATCTGGGGTCAGAGGGCGAGCAACTCGAGCCTGAGTAGGGAGCACTTCAACTGGAAATCCTGTAAATGTACAGTTGAGTCAGTGAAGGTACTTTTGACGTGAAATTCTTACCTGGATGTTCTTTCTGCCATTGTTGAGCTCCCCCCCAACCAAACTGTGATTCATTATTCTCTCCTTTGTCTCCTTTGTCTCTGTTGTCTCCTTCATCTCTGTTGTGTCCTTTGTCTCCTTCATCTGCTTTGTCAACGTCAATGTTAGTACCGCTACTGCTAGATTCACCGTCCTCTGGATTGAATCCTACTGGCCGTCTATGAAGTACTTGCCTAACAATGCCATCCTCCTTGCACAGGGCTGGGTCCAGGTTGCACTCTGAAAAGGTAGCGTGCGGTGGAGGTTGGGAACCGCGAGTAATGAGAGCATTTGGTGGAGGTTGAGAACTATGAGTAATGAGAGTGTTCGGTGGAGGTTGGGAACTACAAGTAATGAGAGCATTCTGATTGCGCCTCTCGGTAGCCTTCATTCCCTCAGCGAGATATGGGTCAATCAAGATTTGAGAGTTGGGCTCCATGGCAGGGGGGACAATACATGTGGTGGTTGAAGCCGCAAAACCGAACCTCTGACCCCTTTGCTGTGATGAAAAGTTGGGCACTAGGGTACTGGGACTGAGGTCCAAATCAGGACTATATGGCGGAGGGAGCTCCTTAATGCGCAATCAACACCATTGATAATAAAAATTGTAAGTTATACCTTTGGATGGTTCTTTCGGCCTTTACGAGGCGGTTCTGGAGCCTGGGGGTTCACAGGATTGAGTGTACCAAGAGATGTGGCGCCCTTAGGTTTCTGGCTCTGGGACTTAGCCTCTAATGCTACCCCAATCTTCTCCAACTGTGCATTCCTCCCTCCTGTTCCTGCATTGGAGTGGTCAGAATGTCAAGGAGCAGCACCTGCATCGGCTTCAGTACTAAGATCAAGGGATACGAGCGGCGTGCTGGGAATTTCGGCAATGTTTGCAGCACTAGGCTTCTTCAGTAAACCAGCCTTTGAAGTGTCAGAAGCTTTGCACTTCGACCTTTTCTTCTTGGGACTGGCTGCTACACAAGGGGGCATGTTGTGATATAGAAAGCAGCAAGATAAAGAATTAACTGAATCAAACTCACCATTATATACATATCTTGGTGGAAGGATCTGTGGAGTCTTGATGGTGATTGTGATGGGCCTCTTGGAATACTACTACGGTATTCGCCTCGACTATATGGTGCATTGCAGACTCGTGAAGGTATGAATCAAAGTTTCAGACATCATAAACATTTAAATGCTAAACAATTTTCAACATATTATGTAAGCAAAACCGTAAACTGCATGGATATCAGTAGAAGAGACCTAGGAGTCAGTACAGATGGTAAATACTACAAAAACATGTCAGGAAATACATGACACATCTGAGTTAGTGTAAGATACCACAATAAATATCGCACACTGGCATATGTATTACATCTGTTCGGAGATCTCACCCGATTTCTTGAGCATGGTCATAGTGGATTGGAGCTCCTCATCATCAGAAAGCTGATTGAGATGAGAGTTGAGTATGTGAAGAATGGTGTCAAATGTAATGGGGTGAACCATATTGTCCTTCAATGCTGCGCACCAATCTTTTGCGAGGGGGATGAGAGGTGTGAAGTATGGGTGAAATTCATTCATGAGACACTCTTCATCCAATGGGTTCGCGAAAAAGGTGATCTTGAAGGCAGCGCACAATGCCAGGTCAAGGCTGGTCCAGCGATCGAGTAATGAATTGGACATGTGCTCCTCATGGACCGTGCTGTTGGGACCACTGAATTTGATGCAAACCCAAGCAAATATGAGGAAAAGAGATTTGAGGTCATCAGAGTAATCTTGGACAACATGAGAAATGGGCAGCACCAAAGAATCCGAGGATGTTTTTGGTGTTTTTGGGGCTGGAGCTTTCTTTGGTTTCAATTTGCGTGCTTTTGTCACCTGTTTCATCTCGGCTTCCACCTTCTCCTGTTGCTGCATGAGCGAAACCTGGCCAAGAAGCCTGCGTGACATGAAGGGGACCATGCCCTGGAAAATAAATCAATGTTTGAACTTGATATAAAAGGAATGAACTTACTGTCCCACCGATGGGATATTTATTATCGGCAGCAATGCATACTGCAAATTCCCAGTCAATAGGGAACTCCTTGCTCAAGTCTATATCATCTAGGATCATCGCATTATTTAGACTGCAATCGCAATGCAGAATCTTGTGCTCCTCCACCGCCATTTTCTGGACTAAAAGAAGAGACATTAGTTTAACGCTCTTGCACAACTCAAGTCGACACTTACTCATCACAATATCCCTTAATTCTCGCACCAACTCTTTCAGTGTTCAAAACATGCGGAGGGGGTGAGCACATGGCTTTAAGACAAGGCAGACATGAGTGCGACCGGTGCCCTGGGTACTCTGATGTTCCCTTTGACGATAACTTCAAGTATTGTCGACCTTGCCTTCTGATGTCATGACGAGCCAATGATCTACTAGCTCAGGAATGCCAGGGACTCCTTGCATTAGTTTTAACATCTTTATCTCGTTCAAGATGATATCATCCTGCTTGCCGAGGACCCAATGGTCCTTGAAAATATAGTCTTCCCCATCCAGGCTGGCCAGATAGCAGATCGTTCCACGACCAACGAGGCCCCGGCTCACGAAATGAATTCTCTTGATAATGTACATCATGTCCCCTACGCGGATCTTGCCGCAAGGTTCAGGTGAGTGCTCAGAGTGGGGAAATTGGGATGGATGAGGCGTGATGGAACATATGCTCTCCATCAAGTCCTGGGGAATTTGGGATGCGAGGCTGAGAAGGGGGGCACTGGACATCATAGTGGGTTGCACTGGAGAGGAGGGGAGGGGGAATTCTTCTTCTGGTGTAAACGCCTGAGTAGATTCATCTGAGTTCTCTTCGAGTGAGTCCTCAGTTAACCGTTCCTCATAGTCTGAGCCATCAGAGACTACAGACTCGAGATCCTCGTCAGATGACAGGCTCTTGGAATCCGACAGCAGTTCAACGAGGGATTCGGAGGTGGATGCAGGAAGGTCTGCTGGGCTGCTACATTGCGCGGGCATGTTCTTGATTGGGCGATAGTCACAAATAGGTTTGGAAAGGGGCGGTGAAACATGTTTCGTGAATGAGACTGTTGAATCGTACCCAACACATTCTAGATTGCCAAAATTGAGAACGGCGATAATATGAGAAAATAAGTCTGGTTGGTCATATATATCAAAGTGGGTAGAAACAGCGCCACCAGAGTGATCATACATGAGGACTCTGAGATGATGATATTGATTTGTAAATGATAGTATGAGCGCGAAGCACCTCCAGGGCTGTTTGCTCATCATGAGGTAAGCATGGGTGTCTGCAGCCTTCCCAAGCTGCATTGCAGGCTTGTAAGAACTGTGTGTCAGCTCACCAGATACCCTGATATTTCCCCATTTTGTGGTGACATCGTCAGATAGAACAAGGTCAGGTTTGTGCTGTATCTTGCTGCCGGGCAATGCCTTGTGAGCATTGGCTGTGCTCCATGTGTGAGTTGCATAACACTCCTTTTCTAGCAGGGGTTATGATACCGATAAGCAACCAGCAAGAGCATTGATAAAGGATGCGACAATTTCTTCATAAGTCACAGCCTCTGCAGCCTCTGGGTCCTGAGTTGCGGAAGGACTACCATGGCTACTAGTACCACTAGGGTCTGAGTCTGAGTCGTTTCCAGGGGGGTCAACTGGAAGATCCCAGTTCCAAGTACTCGTTTCAGTATTGTACAGTGGCACCAGAGTATCTGGCGATAAGCCATGGTATTGCGATCTAATGTGTTGGTTGGGATGGAGGATTTTTTTGAGAGGAATTTGAAGTGCAGATACTTGGGGGAGGGGGATTTTGAAAGGCTTGAAAATGTGAGACAGCAAGTGTCCTAGCGGTTGCGATGCCTTTGGTGTGCCCTTGTGTGTGACCAAACAATTGAGTTCATCAGATGTGATTTTGTTCATTGTGCAGACATCGCTGACGTCGGGAATGGACATCAAGGAGGAAAGTTTGATTCCGTTGTCAACCATCCTGAAAAAGAATGCCATTTTCTTTGGCATACACTATGACAATGGTGGGATCGTCTCAGACAGTGCTTATTGTGCGCCACCTGGCACCTAACATTGAACTAATAATAAATGGCCTCTAGCCAATAGCATTATTGTGCTCCGAATAGTGCATGAAGTACAAAAAAAGATATACAATCTGCGAAAGCTACATAGAAAGAGGGAAGAATGTATTTTTGTCCCAGTATTTATTTAGCCAAAACTCTGAAGCATGTTCCATACCATTATATGGGGTGAGAAGATTGTACGCACTTGCACCAAAGCGAGGGACAAGGTTGACAGGTGCCCTAAACTGCGAAACTGGTACAATATCACCCACCCGAGTACCATTTGAACGCTTCGCTCGTTTGAGCATGTGCAGTTGCATACTCGGCTCACGATTGCTTCCACCTTGTAAAATGACGTCAATGTGATACACATAGGTGAGGAAGCGGTCCTTCCATGACCAATTTATGCTAGCTTTTCCAACAGGACACAGAATCAGCCTGATTTCACTGACAGTGTGCCCTGAGAGTTTATAATGAGAATAATTAGTATGGCAGGAGAGGAGAACGTACCACGAAGCCCATCGGTAGGCCATGAGCATCTCGCATCATTGTTAACAATGACTGGATCATACCGGCCGCAGGTCCAGACACCAGAGGGTGGTGAACAATTCAAGGTTTGGGCAGGCCATATGATACTAATGTCGTGAAAATCAGTATCCTGCAATTGAAGTTTAAACCAGACTTGAAGCTTTTCGAATGGAAGTGAAGTGGCGGGTACAGCTCTCCTAGCCCCCCTAATGATATGAACAAAATCCTGCCCATGAGCAGCTTCACAACTAAGAAAGTCGGCAATGGCTGGTCGCAGATCAGGAAGGCCAAACTTGAGAGCGGCAGCATCAACAGAAATGGTTCTGATGGATGGTTCATAAGTAAGATGAAATGATGTGCATCCAACAGAGAACGAGCGCAATGGCACAGGGACCGTCCCCACCTCCCTGGCCTGGAGGAGCTTCGCAATTGCAAAGTAATTGATAATGGGGCATGAATGGCCAGGACACTTGATAATCACAAGAAGCTCTGCTGGGATGTCATGATCGTTGTCGACATCGAAATCAACATTGTCATTGACAGCATCACCGTGACCTGTATGAATCTGCTGCTTTGAGCCTGACATATTGTCCAGCAGACTCGTGGTGAGTTCGAAGCGACGGCATTTATCAGCGTGGTCTAGATGATGACAGATTTGTGAATCATAATCATTGTTGTTGCTTGAGCGTGTGGGATCTTTGATTTCGGTGATGTGTGCATGTTCTGTAGTGTCAGCAGTCCATTGCATGATAACTCCACTGTTTCGGATACTTGGAACTATGCTCTGCATAAGCTCGATCTTCGGGATATACCAGTTATCGATGACTCCACCACGCTGACCGCGACGAAATCCGCCAGCTATGATAGCATCTTTGTTGGCGTGAAATTCGTCCAGCGCTGCAGAAATGCGCTCGAGATCGCGGTCATCAATCCAAAGTGACTGCACAAGATAGTGAAAGTCCATCAGAGCTCGGATGGCAGTGATCACAGCACTAGGTACTGCATCTGCACTAACCGCAATGATCAAGCGCTGGATGTCATGCTGAGCGCACCCTGTAACCTGTTTTAGCTTCGAAATGCCGCTGTGAAAATGATGAAACCCTGTGATGGGCTGTAACACAGAAAAGCGAAAATCGAGCTCAGTGTCCCCGACTGCACAAACAAGCCACTTCACATCATGGTCATAGAACTCCTGGTGAATGTGGTGATGAGTCTCAGGAGTGAAAAAATGGGATGGTTCAGAAAGGACCCAATTCTCAAAGAATGGTTGAGATACGCCATTTAGGCGAAACTTCTGAGCTTCATGAAAGAATGTTTCAATATCGTCGGGATCAGCCCTTGTCCGAATGACGCACAGCTGAGCAAGTGTAGTTGATTTGGTGTGAGGCTTGTGGCAGAAAGGGTCTCCAAACTGCTTGTACATCGCCATAGTGACTGGGGAGGTTTTCCCACCAACAGTAGCCAGCATCATGGCCTCCGGAGTGTCAACAATATAGCTTGCGAGTGGCATGAAACAGTATCGACTGTGCCCGACAGGATCGGATAACATGACTCCTTCATGAGCAGCCTGCATGAGGGGATGTAGCACAATGTTCAAGCATTCATGAATTAGGCAATCCTCGAGTATGCCTCGCATACATTTTTTTTTTATAAATAAATTTCGGCACAGGGAGGAGGGCGGTAAGAACGAAGGCGTTAGATGATGATTTAAGTCATGTGGACATGTTTATGTTGGTGAGGCTGATGAGGAGGGGATGTGCGACTCTGTCACCCATCATCATGGAGATATTGGTCTTGTCAGATGACAAGATTGTCCCAAGGAGCATTGCACCTCTTGGCAGGGCTGACTGTTTGAAAATGAATGAGTACAGCAACTCACAGAAAGAAAGAAAAATGTACCTGCATGTTCCATGCATCGTCAGCAGTCATCCATTCAGAGTACATGCGGCACAGTCACTGTGCAGTAGCATACACCCTGCGAGGCGTAAAATCTATCTGATTGTGAAAGAAAGGGTGATTTAAAATGCCCGCGATACAGTCCAGGGGATCACACCAATACAGGATGACAGGTAGTTTTGTCAGATGCACAGTAGGGATTACTTGGGACAACCAGGGTGGACCACTGGGCAGCATTTCCACTCGACCACGTAGTTCCTTGGCTGAACAAAAAGACAAGGGAAGACTTTTAATCTTAATAAGACACTTGTCAGAACTGTGAACGGAATCACAAAAATTTAAATGACCATCTCGAGTGAAAGAAAAGTGTTGATCTTCGCCATGCTCAACCCTGAATGTAGTAGCCACAATGCAACCTCCCAGTCTTTCCAGCCACTAAACGGGTAATAGTGGTTTGCTGTCCGATACACGCTGTTCATGTCAGAATGAAACAGGTCAAGGAAAGTGTACCCCCTGCCATATGTTTGAGAGGGTTCGGGATGCCAGTCAATGAAGTCCAAGTGAGTCGGTGTTCCCTCCCCATGGACTTGACCATCACCCTCACCACTACTATCTTGAAATACCTCATCCCAGTCTCCGAATCCAGGCCTGTTGACTCGAAGCTCCGTATCAATATTAGGAATATTCGGTGCGTGGTCGATATCCATGGAGTTGGCAGTATGAATAGACACTGAATGCAAGCGTATGAGATCCTGTAACCAAGTGTTACAGCCAGAGCAGGGCTGGCTCATGTGTCAAGCAACAGCACTGTGGTCTTTGAAGCTGTCTTTGCCGCACGAAGGACACTGGTATGACATACTGACTGTCAGTACATAGAATCATGAGAACATCAACTTAGTTACATTCTTGGATTCAATAAATGTTTTTCTAACACGCTGTGTCACTCTGGTGGTATTTCTGACTTGTACAAAGTAGCCGACGCTATCCAGTCAATAGTAAGTCACTCATACCTTCCATGGTAAACAATGCTCATTAACATTTTTACAGATGATCAATGATGCTGACAATCTTGAAGCGAACCTTGTCATGGACCTTGCAAGGGCCAGACGGGATGTTTTCAATGCGGAGAAAGCACTTGCTGACTGTATGGTTCATGAACATGAAGTCATGGCAAATCTCTCGAAGCACAAATCCGACATTTCGAAGCAGAAACTCGCCAAGGCAGACATAGGAATAGGCCACATACAAATCACGTTTAAAAAATATGGGTTTTCTCATCACGGACCCATGGTGAGTTTGCAAGGTAAGTTCTTCCAATTACATACTATACCTCACAGCACCACTAATGTTACATGTTTAGAATCATTGGGATGCCATCACATCATGGTCCAGCTAGATTGACACTGAGACTACCTCAAATCGCATCTATTTACCGTTATACCACCTATATGTACATAGATACAACTTCGAATGTAATGTGGGATAGATGTTGTTTTATTGTCATGATGATCATGCATGCATGCTTGGTGCGCATTTGAATTTGCTCCAACTCGAGTCGTTTGGACTTAACGAAAATTTTGAGCATTGAAATTGAATCATATTGAAGTACTACTACTGGGATATACAGTATATGATTTGAAATGTGCTGCAAAGTGCTGCAGGCCATATAGAACTGTGGGTGACTGGATACCTTGTGGTCCAAGTGAGCTGGGACATTGGGAGAACTGTGGAGTCTGTGGCTGGCTGCACAAGAGCGCAGATTTTGCGCTCGCTGTGGGAAAAGTTGTAGTTTACTGATGATGTTCAATGCCCTGAATTGGAAGACATATAATGATCAAACCTTGAAGATGTTCCAAGATGGCGATCCTGATGCCCAAATCATCATTGCCACTGTGATTTTCTCTGTCGGCATGGATGCACCAGCCTTCAATGACATCATAGCATTTGGGAAGCCAGTTGATGTAGAACAGTGGCTGCAACAAGGCGGGAGGATTAGACCAAGAGAGGGAGCAAATGATCTGTGCTACATCACCTATGTTACCACTGGTGCTGTAGCTGCAGCTGAAGGCATGATCCAGGGTCCTGGAAGCGACGCGAAGACCAGTATGGATCCTGCAATGGCATCAATAATCCTCGCAGACTGCAAGATAAACCAACTCAACAAAATCTTCAGCAACCCACAAGATGACCCACCATGCTCATGTACAACCTGTCAAATCCATCCATCTCCAACTCGCTTGTCACCATGTAGTTGTTCAGGCCCTTCATGTCAACCAGAGCTTGCAGAGTCTGTGTCTCCAATGAGGGACAATGACCACGTGACTGGTGGAAGTTGGACATTGTCAGTTACCAGTACTCCCCAATTGGTAGTGTCTTGGCCCATCATTTCTAACTTCTTCGCTTCTTGCTTCGATAGCTCCCGCAATGTGTCAAGAACTGTGCTGTATGCAACCATGCTTGCAATCCGACTGTTGTATGCAAAAACATCATATGAAACCGACATTGCGAAGTCATATATCCCACATGCCATTGGAAGAAGGGATGCACGCTGATCTCGACTGTAGTTAAGTGAGCCAATGACATGCATGCAAACCTGAAGACTGGTGAGTACAGTCTTCATCAACACACTATCATCATAGCTTATGAGATCCACAAGTCAATTTTTTTGGACACTCACTTCTCCAGAACGTTTGCGTGACTCTCATGAAGCAATAGTGGTGAGATAATGCCAGGTGAGCGGTTGGTGTTTCTGTATGATTGCACTAACTTTCTCCATGGTTGTAGCGCCAATGTCGGCCCACTCCTTCTCCTTTGGATTCGATTTGGATGGCAACATGGAGTGTAAGCCGCTTGTAGGCTTCATGGCACTTTCTGCCTCTCGGACAAGCTCATCCGTCAAAATTTGTGCTGCAAATGAGGTGAGTGCAGCCTTTGCAGGTTTGATCTCTTTGTATGGTGTTTCTAGCTGAAAGGTAAGGTTAGTGTCTGGCGAATTTGCGGGCACCTTTGTGTACGGGCTATTGAGCCATGCATGAATGATGTATCCAACACCTCAAGCAGACTCCCCTCACACAAACTTCTCGAGCTTTTCAGTATGCCAGTGTGAGCATCCTTTGATGTTCTCATCTTGCTCATCCTTCAGCCAAAACAAATGGTACAAAAGATCACCTAACATCCAGCGCCACACAGCGAGGAGATTGAGAATGGCATCAATCTTATCTAGCGCTGTCTGCCTTGGTTGGGCATCTGCGGCTCATTCATATCAGAAACTGGGCCGAAAGTCTTAGTACTGATGTTAAATCCACAGGCTGAATACATCATGCACACGAGGATGACTCTTTTCAGACGCATTTTTGGGCATTGGACGGCAGATGGCACAGAGTCAGTGGTAAGTTTTCATCATGTGGTCTCTTTCTTTGTGAGATGGTGCACTAGGAGGACTTGGACTTGTGGGTCTTCACTGGACATGAGGTGTGCATGGGCTGTGGGCTTGCAGGACTCGGACATCACGATAGTATGGTGTCAGCGTGTAAAACACGCCAGGAGAAAAGAAGCTCTGGTTCGAGATGGTAGGAGATGAGTAGTGCGGTTTGAGCTGTTGAAGGCTAGTTGGAACATAGTGGTGTGTATGTTTGAAAGGAGAAGAGTATTGATGATTGTCCATAGCGTATACTAGCTACTAGCTTGCTACTTGCAGTAGAAAGTATATCTTATCGTCCATCTCCTATGGGGTTGTTGCACTCCATATGGCGCCTGTCATTGTGGACTCAAAAACAAGCATGCCGGTCATCCGGCATCATTAAGCAACAATTTTGACGACCAACATGTTGACCACCAGTAAAAAGGCTGCCAAAACTAGCAGACCTTGAAATAGAAGGAACAACTGTCTTCATTCTATCAAGGTCTGACTACGGGAGACTAGGTGATTACAACATTTGCCACTTTGGTGATAAATGGCAAGTAATGGCAAGCAGTCTGTCATAATTGTGCTTGTGGCAGTTTCCATCCAACTTTCTCCGGCTAAATAAAGCTTTCTCTAGTGAACTACCATTTTGATGGATATTATACAAATTTTAAGCCAGGTAAAGCTTTATAATGCTTTGTTATTTCCCAGTCAATTCCCTGATGCCAGTGTTCAAGATGCTGATGTTATCTTGCAGGGGCATTGCGCGAAATAAAAGTGGTACCCCGACCCGTCTTATTTTATGCCAGAGAGATTCATAGACGTCGACAGCGCATTGACGGATGATGACCCTGTGGAATACATTTTCGGCTTAGGTCGGTGTGGATGCCTGGGTAGGTAGAGTAATTTTGATGCTGTATGGCTTGTGATGAATTAAGACATTAACATTTTTCAATCAGGCCGGTTTACTGCTGATTCCTCAGCATGGTCTGCTATTGTGACCATGTTGGCTACAGTAGACTTTTCTCTTGCCAAAGATGACAAGGGCAAAGTGATTGACTTCACTCCCCAATTCACAATGGGACTCACTCAGTATTTGATTTCTTAGTGTCATTTCACTTCCTATTACTCACAGTTTCTTTTCTTTAACTCACCTACAGCCTTCCCTGGCAGTATTACACCATGTATTCACCTCCATTCAGGAATTTTTGACGAGCGACAATGAGCAGTGACTTGTGTGACGAATAATTTTGTATATGAGTCCTGTCATCAGTTGCACGGGCAGAACACAAGTGAGGTCTCTATCTGGAGTAGGACAGTCCATTGAAGGTAGTTTTGCATATGTGGGTTTTGACTCATTGAGGGAATCACTTGTTCCAAACAGCCCGAGAGCAGCCAGGGTTCATTATATAAATATCAAAATGCATAGCAATAAGGGCTTGGCCATTTACCATGCCATGTGTAGTCACGACCTTACTGTGGCCCGGCACTGCATGCCTGGCAGGCAGTACCCGGCCCTAGTTAGGCTGACGTATGAACCTTGCGACAAGCGCTGCTCTTTTGCGTGTTGTTTATTGAAGTGCTAAGTAAGTATGTCGAAGATAACTGCCAGGCCAGTCACATGTCAAACTGTGATTATCAATCGTCAAATGGGCATCCATCTGAAGTCAGTCATGGGTTCATTGCAAGATGTTTCATGGATTCAAGGATGAGTCGGAGCATGTAAGCTGACCCTCTTAGCGAGCTACAATATCTCCAGCATCTTGACATCCATCATGGTATGAACAGAATTCACCTCTTTCACTTGTGCGATCATATCATGAGCATGATCCAACGTGATTGTCATGTATGCTGCTGCGCTAGCAAAAATGCCTCGAAAGGCTGTCCGAGGTGAGTAACCAATTGCAATGCTGTCAAGTGAGACTCTGAATCCGAATGAACATCCTGAGCTGATGATGGTGCACACCTCATGATTCGTGAGAGGAACAGATACTCAAGGATCCTAGCAGTGTGTTCCATGCCTCAATGATCCAACCATCAACTGAATAGTCAAATCATTAAGGTGTGTTGACACCAATGAATCACTTTCAACCAAGGGATGATATGGGAAGGGCTTGCTGAGACATCGTTTTTAAGACGAGCAGAACCACTGGCAGATGGGATATTGAGATGTCGATGTCGACGTTGAAACTTCAAAAAACGAGGCTTGGGCGCTTGATCTGCACAGCCAGTGCGCAAGCTGTGAACCAAACACAGGATAAAGCAAGGAACACACCTGTACAGGACTTAAACAGCAACCACTCTCTTGACTGAACTCTGCGTCGAACAAACATTCACTCTGTTGCGGTTTCCATCGAGGACTTATTCATGCCAAGTATAAACAAGCACTGTTGAGTAAGTGATGGCATTTGTTCAGTGGGTAAGAGCTAAAATTGTGCCGCGCCCATAATTAGGGTACCGCACGGGTAACACCGAGGGTCGGAAAGTTGACACCGCACCCGCACCTGCCAACACCATACCCTCCACGGGTATGGGTACACACCGACCTGTCAATGTCACAGTTTATGGAAAACACCATGGTGTCTCTGAACACTGCGGGTACATTACCAAGAAGAGTGTATTAAGTATTAACAACAATCAAATAAAATAGTACTACTTTTCCTTGTCATCCTCCTCAGCTTCGACTTTGTTTCGCTTCCATTTTTGAGTCCTGACAGAGGCTAAAAGGTCCTCCATCACCAGAAGATCACTTCTGCCCCAGGCTCCGAGGCAGAGAAAGGCACGAATTGTTGATGGTGCGAGTTGGTTGTGAGTAAAGTGAAGGAGCTGTCGGCCCTGCGAGAAGACATGTTCAACCGCAGTTGATGTTGCTGAGCAAGATAATAAGTATTGATTGATTGAAAGAGGATTCGAGGGTGACATACCTGGGACAGAGAGATAGTTGAGTGCCATCCAATGCAACATTGGATAAGTATGGCAGTTGTTTTGCCACCATGCGAGTGGGTCCTTGGTTTTCACAGTTGGTAATCGAAGAAACTTGTCCAGCTCACTACTAGTAGTACGAGACATGGAACCAAGTGAGTAGTTGCCGAAGTCATCCTCATTCTGCATAGTTGTCAGTGTCAGTGTAGGATTAAATGTTGTGTACGGACTGTGTCTGCTTCAATGTCATCAGTAATCTCGGCAGATTTCTCATATTTATCAATAAACTCTTCACGAACAAGCTTCTCGGCAGTATCAATCCATTCTTTCTCCCAGAAATGCTCACAGAAGTACTTGAGCTTCAGGCCAGGATGTAGGACTTTATGAGGATGACTAGCCAATGACATCAATGAAAGTTTGAAAGGCTGACCCATGGCAATGCAGTATACATTGGAGAGATCTGTAATCTTCCAGTAGCGATCCATCTTGTTCTTCGCAAGCTGCATAGCCGACACAACCGCAGGGTGATATGCTTTCTTTGTCTGTTGATTGAGCTTGCTATCAAGTTTGTCCATCGCCGGTATCATGGCTGCGATAGTGGCTGAGTCCTGAGAGAAGAACAAGGTAGCCTTCTTGTATTGCTGGTGGATCAAAATAAGTGAGACAAAGAAATACAATGTATGACGAGCAAGACCTATGGAGAGAACCGCAACGAGGTCAGCAACAATTTTCCACTCATCATCATCCAATTCATATTTTTTAGCCCGCTTGAGGCTTTTATCACTCGCTATGTGATCAATGGGTACCTGATACTGTAACGCGAAGACCAGCATGTCATACATGGAATTCCAATGTGTTGCGACGTCACGTGGCATGAGCTTTTCCTTCAAGTGCGATGCTCCACATGCCCATCGCCATGCCATGAGCAAGAAAGTTGTTGAACAAATTACAGTGAAAGACAGACCACAAATCTGCCATATGATATTAGCTAGTATTAGATGAGGATCTGAGACGCTGACCTTTGCAATAGTTTCTTTGACAGCAGCAGTGTCATCTAACATCTTCTCGTGATTGGCTTGTGAGAGCATTTCCAACTCATCAATATTGTCATCAGCATCATCAAGCTCAGATGTCAAGTCAACTTCCTCTACTTCCGAATCATCATCTAACATAAGTGGTGGCTCATCATCATCCACATCATCATTGGCTTCAGATGTCGATGCTGCTGATGACTCGGAGCTGAATGGTTTCAGCAAAGCTTTTGCGGAAAGCTGGAGAGTATGGTTAAAACATCGAACATGGTTGACAGACTCAAACAAGTTGTCGAGGCTCGCAAGCTTTGTTGTTTGAGTATCATTGGCAGTCACGTTATCAGCATTGACTGCAGGCTATACTGTCCATATTATGCATAATCATGTCTGGTAAGAGATGGTATGGTTATGCATGGTTCTCTCTAGTCCTTGATGGGTGAGCCCTTATGCATAATGGATTCCCACCATGCATAATGCTTTGGGTACCCACTTTGTGCAACACACATCCTATTTTGGTCACCACCTCACCTCTCCACATTATTCCCACACATCACATTTTCGCTTTCAGCCACACAGTGTGGGAATTACCCCACAACACCAAAAACATCGCCCAATATAGTATACCCCACAATTATAATTATTTCCACACCCTCCCCACCTCACTGCAGCTTCACCACCACACCACAATAGGTCCCCCTTCATATATAAGTAGTAGTTTGGTATATATATGTATAATATAATATAATAGACCACTTTTTTGTTTATTTGTGTGCCTACACCTCCTCCAGGGCCCTTTCAAAATAGCCTAGGTACAGAACACTTTCGCATTTCCCCCCCTTTGATAGGGAAGTGTCCCAGGGCATTCAGATCATATTTAGGAGTATATATGAAGATATTCTCATCCTTATTTGACCCCCTGAAACGTCCTACATCAATAGATATAGCATATATGCAGGAAAGCACAAAGTATGTTCTCATTTGATTATTTATAGGTTAATAGACTTAGAAAAATGATTCCCATCATCTATTCAACAATAGGAACAATGTATCAGGAGCCCAGGACCATAGGAGAATCCCCTGTTGCATAGTGCTCCCTCCCTCTCCTGGTGGTTCACCCCCTGTGAAATTTTTTCCTGTAGGGTCGGACCTTCAGAGTGATTGGGAGTCTATTCCTATGCATATTTAGAGTATATCTATCACCTAGCTACCATAGGAAACCTATAGGGTCATTCAACAGGAACAAAAACATGTAAAATCACATTTTCGACATTTTTGATGTTTTTCAATATCTCATCCTTGCACACATGGTCCAACCTGCTCATATATCATCAGTTGTGTGTACATATATGCGTTGTATACCAAAGATCAGTTTGGAATGGGCCAGAGTTTTGAGTTAGTGTATATACTTGATATTTCTACTGATAAGGGGCCCATACCTTTGAATCATCGATGTCCATTAATCGGACACCTGGGATGCCTCTAATATATATCCCTAATTGTAGCTTTAACATTTTAGAAAGATCCATCAAGGATTGAGTGAATTAAAAACAAAATAACATATATGTGAAAAGTGACAATTGACATCTGTTCACACAAAGTCACATTTATATATAACGCGAAGGGCCGCACGCGGCAGAGCCCACTATGTTTTTTCTTTCAGGTGATATACCAGCCATCGATGGTAGGCATGCGAACAGGTCCTAAAGAGGATTCCATAACAGAACGTGGAATATTGTGGTCATGCAGAAAAGTGGAAGAAACTTGTGATTTCGGTTGAAATCTGTCAACGCGCACAATCGCCGATACATCAGCAAAAAACTTTAGTAGATAATTGAAACGTTGAGAGAGCTCGCTGAGCATCAGCATGAACATTAAACTGACTATAAGACATAAACTTCAAACCGTGAGAAAAACTGTGGGAACAGAGCACTAAAAATGTACGGATACTCATTTCTCTGCCGAAACTTGAAAGTGTTGTAAAATTTGAGCTATTACGCCTAATACCCACTACTTATGTAGCGGGAATGATACAGGTCGAAGATTTCATTAAAAATGTGTAGGATACATGATAGACTACCTAAGAAACCTATACTAAATACTGCCCTGAGGGTAGAGTGTTGATGGGGGGGATGTGATGTATAAATGTTGGAATTGGTGGCCCATAGCAATGTATACACCAACTGATGATTTTTGATGTTTTGAACTTCAGGACATTTAAAGTTTCCCACACTTGATTTCTTATCTATTTCACTTCCCCAGCTCTCAATTCTGGGTGGATCATTCTGTATTTTTGAGTCCATGATATGGAATATATGTGAAATGTACTCCAGGTGTCTGATTATTAAATTTCGATGTTTTAAAAGTATGGGCCCCTTATCAGTAGAAATATCAAGTATATACACTAACTCAAAACTCTGGCCCATTCCAAACTGATCTTTGGTATACAACGCATATATGTACACACAACTGATGATATATGAGCAGGTTGGACCATGTGTGCAAGGATGAGATATTGAAAAACATCAAAAATGTCGAAAATGTGATTTTACATGTTTTTGTTCCTGTTGAATGACCCTATAGGTTTCCTATGGTAGCTAGGTGATAGATATACTCTAAATATGCATAGGAATAGACTCCCAATCACTCTGAAGGTCCGACCCTACAGGAAAAAATTTCACAGGGGGTGAACCACCAGGAGAGGGAGGGAGCACTATGCAACAGGGGATTCTCCTATGGTCCTGGGCTCCTGATACATTGTTCCTATTGTTGAATAGATGATGGGAATCATTTTTCTAAGTCTATTAACCTATAAATAATCAAATGAGAACATACTTTGTGCTTTCCTGCATATATGCTATATCTATTGATGTAGGACGTTTCAGGGGGTCAAATAAGGATGAGAATATCTTCATATATACTCCTAAATATGATCTGAATGCCCTGGGACACTTCCCTATCAAAGGGGGGGAAATGCGAAAGTGTTCTGTACCTAGGCTATTTTGAAAGGGCCCTGGAGGAGGTGTAGGCACACAAATAAACAAAAAAGTGGTCTATTATATTATATTATACATATATATACCAAACTACTACTTAGAGCCTGTACAGCAACAGATTATATGATGGATTATTTGTACAATTGTTCACACAGATTATTCCCGCGGTGTGAGCTCCAGTGTGACCTTTGTGTGACATACAGTGTGACTCCGTGCTGAACCTTCTCACCGTCAGATATGGCTCGCTTGCAAAAGCTAAAATCAGTGGCAGCGACTGGAAAAACTCGTTTGGCAGTGCAAGAAAATGCACCAGCTGAAATCTCGACAACCTGTTTGACTCGGACCCATTGGACCAAAGATCACACCTCAAGCCTGATCAAGTTTCCGGCTTCACGTAGATCAGAGGCTGGTGATGGAATGAACTTCAAGATCGGAGTCTTTCAAGCTGCGGCTGCTCATTTCCTTGAGCCCCCCAAAGGAGTTCTGAAGGAAGGATGGGTGCCACCTGTTGCAAGAGATTCTCGTGCTTGCAAGAACAAGTGGGCTGCAGTACATGCACCTATTCTTTTCTTGATGCAACTCACACATTTTCAGATACAAAAAAAGCACAAGATCATTCTTGATATCAAGGCTCAGTCTGGCTTTTCTTGGGACAACGAGCTTGGTGCTGGCATTGACAGTACATCAGAGGCAGTATGGGCTGCATATGTCAAGGTGCGATTTTTTTCTCGTGGTATACTATGTATCTCATTTTTGATTCAAGAAGCGCCCTGATGCTGCACCATTTCGCAACAGGGGATGGCCACACTTTGACAAAATCAATGATCTTTTGTCCACCACTGCTTCGAAAGGAACTCACGCATTTCACGCAGCACTGGAGGAGTCCCACGAGCAGTCACCTGATCTTGATTTTCTGAATGAAGAGGGTCTTCTGCAGCCTGAGCCTGAGCATGCTGAGAATTTGTCTCAAGATGTTCAGGACACTCTAGATGAGAGTGGGGACGATGAAGACTTGATCCCTTGGGAAAAAACTCCACCCCGTCAAAGTCACACTCCGGCTCCCCTTCCGAAGCAAAAATTTGACAGCATCTCCGCTTCTACTTCCAGCAGTTCGACTTTGGGTCCAGCATCAAAGAGGCATCGTGCGAGTGGTGCCGCAGCACTGTTTGCTATTGCTGACCAGTTTTTGGACTTCACTGATGCATTTCGCTCAAGTTCTCAAGCCCAGCCATCTTCTCTCGCTCCATCACCAATTCAAAGGCAACGTGCCATGCAGCATGCCCAGAATGTTGAGACCCATCTCACTGGTGATGAAATGGCTGCTCTCATTGAAGCCTTCCAGACTGATGTCAGTGCTGCAGATGCATATATGGTAATGCGAGATGACAATGCTCGTCACTCGTTCATCAACCGAAAAATCATGCAGATCAATAGTCGATAATTTTTTTTTTACTTCTACAAGGATATATTAGGTTGACCTCTACTGCCTTCTACCTGCTCGTCTACCTGCTCGTTGATGTTCCCGCAGGAATAATTGGTAGTCTCGCCACATTGTGTTTCCTATCTCTTCTCTTTGTTCCTTTGCTGCTTCTCGTTCTTCAAAATTTGCTGGTCCTTCTGCTAGATCTCCCCTATCATTCTCGAACTCCAAGCCATCAATACTACCATCATCAAATTCACGTATTTTATCCGGGTCATGAATCCGGATAAGGTTGTGTACAGCACAGAGTGCAGGGGGGATACGAGCTTGGAAGGTCATGCTATATTCTGGTGGGTTTGTGAGTATCGGAAATCATCTCTTGAGTACACCGAAAATCCGTTCAACAACATTTCGTGCCTGTGCATGTCGTAGATTGTACAATTCATACAAATTTTTTGGTCTAGCAGAAGATGTTGGTTTGTGAACAGATTCAAGGACTTGAAAATATGAACCTCACAGCAGCTCGACCCCACTCCGCAAGATGGTAGCGAACATTTCGGTGAGGCACAAGCAGTGCTTCACATATACCAAACCCTGCATCAGCAAGATAATATCTCCCTTTTGGAACAAACAGATCCGTCAACCGAGCTTCATTGAACAACATGGCATCTGATACTGATCCATCCCAACCACTGAGGATATACTGGAATCGAAGATCAAAAGAACAGCATGCCAGGCAGTTTTGACTGACTCCTCCTTTTCGGTTACGTGCAAGATGCCTCTCATCTGCAGAGGGGCAGCAGTTGATGTGAGTGCCATCAATTGCCCCAAGAGCTCCTGCAAAGTATGGAAAAAACTTGGGGTTCTTGCGAATTTCATGTGGAATAGGAGAATCTTCTTTTGGCAAAAACACATATCTCTTGTAGAAAGGCAAAGACGAGAGAGCAAGAAGAATTTGTTTGAAGTACCTGATTTTTTCTGAGTCAAGCAGACAAGCATCAAAAAAAAACAGTACTTTGTGATCGTGGTGTGTGAGTGTTGAAACCTCTCAGCAACATGTCGACTTTTGAGGCCCATGACACAGGTATACAAAAAAATTGCTGTTTGTTCTTCAAGTGTGACAAATTTTGAGTCATCCAACCCAGAGTCCTGTAGTTCTTGAACAAGTGCAAGAAATACATGTTTCTGCATCCCAAGTTCATTTTTGATCCTTTCTGGGTGTCCATTGAGAAGTTCCTGGACCCATGCGAAGCCAGACAATATAGAAGTATGATATGGCTCTTTGTCAAGGTATGGAGTAATATAGGCTACAGCAATTGTAATAATTAGCTGTGCAATCATTGCTGCAACAGTCCGCAAGAGATGGAGCCTTTGTGGCAGGTCCTTTGGACGAGACATGGTATGATGTCAGCGCAATTTTGCCCCTACATTAGGGTTTGGGTGAGTGACATCTAGGTGATGGCGGAAAGCGCCGAAAAGTCACACCAGGTTGTGTGGGAATAATCTGTACAAATAATCCAAAGCGATAATCTGTGTAATAATCTGTCGCTGTACAGGCCCTTATATATGAAGGGGGACCTATTGTGGTGTGGTGGTGAAGCTGCAGTGAGGTGGGGAGGGTGTGGAAATAATTATAATTGTGGGGTATACTATATTGGGCGATGTTTTTGGTGTTGTGGGGTAATTCCCACACTGTGTGGCTGAAAGCGAAAATGTGATGTGTGGGAATAATGTGGAGAGGTGAGGTGGTGACCAAAATAGGATGTGTGTTGCACAAAGTGGGTACCCAAAGCATTATGCATGGTGGGAATCCATTATGCATAAGGGCTCACCCATCAAGGACTAGAGAGAACCATGCATAACCATCCATCTCTTACCAGACACAATTATGCATCACCTGGTCAAGTGCAGGTGTTGACTGCAAGAATCTACAATCTTCGAGTTAGCATGATTTCTGCAATATTCAAGATCGGCTTACTCTCTTTGTTAGCCCAAAGTGTTCAAGCATTGCTTGAAAGGCTTTCACCATTGCAGCACCAGTATGTGACCATAAGATAAGATTGTGAAGATCGGTGGAGCATTCAATATGGCCTGCGACGTACCTCGGCAACTTCAATGATGTCAAGCAGAAATGAAAACATTTTACCCTCGTACTCGAGGTGGACTGTCCACGCTACAAAAGCACAATGGTTGGGTGAAGTCCAAGCATCCGTGGCAAAGTGTAAGTGTCCAGGGTGATCCTAACTGGCATTGTGTGAGCCAATTTTCTGATGTTAGCGAAAAGCTTACACGGAGAAGCTGTCCGATGCGTTCACTACACTTCTCGAATGCTACTTTGATATTGCGGGACAATACATCAGGTGATGGAAGTTCAATGTTCAGGCGACCTGCACAAAGAGGCTGAAACACAGAGAATCAAACACGGTGTTCAATGGCTGTCACTCGGTTCCCGATTTGGAACATCATACCCGCCCAAACACTGCCAACCCGCAGTGAATGGCCACGGTATGCTCAAGGGTACGACTATCCTACACCGTACCCGTACCCTCCAAACCCGTCAGCATAGAACCGCGGTGTTACCCATACCCGTGCGTTTCCCTACGCCCATTAGGTGAAGTCCTCGAGCCAAAATAATGTCTTCAACAACTCCTGCAAAGCAAAAGAGATCAACGATGAAGCCTCACAAAAAGATGCAAGGACACACTGACGGGGTCCATGGCATCCTAGGCTTGCCAGATAAATGGCGATTCATCACCTGTTCATGGGATGGCTCACTTAGAGAGTGGGACTTGGAAAGTGGAATGCAGGTCAGGGAGGCCTGGACAGATGAAGGAAGTGGAGCAGTGTTAACCATAGCACTCTCACCGGATGGCAAGACAGTAGCAAGCGTGAGTGGGGATAGAACAGTGAGATTGTGGGATATCAATACAGGCAAGGTTGTCAAAAAATGGACGGGGCACACATGGATAGTGGCGTGTGTCTGCTGGAGTCCAGACAGTGGGCGAGTCGTGGGTGGCGGCCATAATGGAGCACTCAAAGTATGGGATGCCAAGAGTGGCAACACCATCCTGGGACCAATCAAGGCAGGGAATACCTGGGTGTCCGTGGTTAGCTACTCACCCGATGGCACGATGATTGCGACGGGCGTGGACAAACTGAAAATCTGGAACGCCAACACAGGCAAACTGCTTGAAACAATCGACAAGGGATACACTGAGTGCCTGGCATGGACTTCCGATGGAAAGACCCTGTACGGCGGGTCAGGCATAATCAGGAAATTTGACACCGCCACTTGGACAGAAATCGCGGTTTTTGACTCACCTGGATGGCCCGGGATTAGTGCTGGGGGCAGAATTATTTGCGGGCAATTGTGCTGGCATAACCTGCAGAAGTGGCAGAATTGCCACCTCTGCCGGTCGACAAAATTTTCAAAGTGCTACAAGGCTATGTGTATGATAATGTATGGTAAGCGTCACTAGGAAACACCATTAGAACACATCAGCGCATCCACATCCCACAGTCTGTTGTCGTGTGAGGTGTGATCAACTACCATTATCTCGTCATCAACAGATTTCAGTGCAAGACCTTGGTCGACATGCTCCAATTCTGCAAAATCATAAACTCGGCCCTCCAACACTTCATTTCCGTCAACCAGCACTTGTTCCATGGCTTCTTTCTCGTGTTCCAGTAGTGTAAATGCGGCGTCGATCTCATTGAGTGATATAGATTCAGGACCTGCAAGATCATCATCGAGGTTCTGAGTCTGAGGTGCGAGTGGTGGTGCCCATGCAAAATTGGCTTCTAGATCAGCAGCTACATCAATGCTGATGCCTGGCTGGGCACTGGTGTGCATGTGTGCATGACATCGACGAATTGGTTTGCCATTAACCACGGCCTTTTGATGACTGTGGTAGTGAAGATTTGCTCAAATCTTCGCCAGTGCTTCGAATGTGTCGACTGAGAGATTGCAACGCTTCGGAGACTGAGTGCTACCCATATCCAAGAAGAGGTGTTCGACATCAGCAGCGTGGGGAACAATGGATAAGAGTGTGATTGCAAGTGCTTTCAGAGGATGTCCGTTAGCGCTGACTGCGAGACTTTCCCACCATGCTAATCCATTGGCATGTCCACCTGAAAATGGTGCGCGACACAGATTATATGCTTTGAGGTCATTGATGAGCAGTTTGGCCTTTTGCTCTTCCCATCGCCATTGTTTAGCGACGGCGAGTGCAGTTTTAACCATGAAATCAAATGGTCTTCCTTTTGAGGCATCTGTCACAGCAAGTTTGCGACACATTGGATGGAGGAAGAGTGCGAGAGAATGGAGGTCAGTGTTTATTGCATGGAACCGACGGTTGAAAACAGATTTTGCGTGCATCCAGAAGCCAGTGTCATCATCCTCAGCATCGAGTTTCAGCTGGGACATCTGCCTCGCACAGCAGATAAGCTCCAACATGCAATCAGCAAGTGTAGCTTCACGTGACTCCAAGTTCCCGATTGCATCAACCAAGAATTTAACTGTCTTCACGAGCTGATCGAGCAGTTTCCAGTACTGAACATCATGGAGTACCATTGCAACAACTGCAGGGGCAACTGGCATCTGATTGTTGGTTCTTTTCTGGGCATCGGGACGCAAACATGTATGCGACAGTGGACTCCTGTAGGTGTGGTTTTGTCAGGATATGAACATCAAGTTTGAAATTGACCTACCGGTAGGCAAGGACGCTCATGCTTTGTAACACAAGTGCATAAAATCGAGACTCGCAGTTTTGTTTCATCTTCTGATTGATACCCTGCTTCTTTGCTTCACCATTGAGTTGCCCGCCCCAGTAGTGAGATGAATTGAAGAAGTTCACAATACGTGTCGACTTTGATATGATTTGCTTCATCAGTGGGAACGAGCATATCTCACCGATGAGGGTGTTTAAGCTATGGAGGAAACACGGGAATGTCTATATTATTGACATATCAAACCACGACAAAGTCTGCAGGGAAGACAACACTTACGAGAACCCAAAAGT